ATGAATTAGTAGAGAGGGAGAAATAGAAAATTAGAAGGGAGGATGATTTTGGAGGTTGTCTGCCAGTATAAATGGTAAGGGGAGGAGATAAAGGATATAAGAGAGATTGGTCTTGGAGAAAAGGGCCACCTCTTCAGAGTTAAGAGTAAGTAAAGGGAGAGAAGATTTCATGTCAAAGGGTTTTGAGATGTAGAGTAGTGGAGAAGAGGGTTTTTTTTTTTTTGTTGTTGTTGTTGTTTTGTTTTGGTTTTGGTGGAAAGGAGACTAGGTTTCCCTATTTCACCCAGTCTGTAAGTACAGCAACCACTCATGGACCCAATTCCACTCCGAACTGTCATGAGAGCTTTTACCTGCCCCATTTCTTTTTTTTGGGGGGCAGTTGGGGTTAAGTGACTTGCCCAGGGTCACACAGCTAGTAAGTGTCAAGTGTTTGGTCTGAGGCCAGATTTGAACTCAGGTCCTCCTGACTTCAGGGCTGGTGTTCTATCCACTGCGCCACCTAGCTGCCCCTATGCTTCCTTTTACAATTTAGAATGCTGTACCATGGAAAAGATCAATAACTTGAAATGCTTTGTAAATGTGTTGGTTTTGCCTTAGTTATATAGACACTCGAGTCCATCCTCCACTTGGCTGTCAAAAGTGATTTTTCTAAAGCACAAGTTTGACCATGTCATCCCTCCTACTCAGTAAACTCCAGGGTCTCCTTATCACTTCCAGGATCAAATATGAAATCCTCTGCTATTCAAAGCTCTTTATAGCCTTCTCTGTAATTAGACCTTTTGGGTTTCATAGTGACTTTTTGTTCATGAAAAATAATAATCTGACTAGTGTTACTTGTGTATACCTTGAGAGGTTTATTTTCTGACCCATGATTCTTTTTACCTTAATTTTTATTATGGTGGTGTTCATTTGGGTTATTTATAAATAATTTATATGATGATCATAGTTTAATATGTAGTAGTAGTTACTGTTTGTGTTGCATGTGGCATTGTTTTTCTTATCTCATCAACTTTAAGAACTAAACATTACCTCTCCACTTAAGATTGTTGTATGTTATCATCCCCATGCTTTTAGGAAAGTTTTTGTATTATTGAATAGCCATGCTACATTACTTTATGCTGATCTGTAATACTTTGTGGGTCTTCTGAAATTCAGTACTTAAAAGATTCATGTTTTTGTCAGTGTGAGTACTCCCTTTACTGATGTAGTTTTGTTACCCCCCAATCACATGTAAAGAAAATTTTTAACATTCACTTTAAAAAATTTTTGAGTTTGAAATTTTCTCTCTCCTTCTTTCACTTCCCCTCTCGAGATAGTAAGCAATTTGATATAGGTTATATATGTTCAATCATGCAAAACATATTACCATATTAGTCATATGAAAAAAGACATCGACACAAAGGAAAAAAACATGCTTTGATCTGCATTCAGACTGTCAATTCTTTATCGAGGTGGATAGCAATTTTTCACAGTGAGTACTTTGAAATTGTCTTGGATCATTGTATTGCTGAGAACAGCAAAGTCATTCACAATTGAGCATCATATATTATTGCTGTTACTTTGTACAATGTTCTCCTGGTTCTGCTCACTTCATTTTGCATCAGTTCATGTAAGTCTGTCCAGGTTGTTTTGAAATCTACCTTGAGTTGCTTTTATCAGAAATGACTTGTTGCCTACTCTTCTGGTGATGAGCCTTTCCAGAATTACTTAAGTTACTCCTCAGCATATAATCCATTAGCAAGGCTGTACTAGAAACTTGCCTGGCTTAGTAGTATCTGCCAAACTTATACTCTGCTGACAAAACCTAAGCAAGCAATACTGTCATACGTGAGGCGTTACAATGGAACTTTAGGGAAGGTTCTTTAACACCTTGCTTAATAGTAACATTTTGTCAGTGAGACCCAGTCAGTGAGCATTCTGCTAAGGATCAACATGTTCAAGTTGTCATTGTTAGTAAGCTTGTTCTGTTTTTTACTAGCATGGCTTGTAATTGTTGGTGATGAAACTTATACAGAAATAGAATGTTGTCTTTATTGAGTCCAACCAAATCTTAAATATTTGTTATTTTAATTTTAATTTCATTTTATGTGTCATTTATTTCTGAATATATCCTTTCCCCCATCATGTGCTTTAGAACTAGCCTTTATAACAAAGATTTTTTAAAGGGAAAGAAAAGCAGTTTTACAAAACTAGTCATCATATCTATCTTGTCCAAAGGCATATACAAAATTCAACATCCATGCCCCTTCACCTCTGAATTGAAGGAAGAAAGGTGCCCTTTTTCAAATTTTCTGTCAAGCTAGTCTTCATCATTTTAATTATACAATATTCACTTCTTTTTTGAAAAAAAATTTTGCTTTTGTATTGTTCAGTATATATATTATTTTCCTTGTTTTGCTTTCTTCATTCCGTCTAAGTTCATTAAATTTTTCCATGCTTTTCTGAATTCATGGTGGATTAAATTACATCTATGTACCAGTTTGATTAACCATTACCCAATCAATGGACATCTTTATTTCTAATTCTTTGCTACCACAAAAAGTGATAGCAAATGAATATTATAGTTTATGTGGGACCTTTCTTTTGGGTTTTGATATTCTTGAGGTATATGCCAGTGGTAAGCCCTTTGAGTCAAGGTTTATGGATCTTTTATTTACTTTTTTCACATAATCTGAAATTGCTTTTTCAGCCAAGTCTTATATGGAGCTCGGATTTGAATAATAACAATAATAACAAACTTTTTAAGTTTTAAGATTTCCAAAGCCTTTTACATATGTTATCACAGTTGATCTTCAAAACTGCTCTGTATGATAGAAGCTATTATTACCCTCATTTTACAGATGAGAAAACTGAAGCTTTAATGAATGTTTGAAGTAGTAAGTCAGCTCAGGTTTATTTGATTGTAAGTCCAGCACGCTATTCATTGCATTGCCTAGCTGTATCATGGACATCATCTGCTGTTTAGTCAAAAGCTTTTTACTTTTTTTGATCTTGAATTCTAAATGCATTTCAATTAGTCAGGTTCAGTACTTAAAGGAATAGAGCCCCACATTCCTTAAAATCTAATCACAGCATTTAGTAATATACAAATCATTGGTGGTACATACACACACAGAGAGACATACATATGAATACAAGGATATTTGTGTTAATGAGGTTTTCCAGCCACTTCAAAATTTTAGCTATTGGTTCTGATGTCTGAAAGGCAAGGAAGTATACGTTCATAGTTTGAGGAAACCAGAGTTTTCCAGAACTGTAGATTGTTCCTGAATGATTCCAGTAATTGAAAGTGATATCTTTTATGGTCAGTAGGGCCAAGCAAATTGAGGCCTTTAATACCCCAGTCTTAAGTAACAGATTTCAGGTACCTTTTCAATACATCCACCGTTTATGAGTAACCTAAATAAAGATGCACCCAAGGGGTTTATAGAATTGCTTTGATGTTACTTAAGGATTCGTCATTCACTTTAGCTGTTTCAAACTATTTGTGCCCTATTTTCTTGGAGAAAGGGCCTAACACAAGTTGGATTTCCTATAGTCATCAAACTCAACATATCCAAAAAAGAATTCAGCATCTTTCTCCCAGCAAACTCACCCTTCTATTCAATTTTTGTGTTTCTATTGAGGGTAACACCATATTTGTAGTTACCCAGATTTACACTTTGACTCTTCATTCTCCCATACCCACATATCAAATTAGTTAGACATCTTGTTAATTCTACCTCCACAACATCTCAATTCAGTTCCTTTCTCTCTGTTCCCACAGATCCCAGCCTAGTTTGGGCACTTATCACCTCTCCTGCCTGGACTATTGAATTAGATTCCTAATTGGTTTCTTTGCCTCAAGTTCACTCTTCCCCAATCCATTCTCTGTGTAACTGCCAAAATTATGTTAATAAAATATGAATCTGACCATGTCACTCTCCTTCCTGTTCAATAAACTCCTCTTGCCTCTAGGATCAAATCCATACTATTTTTGACATTTTAAGTCCTTGACAATATGGCCCCAACCTATCTTTCCAGGCTTTTTACACATTACACATTATTCTCCTTCACACCCTCTATAGTCTAGCCAAACAATTCTTCTTTATTCTTTATTTGTTCCAACTCCTGTCTGGCATATATCTTTGCACAGGTTGTCCCTAGTACCTGGTATACACACCTTTACAAGCTCTTAGAATCTCTAGAGTCAAAGCTTAGCTTAAATGCCACCTCCTGTGTCTCCCCGGGTACTGGGTCCACCCCACAGAAAGGATCTTGTATTTACCTTGTATGTATTTTGTGCAAACTTGTATATATGCATGCTGTTTTATCTGATAAAATGTAAATTCCTTGAAGGCAAGGACTGTTCATTTTGTTCTTGTATCCTCAGCGTCTAGTACGGTGTTCAGTACAAAGGCTCTTAATAAATTCTTATTGGTTTCTTTATTGGCCACATCCATTTGTTGTCCTATATGTTGTAGAAATTAGTTTTAGGAGATTTCAGTTTGTCACCTTACTTGCAACAAGAATACATAAAATTGAGTTTCATTGCTTTATTATTGTGGTTAGTGTGATATGGGGATTCTTAAACCATGGGCTTTGTAATTATTCAAAGCTGTAAGAAAATCCTAGTTTTCTGTGATTGCAAAATGAAAAACAGCAATAGTAAGCAAGATTTAATCATTTGAGACTCCTATACTGCATGTGTATTTGTGGCATTTGCCTATGCATTTGAATCACATGTTTATTTAAATGTTCGTTGTGAATTTCCTACAGATGGCCATGGTGTGGTTGGACTATTCTTAAATCATATTCCATTCAATTTAATAAGCATTTATTAAACAGCACTATATGCAGACGTTGTGCTACAGCCTAGAGAGAGCTAAAAATTGCAAACAATCTCTGCCCTCAATAAGTTTAAATTCCACTGAATACTAGTAAACTGTAAGAAAGTTTTTTCATATGAATTTGATGAAATTATGACTAAAGTTATTATTTTTTTAAAAATCTTGAAACAGGAAGCTCATTATTACATTGGGTAAGAAGCAAAAAAGAAAGAATGTTTCTTCAGATGAAATGTCTGATGCTGAGCAGATTCCACAGCGTCCATTCAGAGATGAGGATTCTCAAGTGAGTATTTAAAAGTTTTGTTTTGTTTTGTTTTGTTTTGTTTTTACAGAAAGTCAGACATTCATAGGAGCATTTGATTATTATTTTACCCAATGACAATATATTCCCATTTTGCTCATAAAAATACATTTCATTTGGTAGTTCTTGACAGTATTTTACAACAGCAGTGTAGTAATGATAATTATGTTTTGTACCTCTATGTTTTTCAGTAACTGGATTAATGCAGTTTTAATTTTTTTAAAGTAAAATATAAGAGATGGGTCAAAACAAAACATAGAATTTTTGTAAAGCCTATATGAGTTCATGTAGTTTGCATATGCCAAGTAAAACAAGGATTCTATTAAAATGCCCTAACCTATTAATATTGTGCTTAGTTCTTTTTTTGTTTTTTTTTGAGGCAGTCACAATATCTTTGTGAGCTTAGAGAAAATACATAATATAATCATCACCAATCTTCTCACCCTCTACACTTTAGTAACTAAAGTACTGCTATTGGCAGTAGGGTTAGTGGCAGTTGTTTTATGAAGGGGCCAGGAAGCCCCTGAATGGCCTTTCTTCTTCCTTATGCAGCTTCTTATCCAATGGAGAGTAGTGGCTCAAGGCTCCTGGGCTGCTGCAAGAGTTGAGGTAAGGGCAGTGACATAAGCTCCTGATACTATATGGCCTAGATTATTTTCTTCATATGTAAAAATACATATATAATATTGTACTTGATCTAAGTAAAGCTAATATTTTACTTGTTCAAAATAAAAAATTTCTGGTTATTTTTTTATTAGCATAATGCTGGCCATCTTTCCATTATGCAATTACCAAATAATGAAATGGTAGTGTAGATAGCTCAGTCTACACCATGTGCTTTTTTTTTATGCTTCTCACTATAGAATGTCTGTACTTTAATTTTAGCATAAAAAATAAATGTTTTTGGTAAGGACTATCTTGTAATTAATTACTAAATCAAGTGTACCATCCTTAAGAGTCCTTTTACTGACAAAAGCACTTAAGTTTCAAAGGATTGTAACTTATCTTTAATTTGGAGTCAGACGTAACTTAAGAAATCTCAAAGGTATGTGAGTGAAATTTATTTTTGTTACCTTAGACCTTTAATATTTGATATTTTCTCAGTCTGACTATACCTAGTGGCCTGAAGTTGATGGTGTTGTCCTTCCAGGCTTGCCATGTTTGGAGGGTTTCTGCTTTGCCTTCTGCAAACCCTATTGGGAATATTATAGGAAGCAGGTAATATGTCATAGGAATGAAGTGTTGTTATTAATTAACCATAATGCTTCTGGCCACTAATGCAAAATGCCTGAAGGTTGTCTCAACCAATATTAGTTTGTTTGATGATGCCCTTAAATCTTGAAGACAGAAAATGTAAAAGTGAGGAAGGGAAGATTTATCAGATTAAAATAGTACTCTGAAGAACATGAAAAAATGAAAATGAGTTAATAAAGGTATATTTATGGTCTAATAATGTGAGGTCACCACTTTACACATTTAGAAAGTGGCAAGAACACAATATACCTGAAAAAACTATCTCGTGAAAAAAAATACCTATTCTTGCTTATAAAGTACTTTTGTGAGAATAAATAACATAATTAATGCTTTGCTTAATTTATAGCTGCATAGTAGAATGAAATATAGTATACTATAATATTAACTTGATGACATAAAAAGTCAACAATTCATGTATGTTTTATTTAGCCTTTAGAGACTAAGAAGTATGATTATTAATTTTTTAAAATCATCATGCCTTGATATATGTTGAAAGAACTGAATTTTAAGATAAGATCATGTATTTACCCTATTGGAGGAAAAACATGTTAGATAACATATTTACATTTTTATAAGTGAATCAGTCAATCAATAAACATTTATTAAATGCCTACTGTGTGCCAAGCACAATGCTAGGTGCTGGGGGTACAGACAAAAAATGAAACAATTCCTGCCTTTTAGAAGCTTTTATATAAAGTTTAGGAAGAGTGCTTTAGATCCATATAGCTATGAGTTTGCTGTCTACTGAAAATGGTAGATAATCTTGAATTCTTCTCAGAAGTATGTAACTTTTTCACAGGGAAGAATAGGAAATTCATAGAAAATGACTTTAGTTCCTGGAAGAAGATTCTTTTTTTTTTTTCACCAAATTTTAGGTCCTTTTATGAAAAAGACCAATATGTAACATATATGAAATAAAGCAGGAAGGACAGGATGTTGGGTTTGGTAGGTTGTATTTTACTGCTTGGGTATAGAGGAGATAGAATCCAATTAAGTATAATCATTTTGGTGTATCTCCTTTTCTCACCTATTGAATGGGTAAATTGACAATATTTTTTTAATTAATTACAATGGCCAAAAAATTTCTCACACCCAATACTTCTTCAAAAAAAAATTTAGACTACTTGGGTGTGTCAAATACCAAACAAATACCAAACAACACACAAGAAAATTGAAATTAACTTTGAATTTAAGAGGAATCCACTGGTTCCATACATAGCAGTCATTAGAGAATATGTTTTCTGCGTGTACTCAGAGCATCGGTAGGTTAAAATATTGGTCAAAAGTAATACAGAATTAGAAAATAAAGGAAAGGAGACAACACTACTTGTGATTATAACAGTTTTAGCATATTTAAACAAGCTGTTAATGCCAGAAAATGAAGAGAAATAAAGAAATTCAGTCTTATATCAGCATTCCTTAATTGTTTAATTGATCCAAAATTCCGTAGTGAAGGAGCCAAAATATCATAGAAATTGCCTTTTCCAGTAATCATTTGATCTCCATGTCAGTTGAGTACAAACTTATTTGCTCAACAGCTCAAAGGAGGAGGATAGAAGATTGTAAACTGTATGGCATAAAACCCCTCAGTCGGAGAAGAATCAAGCTTCTGGGTTACCAAAATGATAATGGAGAGCCACTTAAGTATAAAATAGGCTTCATCATATTATCATTGATGACTTGTATACCAGAAGTGGTATATAAAAGGATAACAAGTTCATATATGATCACAAAATGATAGAGCAATAACAATGGACGGTCTGCTATAGATATATACACAAAATATTAAGAAAACCGAAAGATTGCCTCTAAGACATTGGGTAGATAATCTTTGGAGGATTTATAGGAACACATGGCTAAGAATTGAGTAGAATGATATGATTTTATGGAACTATTATGATCTACCCCTGGTGGAGGGGAGTAAATACACCAATGAAATCAGTCAATCAACAAGCATTTATTAAGTTTTTAGTATGTGTCGAGAACTTTGCTAGTTTCTGGGGACACAAAGACAAAAATGAAAGTTCCTGTACTCAACATTATATTTTTTATCAGGGGAGATGACAAAATAAAGTAGTTCAGGGAGTAATTTAGCTATGGGGATAAAAGAAGAGCTTGTTGAAGGAGATATGGCATAATGGATAGCTTGCTAGACTTGGAATCATGAAGACATGGCTTCAAATGGCTATATAACCCAGAGCAAGTCACTTAATCTTACCAGGTCTCAATTTTATATCTATAAATGGGTATAATTATAGCACTTACCTCATGGGGTTATTGTGTGGATCACATAGATAAAGTGTATAAAGCACTTTGCATGAAAATGCTGTATTAGGGGCAGCTAGGTGGCGGAGTGGATAGAGCCCCGGCCCTGGAGTCAAGAGGACCTGAGTTCAAATCCAGCTTCAGACACATAACACTCACTAGCTTTGTGATTCTGGGCAAGTCACTTAACCCTAATTGTCTCACCCCAAAAAAATGCTATATTAATGCTATTTATTTCTATTATTGGCTATTGGTACTTGAGCTGAGGTGAAGAGGCAAAGCATTCTAGGAATAAGTGATGGCTTGTCAAAGGCACCAAGATGGGATATGCAGTGCCATGTCTGAGTAACAGCGATGAGACCAGTTTGGCTAGAACTTAGGGGGCAAGACGTGCAGGGGTATATAATAAGGCTAGAAATATGAGTTGGACTAGGTCACAAGGGGCTTTAAAAGGCAAACAGAGAAGTTTATATTTTATCTTAGGGACTGTAGGGGAGTCACTGAAGCAGAAGAGTAAAATGGTCAGACTTGTACTAAACAAAAAATCATTTTGGCAGCTCTCTACAGGAAGGATGGGAGTGAGTAGAGACTTGAATTGATGAGACTAATTAGGAGGCCATTCCAGTAGTCTAGGCAAGAGGTAAAGAGGGCCTAAACCAGTAAGTAGGTGGCTGTGTGAGTAGTTAGAAGGGAAGAATTTGGGAGATTTTATAGACAGAGAAATGTAAAGGTGATGATGATGATGATGATAACTAACATTTATATAATACCTACTGTGTGCCAGGTACTAAGTGATCCTCACAACTCTGAGAAGTAGGTGTTGTATCCATTTGACAGTTAAGGAAACTGAGGCTAATAGATAAAATGATTTGCTAAAGTCACATAGCTAGTAAGTGTCTGAGGCTGGATTTGAACTTAGGTCTTCCTGATTCCAGAACTAGCACTCTATCTACTATGCCACCTAGGTCTGGCAACTGATTGTATATATGGAGTGAGGGAGAATGAGAAGTTGAAGATAACATTGAGGTTAGTCAACAAAAGCAGATACTACAGTGAGGACAAAAAGGATGAAAATTTAGAGAAGATCAGAATTTACAGATCATTTAGTAATAACTTTTGAGCAAGTAGTTGTAATTGAATGATATGTTTAGATGTAAAATTGCAGTGTTGAAGAGTGAGAAGAAAAGAAATCAAAGCAATTAGTGTAGAAAGTTTTTCTTTTTTTTTTAGAGTCTGAGAAAGAGAAGAGATATAAGGACAAGGATGATAGCTTGAGGGAATGATAATATATAGTGAAGTTTTTTGTTTTTTGGTTTTTTTTTAAGGATGGGCTAGACTTTATTTAGCAAGTTAAGTAGCAAAGTACTTAGAGTGCTAGACTTAGAGCGCACATTTAGGTTTAGGGTTAGGGTTTTCCCTTCATTTTGAGCATAAATAGCAGTCATTTGGCACAACAGGAAAAAAAATTCACCATAAAATTTTCCCTGCTCTTTACAGTTGCTAGAACTAAAAGTTGAAGACCCTATCATTGTTACTAGTAATTCACCTCAGGTACTTTTGTGGGAAATTTTACTTTTTCCTTTTAAAAACCTATGCAGTAGCATTTTTCTCTCAATCCACTTGCATGACCTCCAAACGATTTTTGTAGTTTTAGTCATTCAGTCTTTTCTGACCCTTTGTGCCCCCATGCAGAATTTTTTTGGCAAAGATATTGGACTAGTTTGGCATTTCCTTCTCCAACCCGTTTTACAGATGAGGAAGTTGTGGCAAACAGGGTGAGGTGACTTGCCTCGGGTCACACAGTAAGCATCTGAAGCCATATTTGAACTCAGGAAGACTCATCTACCTGAGTTCAGGCCTGGCACTCAGTCTACTGTGCCACCTACCTGCCCCCTAAACAATTTTACTGTCCTTAAACTATAATGGTGAATGGAATTTTCTCCCTCCAGCTCATTCTTTGCGATAGCCTTCTGGTTTCCTATATGCTTGGGGAGAGATCTGTGACTTAAAGTCTACTCTTTGTTCTTTTCTCTCACTTATTGTCTGTTTCTGGCCACATGGAGACAGATTTCTGGCCTTCTGCCCTTGACCTTGTGGATCATTTCTTCTTATGTCATTTGCTCATTTACTTGACCAACCTCTAGTCACCATTGAACACTTATTACCTTGAGATAGATATGTCGTTTGTATTCTTAAGTGCTTAATGACACAAAAATGTTAGTGAAATATAAATATCAGAATGAAAGGAAGAAGACATTGCACAGTGGATGATAGTGTACCCAGAAGCCACAGTGATAGAGCCTTAGGAAGAGAATGAGACAAAATCCCTCATACCAGCAAATAGAGCAAAGATTAAACAAAGAAAAGAGACACAGAATATTTGGTGACAAATGAATGAATTCCTGTCTATTACCTGTTCTGAAAGCTCCAGTCTTCATAATAGTGTGGCACCCTATAGTCTGTAGTATAAAATACAAACCTTTGTTTGACTTTTAAAGCCCTTTACAACCTGTCTTCAATAGCCTACTTTTTAGGCTTATTATTTATTACTCCCCTTCAAAGCCTGCATTCTAGCCATATTGGCTACTTGCTGTTCCACATGCACACATTCCGCCTTCCCTCTCCACCATTGTATATACTGTCATTCTTGCCTGGAATGCTCTCCCTTCTCACCTTCTCCTGTAAGAATCCCTAGTTTCCTTCAGAGCTCAGTTCATGCCATCTCCTCCATGAGGCCTGTTCTGATCCTCCCAGCTATTAGTATTCCCCCCACCCACCAATGAATTACTTTGTAATTTGTATTCTTACTTACCTTGTGTCAACTTTGTGTTTACTTATCTTTGCACATGTCATAAAGTGGTATATCAACTTCTTGGTGAGCACAGACTGTTTCATTTTTGTCTTTGTGTCTCTAGCACCTAGCACTGGTGCCTGGCATTTAATAAATGTTTGTTGATTGATAGGATGATTGATACTCCCAAGAACCATTATTTTAAATGAAAATCCCTCCCTCCTTTGTGACAGTGACCCATTGATCATCAATAAAATGTGAGTTCTAAAGGTTGTGTTCTACCTCAATGCCCAACAGAATGGAGTTGAGCAAAATTCTTTTTTATTAGACTCATATGACTATGTATCATTATAAACCCATTAAATTTATTTTCCAAGACTGTTAATTTCCCCTGGTCATTCATATCTTCCCTATATAACCTTGAAATTGAGTGTTACCAATGTATATTTAGGAATTTTCCAAACCCAGCCACTAATTTGTTTTTTATTTCTTTTAATTGACTTCAGGGAATTGAATTTTTAAAAGTTTTTTTTTAATTGCTTATATTGTTACCATTCTAGAAGGTAGGCAATCCGGAAGTTTTTTCAACTTTTTCTTTTTCCTGAGGATGCATAAGTTAAAATTTATTTTAAGCTAAGATGCCTAGTTAACATAGCTCTTTATTATACAAATTCATATATATAACACTGATCTGGTTGCATTCTTCCAAACATCTACTGTTTTTAAAGAAAAAAGTTTAGGAGTTTTACACATGGTTAGCTTATCATACAGGTTTTAATCTTGTCTTCCAGTATTATCATAAAAGAGTTCAAACTGCATTTTAAACTGAATACATATATACACACGTAGATTCTTTCCAGGTAGAGAAACTTTTTTTTTAGTGGCAGAAATATCTCATTTAAAAATTTTCTTGATTTTGTAGGCTGTTGGCTAAATTTAATTTTGAAAAAAACTATGGGAAGATAGCCAATGTAAATTAGTAAGAAATCTAAATCATAAAATGTTTAAAGAAATGTAATCTTAAAATTTTTGAGGTCGTAATGATTTCAGGGTCATTAATGATTCCTATCCTTTTTGAATAGGAGCACAATTTCTGGCAATTCTTTTCTTTCTAAAAGTACTATATGGTCTGTACATAATTCAAATTGATTTCCCAAAGTTCTAGGAGTTAATTGGCAACATCCTAGTAGTTTTAAGACTAGGGTTAGAAATTATTGGAAAAACTAACTGAACCAATGGACAAAGTCATGGAGAGATGTTAAGCTATATCTGTTTGAATAAATAGATATAAATAATTAATAGTGAGCATGGTAATCAGCAGTGAATAATTTTAAAGGTGTTTTCAAATAATTTATTTCTGAATTATGCTCTTTCCAGTGTTTTCACTATTAATTTATGCTGGCAACTCTTTATAGATAGTACATACATAAATTTCAGTTCTACTGTTGCAAATTATTAGCATATTAGTGTGTTATATGGGCACTGATAAAGTGTATAGTTCATTTAAGTAATTAAGATGATCTTCAAAGTTAAGATAAAAGAAAAAAAAATTTGCTGAGGATGCAGAAGGAAAACAGTAAAAGAGAAGATGCAAAGGTTTCTGTGAAGAACAAAATTATTTTAGCTCACTTACCTGATGAACAACCCTTGCAAGTTATTTGTAGAATGTAAGAGTCCATAAAAAGTATGAGGTTCTGTGCCTGATAAGTAGTTTATGATGGATAGTTTATGTTGTAATTTAAAATACAAATTTTTGAGTTTTAAATGTGTGTAAAATTTTTAATTTAAAATAGATATGATAATTTACCTTTATGAAAACTTCTTTTAATTTTTGAGTCCATCATGAAATACATGATTTCTAAATCTGATTCAGAGTTTTGATGATATTAAATGAAATTTTCTCTTACATGATTTTTGACTTTTAAAAACAATATAGATTTTAAAAACTATAATCATACTCCAATCAAATAATCATACTTCGTTTATACTATTGCATAGTAATTATAATAAGACTTTATCTTATCTTTACCACAATACGCTCCTCATTTTTGAAAAAAATTAGAAATAATTAAGCTTTAATTCCTTTTCCTACTTTATTTAAATATTTGATGGCTTTAAAACTTGATCATTTATTCTCCATATTCTTTGTACTTTTTTTCTTTTTAAAGTACAAAAAACTTCATGTTGCCTTCCTTTTCATTAAGACTAAGTCCATCTATTCTTAGGCCTGTACTATCAGGCTAATTATTTAGACAATAATGTATTTTGGAATATATCTGCAAAACTATATAAAAATATTAAAAACTAAAAATACACATTGCCTAAGTAGTAAAATAGCTGACTGAAAAAGATGAACCTTTTGATACTTCTTGAAGACCATCAGTATCAGAATTTTGAGAAAATTCTTTACTAACCAGATTTTGTTTCCTGAAAATTTAGAAAGCAACATGGTTATAATCCTTTGATCTTTTTGTGGCATTGGGCAAGTAATACTTTTCCTTTTGTTATAAGAAAATAAAAAAGGGAAGAAATCTCTTAAATTAGTGTGTGCATATGTCAACCTTTTGAAAATACTTAATTACATTCTTTCCTTTAAAATAAACCATAAAATCACTCCTTTTATGGTTAATTCCAGAAGAGAAGATCGAATCGCCAAGTTAAAAGGAAAAAGTATGCTGAAGATGCAGAAGGAAAACAGTCAGAAGAAGAAGCAAAAGTTTCTGTGAAAATCAAAAAAAGTTCAGCTTCTTTACCTGCTGAACAACCTTTGCAGTTATTTGTGGTAAGCAAAATTACAGACTGTGACAGGGAAAATATGAGAACAATCTTTAATTCCTTTTAATTATTTTCTTCTAATAAGTAAAATGTATCTCTTGACTCATTTCTACCTTATCTCATTAATAATTTTAAGAAGTTCTATCTTTTCTTTCAGTTTGAGTATTTCTCAAGCATCTAAGGCATTTCTTTAAGAAAAACATTCTAGTAGTGTTTTTTCCCATATTTCTTTTGAAATGATTTTGCTTCCCTTTCTCTTTTTAAGTCAGTACTTTGTTCCTCTGATTAATTTTGACTGTATTAATTTGGTGCTAGCTCACTCCCATACTCTTTCTCATTCCCTTTTATATGCCTTTTCCAACATTCCTTTAATTTAAGTAAACCTCCCTACCTTCTTCCCTTCCTTCCATTTGTCTGTCTCTTTCTTTAATGTGTATTAATATAGACAGGACAGGACAAAAAGCATTTATGAGGCTTTTACTATGTACCAGGCACCTGCTAAGCACTGGGAATACAAATGAAAGCAAAAAGAGTCTCTGTCCTCAAGAAGCTTACATTCTAATGAGGGAGGACATTACACAAAAGGGGAGAAGAGTAAGGTACCCACTTGGAGGCATGGTGTTGGAAGTCTGGAAAATCAGGAGCTCAGCTAGGAGGGGACTGAGCTCTTCTCCAAGATGGAGGCCTCAGGAAGAATTCACAGATCGGAAAAGAGAGCCAACACTAAGGAGAGGTGTTGGGTGAGGAGACCCCAGGTACTAAGGGTAGCTTCCAAGATGAAATTGCAGCTGAGTCATGATATTGAATTCTGGGAAATAAGAACCACAGCCAGGAGGGTGAATGAAGATTGGCCGATTTGGGTGTTTCTCAGAATGAGCAGTTCCAGGAGGAACTCACCAGTGGGAAAAGGCCTTTGGCATGTTTGTGTCTGAAATAACATTCTTTTGTGGCATTCTTTGCTAAGAAGTCTTTCTTTGCTTTGTCCTATTACTTTTTCTCTTCTCTTCTATTCTGAATCCTATTCACTGGTATTGGTTCATAGGCTATACCTTTATTTGTTCTTTCTTTATTTTTTCTATGCCCCTCATGAATATAGAACTACTAAAATTTAGAAAAAGAAGTTGAATTCCCCTCATCACATTTCTGGGGCAGGTAGGTGGCACAGTGGATAAAACACTGGACTTAGAATCAGGAAGACTCATCTTCATGAGTTCAAATCCAGCCTGAGACACTTACTGGCTGTGTGACGCTGGGCAAGTCACTTAACCCTGTTTGCCTCAGTTCTTCATCTGTAAAATGAGCTGGAGAAGGAAATGACAAATCTCTCCAGTATCTTTGCCAAGAAAACCCCAAAATGGGGTCACAAAGAGTTGGATACAACTGAACAACATCATCATATTTCTATTTTATTGCATTTGTACATCTTACCCCATATTCTCTTTGTTTTGCCGAATGTCATTATTAGAATGATCAATTCATGAAGGAATCAATGTCAAATGGAAGTAATATCATGTGGAGGTCACCTTGTGTCCAGAGTCTTGGTCCTACTCCCCTCACCATGACCTTTTCTCCCTACCAACTATGAGTGCTATTTATCCTTGGGCTCATGTATCTCCTTTCCCAGGGTGAAATGCAGTCCTGGGAGGTACAACTCTTTCTTGGAAAAAGGTATATTCTGATGTCTAAATTCTCCCATTAGAAGGCCCCTGCCTTGTAACATAGACATATACTTCATTCCCCATCAGAGAGACTAAACAAATTACTATTCATTTCTGATTATGTGTGGACTGTGCATGGAGAAGAGAGGAAAGGCATATATCTGACTCCTGAGGCATTTCTGCATTTTTAAAATTTTATTTTATGGTTTTTTTTTATTAATATTTATTTTCTTTCCCTCTCAATTGAACAAGGAAAAAGAAAGAAAGAAAAAAGAAAACTCTTATAACAAATACATACAGTTATGCAAAGCAAATTGCTGCATTGGCTGTGTCCAAAAATGTATATCTCATTCTGCGTCTTGAGTCTATCACCTCCCTGTCAGGAGGTGGATAGCATGCTTCATTTTTGGGCCTCTGGAACCATGATTTGTCATTAGGTTGATCTGAGTTAACAAATCTTTCAAATTTGTTTTTCTTTATAATGTTATTATTGAATAGCATGTTCTTTTTGGTTCCACACAGTTCACTCTGTATCAGTTTATGTATGTTGTCCCAATTCTCTTTGAAGCTATCCACCATTTTGTACTTATTTTTAGTATGATAATATTCCATTATGTTTAATGTACTATAATTTGTTTAGCCATTCACCAGTGCAACCAAGGTGACAACCAGATAAACTCCCTTAGTTTCCAGTTTTTTGCTACTATAAAAAGATGTCCTATACATATTTTTATAGATTATGGGCACTTTTCCTTTTTCTTTGACCTCTTTAGATTATAAGCCTAGTAGTGGTATTACTTGTCAGTGAGGCATTTCTTTAAATATTCAGTCAGTAAAAATTTATTCTAACTATCGTAGTAAGAAAAGAGACAACATTAGCTATAGTTTCTTGTATGGAAAAATAAAATATTTAGTGTTTGTTTATCATTGTGATTTTACCTAATGGTGTAGAACCGTAATATGGTGGACAAAGTGCCGGCATTGGAGTTAAGAACTCTTATGCTCAGACCTGGCCCCCAGCTTTTACTAGCTATAGGCAAATCACTTCATTTCTTTGAACTTCAATTTCCTCACCTCTGAAATGGGGTTAATGATGTTTGTAGTACATATCTCACAGGATTATTGTGATAATGTATTTAAAACATTTTGTAAACCATAAAGCACTACATAAATATCAGTTGTTATCATTATTAGTATTACTTGTTTCCAAGACTTGGAATTAGTATGTGGTACATTTGTGGATTAATGAGGCTATTCAGTATACAGACTCATTCATATATTGTGGCCAAAAGAGTCCACGTGACCTGAGCTTTTCCTGATTGCCAACTCCTGATCTAGATTAATTACTTGCATAATGAAATTGTCATTTAGCATTTACCTAAATTCATTCAACATCCTAATACAGCCTCTTTAGAATTATTATTAGTATCTCTTGAAAAGGCTTTGTCAACTTCAATGTTACATATCGTTATTGTTATTGTCTTGAAGGCCATATTAAATAGTTTTGAGAAATCTTATAGTTTTAAAAATATTTCATCATCCCCCTAAAGCTTACCTACTTCCCCTAACTTTCCATTTCTAGTGATTGCATGACTATATCCTCTCAATTCTCTGGACTCTACACATCCTAAACATCTTGGCTCTTCTGTATCCTTCATCTTCCACATCCAATCATCAGAGGCATCTAAGTGGCACAGTAGAGTGTTAGTCTTTGAGTCAGAAAAACCTGAGTTCAAATTATACCTCAGAATCTTACTTAACTGTGTGACACTGGGCCATTAATCTCTCTCAGTTTTCATTTCTTCTTCTGTAAAATGGAATAATAATAGTTCTTACCTCATACAGTTATTGTGAAGATCAAATGAGATAACACGAAAAGCACTTTGTAAATCTTAAAGTGCTGTATAAATGCTGACCATCATTTATTGTTATTATCAGTTAAGTCTTATTAATTTAACCTCCACAATATCTCTTGAATCTATCTCCTTTCAATTCACACTACCAAACTTGTTCAGGCTTTTGTCATCTCCTACTTAGACTATTGTAAGAAGTACCTAACTTGCCTTGAAATCTCCCTTTTCTCCAATCACTAAAACAGAGTTAGGAAGGATCTTTGAGACCACATGTACAACCCATACCTGACTAAAATTCTCTCTATAACATCCTCAGCAAGCAGTCATCCAATTTTCTTTTGAAGGCTTGAGAAGAAGGGGAACCCAGTGTTTTTTGATGCAGCCCATTTTATATTCAGACAGCTTTCTCTAATTTTTAGGAAATTTTTCCTCATAGCATTCCCTCCGTGGTATCCTCCCACAGTTGGGTCCACAGAGGGACGTCTACTCCAGTTTCAAGATACTCTAGGTCTATATTCTTAAAACTGTTGGTTCTGTACCCTTACCAGTGGATTTACCTTCAGTCAACCAAAAGACAGCTATCTTAAAGAAAACGCATTTAATGAGATGGAATAGGAAGAACAATAGCTATAAAACATCCTTCCCTCCATCCTCCAAAGAACCTAGGATTCAACTCCAATAAATACACATAGAGCCAGTGGGAAGCATAGGCACACACTATTAGTATATGATAAATTTGTACAATTTGAGAAATTAACACATGTACAGATTCATTCATATATTATAGCCATAATTATACACAGAGTGTACTAGTAGAGAGGTATACACTTAGCACATGTAGCAGAGATAATTCACACTACAGAGTTCTAATGTCCTTTCTCTTCTTGTGGTATCCTTATGCTGCTCCCCTTGTGCAGAGCATCTCTTCTGGGTATATCACTCTGTGGGGAATCCCTGGATCTGATCCCTACTGGGCACAGTGAGTCCTACTAGGCAAGTAATTCCATTGCAGCATGCCAAGGCTGATTTGGCAGGGATAAGGGAACCCCGCTCTCCCCAGGAAGTATGAAGAGTGATAATATCTAAAGAGCTGAGTTGTTATTCCATAGTAGGCTCTTATCAACAACCAGAGTTCACATTCCTCGGTGTTATTCTGCCTCGACCCACTGTCTTGAGCAAGGGTCCTTAACCTGGGGTCTTTGAACTTATATATTTTGATAACTATACAATTTATTTTCTCTGTAATCCATTGTATTTATTTATTTTTAGTTTTCAATATTCACTTCCATAAGATTTTGAGTTCCAAATTCTCTCCCCATCTTTCCCCTCCCCCTACCCCAAGATAGAATGCAATTTGATATAGGCTCTACAGATACATTCTTTTTTGGGGGGAGGGGCAGTTGGGGTTAAGTGACTTGCCCAGGGACACACAGCTAGTAAGTGTCAAGTGTTTGTTTGGTCTGAGGCCAGATTTGAAATCAGGTCCTCCTGACTTCAGGGCCGGTGCTCTTACTGCGCTACCTAGCTTCCCCATATACATTTGTATTGAACCTATTTTCACATTAGTCATGTTGTAAAGAAGAATTAGAGCCAATGGGAGAAACCACAAGAAAAAGAAAGAAACCCCCACCCCAAAAAAAGAGAGAGCAAATAATTTGCTTCTATCTCCATTCAGACTCCAAAGTTTTTTATCTGGATGTGTATAGCATTTTCCATCCTGAGTCCTTTGGAGTTACCTTGGATTCTTGCATTGCAAAGAAGAGATGAGTCTATCAGAGTTAGTCATTGCACATTGTAGTTGTTACTGTGTACGATGTTCTCCTGGTTCTGCTCACTTCACTCAGCTTCAGTTCATTCAAGTCTTTCCGGGTTTTTCTGAAGTCTGCTCGTCATTCCTTATAGCACAATAGTATTCCATCACATGTATCTCATGTACCTCAACTTGTTCAACCATTCCCTAACTGATGGGCTTCCCCTCAATTTCCAATTCTTTGCCACCACAAAAAGAGCTGCTATAAATATTTTTGTACATATGAATCCTTTTCCCATTTGTGTGATCTCTTTGGGATATGGATCTAGAAGTTATATTGCTGGGAATCCTGTGTATTTTATGCATTTTAAAATAGCATTTTGAGACAAGGTTCCTAGGTTTTACTAGGTTAGACCGAGAGGTCCATGACACAAAAAAGGTTAATAATCCTTGTCATAGAGACTGTCTTGCCACCAGCTGATTCTAATTCTATCTGGGCTGTTAGGTGGTAGAGTAGATAGAGTGTGGGGCCTGGAGCAGATCTGGCTTCAGACACTTAGTAGCTGTGTGGCCCTGGGCCAGTCACTTAACTCTGTTTGCCTTGGTTCCTGATCTGTAAAATGAGCTGGAGAAGGAGATGGCAAACCAACCCAGTATCTCTGCTAAGAAAACCCCAAATGGGGCTACAGAAAGTCAGACAGGACTGAAAAACAACTCAACAACAACCACCTTGATTGAAGGACTTTTCATTGAAGTCCTTAATACCTCCTTGACCCTTGCCCTTTGTTCTATAATGTCATCACCTAGAGCTTGGGATGACAATGTGGAAGAATCAGATAACTAGATAGGTAGTCATATCTTCCAGTTTTTTCATTATTCTCCAGCAATGACTTGAATTCATCAAGAGTAACCAGGTGCTTTCTAGTGCAGTTAGAAAGAGAGCTGAATTTGGAATCAGCACCCTAGCTTGAATTGAAACTTTGCCCCTTACAACTTAAAATATCTTGGGCAAGTCACTTTTAAACTCTGTGAGACTCAGTTCAAAGTATCACAGAATTTGAGTGTTTGAAGAGACCACTCTGTGTGTGTGTGTGTGTGTGTGTGTGTGTGTGTGTGTGTGTGTGTGTGTATTACATCAGATTTTTTTATATGATTGGTTTTGCTGATTTTTTTCTCTTACTACTTAAAAAGAGGAAATAGAGGTGATGTAAAAACGGACAATAGCAATAAAAATACTGATTTTTAAAAGGGAAAAGATTATAGTGACTATGTAGTTCAACTTGTACATGAAGAGTAATCTCCATTATAACATACCTAAGAAATGCTTGTCCAGCCTCTGAAATTCATCTCCTCTGTAGTCCCTTTCAGTTCTGAATATGTGATCTTATGATCAAGTCAGCAATCATTTATTAAATGTTTACTGTGTATACTGGAGATTTTTAAAAAGGCAGCAACAGTCCATTTCAAGGAGCTTGTGGTTTAAGGGGAGTAAGGACATGCAAACTAGGTACAAACAAGATACATACAGGATAAATTGGTGATAATCTAAGAGGGAACGCACTATGATTAAGAAGGACTGGGAAAGGCTTCTTGCAGAAAGTAGCACAGATTTGAAGAAAACCAGGAAAGCCAAGATGCAGAGATAGAGAGAATTCCAGGCATAGGGGACATCTAGTGAAAATTTTAGACATCAAGACAACCTACAGTTGAAAGATATGGAGTGTTGTGTGCAAAGAACAGGGAGGAAGCATTTGCCACTGGACTGCAGACATGAAAGTAAGGTATAAGAAGACTAGAGGGGTAGGAGTGGGGCAGGTTATGAAGGGCTTTAAAAGCTAGATGGGATTTTATGAATCCAGAAGGTAATAGAGAGCCATTATAATTGACTGAAATAGGAAAGTGACATGGACTTACTGGCCCTTTATGAAAGTCAATTTGATAGTTGAGTGAAGGATAGGCTGCAGTGGGAAAAGGCAACCAGGAAGACTTGCTAGCAAACTAACGTGACAGTCCAGCTGTGAGGTGATTGAGGGGCCTGCACCAGGGCAGTAGCAATATCAGGAAAGAAGAGGATATATTTGAGAGATGTTATAAACCATTTGTGTTCTACCTAGGGTAGAGCATTCTAAAGTCGTATTGGTCTGATCAGCCACAGTTGGATGCATTGTAACTTGACTCTAACATAGCGATGTCATTTTGATCCTTTTGGAGAACAAAGGGCAACAACCAGAAACAACAGGATTTGGCAACTGATTGGATATGGGGAGTGAGCGTGAGGAGTTGAGGGTGACACTTGGTTTGTGAGCCTAGGTGACTAAGAGCTTGATGGTGCCTGCGACAAATAATAGGGAAGTTACAAAGAGGAGAGAGTTTTGGGGAAAAGATAATGAGTTCAGTTTTGAACATGATGAATTTAAGAAACATCCAATTCAGGATATGTAATAGGCATTTGGAGATGAGAAACCAGAGGTAAGGAAAGTTGTTAGGGTTGGACAAATAGATCTGTGAGATTTCATCTGCATGGATTTGATCATTGAATCCATGGGAACTGATTATCACCAAGTGAAATAGCACTGAAAGTGAAGAGAAGAGAGCCAAAGCTACCTGGAGGGTACCCACAGTTAGAAGGCACAACTTGGATGCAGACCAAGGGGACAGAGTCAGTCAGACAGGTAGAAGGAAAGCCAACAGAGAGCAGTGTTATAAAATTCTAGAGAAAAGAGAATGTCAAGGAGAAGGTGAATGAGAGGTCAGTAAGGATAAGGATTGAATTAAAAAAAAAACATTAGATATGGCAGTTAAGAGCTCATTGGTAGGATTGGTAATAATAATCCTTAATAATCTTGGAATTTCAGCTCTCAGCTAATGATTTTTATTCTGTCTTTTCCGGTCCCCCTGGGCAGGAAAAAAGTGAACTGTTAGTTGAGCAGTTCTATTTTCTCTTTTTGTCATCCATTACCATTATCCTATGCACCCAAGGCAGAGATTTTGTCCTTTCCTTGATCCTCCTCTTTCCCACAGTATACTAAGAAAACTCTTTTCGTTATCTATAACATGCCTTGCCAGCCTCAGCTCATTGTAAGTTTTATTGCAATTGACACCATTTTTATAGAATCAAGCCACATTGTTGTGCTTGTCTTTAGTTATCCACCTTTGCTTTCATCTGATGTACATGTCCTTTTTGGTCAATGAGTTCCCTATACATCCACATTGGACTTTTTAAGACTGTTCACCTTTTTTTGTTCTTTGAAATTGTTTCCATTTATGCCTTTAGAATATTATTTTTGAGAGGTTCCCCTCCCCACTGGGCTGAATTGCTCTATAGAATTTTAGTCTCTGGTATTCTACCTAGCCTTTCTCTGAATTCCTTAGCCTAACATTGAATGCCCTTTTTAATTTGACTTCATCCTATCTTTGCAGCTTTATTTCGTACTATTCCTCTGCTAGCTGCTGCTGATCTTGTCCTACAAAATTCTGCCTTGCATTCACATGCAGGATCTCTGTTCCTTCTCATCTCTACCCATTGAAGTCCTTCCTGTTACTTATGTCCAGATCAGATGTCATCTCCTTTCTGAAGCTTTTTCCTCATTTCTTCTGTTAATCTGCTATAGCTGAAAGTGATAGTTTCCCTTCAAATTTTTCTAGAGCACTTTATCTATATATCTTACTTGCTCCAAATACATTCTGCCTTATCTCATACTTATTTGTATAGACTTATCCACCCATGAAGTTGTAAGCTTCTTGAAAGCAAAGGCATGTTTTTATTTTATTTTTGTCTTTGTGTCCTAGATGCCTACTACAGTGTCTTGGGCATAATAAGTTTATAATAAATATCAAGTTAATAAAATTGAAATTTCCCACTTTTCTTAGGAGAATCCAAGTGAAGAAGATGCTGCAATTGTGGACAAAATATTGTCTTCTAGGATAGTAAAGAAGGAAGTGAGTACTTAACTATTTTATATTGTGTATTTAATGTTCTTTCTGAATTGTAATAATTGTTCTTTTCTTTTCTCTTAGATATCACCTGGAATGATGATTGATGCAGAAGAATTTTTTGTAAAATACAAGAATTAGTGAGTATTAATATGTTTAAGACAGTAAAGAAGGAGACTCTGGTTTAGAAAGAAGTACAATGTTTGGAACATTAGGAAGCTATTAATTATCACCCTCATTTGTCTTTTTTAATTTTAATACCAATACTGTTTTTATTATTTAAATTACTGCATTAGCCTGATTGAAAGACTATAGAAGTCCATGGTCCAAAGTCACTTACAGTAAATTAAATAAATTTGTTCATTATTTTCGTGTTTTTGAGATGCTTACATTTATTTTAGTGATCATCATCAACACAGATGGTGCCTGGTTAATTTCTTTAACATATCATTCTTGTTTTAATAAGTTAATTTTAACCTATTTTATGGATTAATCAAGTGTAAAAATGTATAATTGATGGGGAAGGGAGACAAAAAATTCCAAATTATACATTTATAAGAAAAATAGAAAGTAAAATATGTTTAATTTATTCTACTTTTTTAAAAAAAATTCTATTCTTTATCTTACTCTCCTAGACTTGTAAACTTAACTATATGATTCTGGAATTAAAATTATTTTATATTCATAAAATAACATTTTCCTTAATGATAAGACAATTAGTAATAAAGATGTTAATGATGAATGACACTGCATTGCTTACCAGTCTGCTTCCACTTAAACTGCTGACTTGTGTACTAAATCTTGTTGAAACTACAATGAGGAAAATATTTTTAGTCCAAAAGTTATTTATGTGAGAGGAGCAATAAAGCAAAATGTCAGATCACCTATTTACAAAGCTGAAAGTTAGTATGTGTTAGTAGGTGTTTTAATTAAATTCAACTGTGCCCACCTTGGCTTATTTTGATATAATAACATAACAATTTTTATAACAATTTCAGCTCCTATCTTCACTGTGAGTGGGCCACAGAACAACAACTTTTAAAAGATAAAAGAATACAGCAGAAAATCAAAAGATTCAAACTGAGACAAGCACAACGAGCACATTTTTTTGCAGATGTAAGTAATAGTAAACAAACAAAAAAAAGTGCCATAAACTTCCATTTGCTGACCTCTGTTTACAATATTGTTTGCCAAGTCTTTGACTAACTGTACTTCTCAGCTTCTCAGCCTTCCTTTTTGAATGTAACTACTATGTACAAGACAAACCTAAGTTTTTCTTCAAAATTGAATTTGAAGATATTTTTATGTCTTCCTTGATGGAAGAGAGTAATGGCCCTACTAACCTAAAATAATGGGTATAGAAAAATAGTTTGCAATTCTTTTTAAATGCATTTTTGGTGCTTATAAACATGTATGTGTTATATGTAAATTTACAGTACTTAAAAAACAATAAAGAAATCCCTCCATAAAAACCCCATGTGGGTTATATCTCAAAGAACTCAAAGGAGTTGTTTAATTTGCAGAAATGATAATTCTTCAAGAAATTTGAAAACAAGACTTATCTTTTGATTGATTGTAATAGGTAAATTATATCAGGATTCTGTTTACTGGAGGTAGGGTTGCCCACCAATCATTTTTGGCCAGTATCTTATCATAACACCGAAAGGCACTTTTGATGATTTTTTTAAAAATATATTTATTTTGGTAACCCCACATTTAAATGAAGTAGGCAGCATGGGCTTAACCTTTCTGTACTAGTTATCTCATCAGTAAATAAAGGATTAGTCATATCATTTCCAAGGTCCACATGAAATTATTTTTAACCTAATTCAAATAAAATAAGTAGCAGTTCTGTTAGTGAGTCTTTCATTCAATCATTGAGTTTATTCCCACCCTTTGCTAACTAAATTATTTTTGAATTTCAGATGGAAGAAGAACCTTTTAACCCTGACTACGTTGAAGTAGACAGAGTGTTAGAAGTTTCTTTTTGCGAAGATAAGGACACGGGTGAGGTAAGTATTCAGTAAAAGAAGTAAGTCAGAAAGACATAGCTTTCCAAGTAAAAATTATTAATTTTTTTAAAATTGTGTTCTAAAAATAAAATGCTAATAGATTTGGTTTTTTTAAAAATATTTTAGTATACTCAGAATGTTTTTAACTTCTTAGTTTTAACAATGGCTTTTTTACACTGGTAAAGTTTTTAAATGATTTGCTTTTTACAGCCTGTAATTTACTACTTGGTAAAATGGTGCTCATTGCCATATGAAGATAGTACATGGGAACTGAAAGAGGATGTAGATCAAGCAAAAATAGAAGAATTTGAACAACTGCAAGCCTCGAGGCCTGACTCTCGGCATTTGGTAAGGACATCTCTGGGTTACAGATACCTTATCTTCAAAAAGCCTTGATACCTTCCTGATGCTAGCTGTTGATTTAGTTCATACTAGGTTGCTTTCTAGCCTAAGTTTACTTTTCTTGTATTTTCTCATTTTCCTTTGTATTTAAAGACAGCACCAGTAATGATCTTGTTACCTTTGTCAGTTTACCCTGTCAGCAGTACTTAGAATTCAACAATTATGATGTTTATATTATATTCTACCTGCTTTCTTGCTTTTAACTTTTAACCCAGTAAGGCAAAGTAAAGACACTTAGAAATTAATGTGGAGCATATTTTTGTCAGGTTATCTTTCTGATCAGCAAACAGATATTGAGCATCTATGAAAGTTAAACTTTATTTGATTAAAAACATATAATTTGAAATGTTTTATTATATTAGAATATAATGCTTAATAGCATTAAGTCAAGTGAAGTTATAAGGGAAAGATTTATCAATTAGATAACTAAATAATTATCATTTATATATATATATATATATATATATATATATAATTATATAAAAGTAGTCCCTAATTATTTGAGTGAGGGAGCATATGTTTTTGAGTCACTGAGAACTGTGAGGAAACCACTTTGTTGTTACAGATGTTTTTAAAGTGTGCTATTTTGTTTAAGAATTGTTTAAAAAGGGCATATCTTAGAGAGTCAATCATGTGGTAACAATGTTATAAGAAGTACTAGTTTGTATTCATTATTAATATTGATGATCTTTCACTAAAACTCTATTCTAGGATATCTTATCATGGTACAGAGGTGACCTTGGGTTCTTAAAAGACGGTTCCTGCAGAATATAAGTTCTGTCTGACCCTATCAAACTCAAAAGACTTGAATATTAGCTCAGTGATGTGTGTTTTGTATCTGTCATCTGGAGACTAGATGACTTGAGTTTGAGCAGCTCATCACCAGATTGGTCAGAGGGTGAGAATTTTGGGACCACCACAGCTCCTGAAGGCTTCCTCCTTAGTCACAGAGGGGTAGCACTTGGCTTCAGTGAAGGGAGTTGACTACGTTGGCAAAAAAGCGGATGTTTGAAGTATTCCTGGTTACAGTGATGAGCATTTACATAAGACTTTAAGGTTTATAAATCACTTTCCTTATCACCTTGTAAAGTAGGTAAAAATATGTAGGCACCATAGCAAAATATTAATCAGTTCCAACTGAAAAGTAGATCTCCTATTCAAAGAGGTAAAGGTAGCAAATAGTAGAAAGAAACAGTGCTGAATTTTTATGAACATATAACTGTTAGTAGCAGGTACATTTAAGAAACTATGCCATCTACTAAAAAAAAAGGTTTGCACAGTTGAAAGGGGAAAAAGCTCAAAATATCCAGGATTAAGAAAAAAGAAGCTAATATATAACTAGTAGTAATCTGGAAATTTGCCATAATCAATATTTAAATATTCATTTTTTAATCTTTATTTAAAGGAGAAAGTTAAGAGTAACACAGAATTTCTAACATATTTTGGGGAAGATTAGATTTTAGCATTAGAAAGGACTTTAACACCTGTTAGTCAATTCACTTTACGGATGAAGAAACTGAGGACCCAGGATGAGAGGTGATTTACCCAAGATTAAACTGGCATTTCAGTCTACATCTTCTGACGTCACATCCAGTATGCTTTTAACTATTCTCATTATAAAATGGGAAATCCCAAAAGAAACCTTAGATAAAACAGGATATGTGGCAGAATTGTGTCACGTCATTGCTTATGTAATAGTAATGTAGATTTGTTTCAATATTAGGAAAGATCAAATACTGTTAGGTTTCTGCATAATTTCTTACCTGATCCAGAATGATAAAGTGTACTGATATCTAGCTGTGACAATGCCAGTTGGCATAGTATAGGGCAATGGGTAATAAGAAAGTACTAGAATACGGACATGTAAAGCTTTACCTTATACCCTTCTTCTAATATTCTTCTTGTCAGTAATACCAGGGGTCTCCACTATGTAAAGTAATAATTCTTGCTTATTGTAAAACTGCCTCTTTCAGACTTTATTGGGTTTTTTTGGTTCTAGTACTCTAGGATTTGTTAAGAATTTCCATTTCTGTACTGTTCACTTCCTTCTTAATTTTATAACAGTGACTTTATACTCACAATTCTTAGACCAAAGCTCCCTTCCCTTGCCACTGCTCCACAATATCTGTTGTATCCCCTAGTAAAATGTAAGTTCTTTGACTGTTTCACTTTTGCATTTGTATACTCAGTATATAGCATTGTTTTGGCACAAAATAATGCTTAATTGTTGTCGATTGATTTGTAAATTTTGACTACTCTATATTAAACATTTGTATTTACTGAGTAGAATCCCACTTTTAATTTGCCCTCATACATAAAAGGTTCTCCATTACCATGAACATTTTTAGAACATTTTAAGTTGCTCTTCTGTGGACCATTTATACATCTTATTCTGGTTCGTGGTTTAAACATTCATGTAGCTTGGTTTTTTGGTTTTAACTGATTATGGGGAACCTATCATTTTATAGTTATTCATTTGAGTTCATTGTTTTTACAGTGTTTTTCCTTTATGGATTGTATATCGGCTCACATTGAAACTTACTTTTCCTGCTTGTTCACATAGCCTTTTGAGATTTTGGCATAGTGCTACCTAGAAAGCATATCATTATCTTCAAACTTGAAAGTTTCTTTGTTTACTTCTTTTAGACCATTAAATATCAAATAACACTAATACCAGTTTGTAGGGGAATCCCATAGTTAATAAACTTCTCCATTCAGAAAAGTACCCAATCACTACATTTTAGAACTTTAAATAAAATTGGTCTCTATCCATAACTAAATATTCTCTCAAGTCCCTAGCAGCTCAGTTTAATAGGGTTTTTTTTTGTGTCTAACATTCTAAATTGTTTAAAAATTGTATATACTGGTTTCCCTTTCTAACTTTTAGCATCTCAAAGAACACTTGCAAATTAGTGAAAACATAATAACCCAATTTTTTAAATAATATATTTAGCGAATTTAGAGTTAGCAAAGGGGACCTTAAAGATTACTTCATCTATTTCGTTTTGTAAGTAAGGAAATAGAGACCCAAAGAAATTATGAGCTTTGACCCTAGTGTGTAGCTACTTAGTGACAGTGCATCAACTAGAATTTGGGTTTTCTGATCCTTCTCACTACCCCCTAAATATTCTTACCCTTATATCATACTGACTTCCATGTTTTTTTTCCCTAAGTTGATTTAGTTTCTGCATCCAGTGATCCTACCACTTATCCATACACTTGTCATATATGGAAGTGATATTGAGAGCCTTTCCTGTGGATATTTGACATTGGCAGTATGCTGTTCTGCTTGCCGCAGTGGCTGGTTGCCATGAAAAATTATATGTTTTGGAAACAGTTTTGTAATTTCATCATGAATTTGTTCTGTTTTATAGACAGAGTACCATCTGATCCCAGCAATGACATCTAAAGTGATTTACATCTAATTTGTTAATGAAGTCAAAAATATCTGACAGACTTGCTATTATTTTAACTTATGTTCTCAATCCCTCTATTCCAGGTTATAATTTTGGGGTCAGACTCTTCTTAATATTTTCCTTAGTAAAGAGATGAGGTCAAGTGAACTTACTTCTGGAAATTCACCCAACTCCATCATAATAGTTTAAAGTAGTTCCTAAGCTGATGTGCCAGAAAAGATTGGATGTCACTACTTGACCCTTATTTTGATATGGCTATTCTTGCATATATTGAAAGAAGAAGAAGAAAAAAGAGGAGGAAATTCTCTCTAAAAGAGATTCAATTATATTGTTTTTTCTCTTCTCACTACGTCTTCTTTCTGTTGCCCCACAAATAGCACGTAAACTTATTCCAGCCTGTTTGACACACCATCCCCTTCCCTGCAAATCTGCAACTATGCAGAGTTCAAATAGCTAAGAGAGAAGTGTGTCAAGCCCTGCTATCCTAGGGAAAGTGTTTGTTCTCTAATTTTTTATGTGGCAAGTAGTACTTTGTTTATCTCACCAACTAAATTATTGTTCAGTATATTGTTTGATAAAGGTGGTTCAGTAAGCAAGTACACCCCTCTGATTTGATGCATAATTGCTTAGGTATCAAAATTACATTGTTGTAGTACTGTTGTTAATAAATGAAGTAGCATGTAAGTATAAAATAGTTCAAAGCAAAAATCTTTACATGGATTTTTTTCTTTAACATAAATATATGTAACTATTGGTAACAAATTAATTTCTTAAGGAAACCACACTGAATGAGAATGAAGCACTTTTCCACAAATGCATGATTTAGAATAGGCATTCATATTAGAAGGCCCTTATTAAAGAAAACATTAAAAGGACAGTTATTCTTTAATTAGGAGTTTATTCTATTATTACTGGGCATTATTTTATAAAATTCATTTTCTTTAATAAATCCTAATTTTTCTGAACTAGATAGCTATAATAAAATTGGTTGGAACTAGTTCTGCTTGCACCATGTTCACGGAAACTGTATTTCATTCCTTGAAATGTCTTCATTCACTGATATTTTACCCAGATTAGATTAAGTATTTTGGCAGTTTTAGTTTCAGAAATTATAAAGGAGCAGAATAACAATATTCCTTTTATCATTTTTGTAGCAAAAGACAATATGAAAATCCTGTTGACCTTCGTTATTCTCTTCCTTGTTTCCAAGATATTTTTTGAGTTTTTAATTTGGACCTAAGGATAGAAAGTCTTATTTCTCTACATAAACTGTCATCCCTAGAAAGTCCATGTCCTGTCCAGAGTAAAACAATAAAATATTTTCATAAATGCCAAAGGAGGTGAATTAAATTTAAACATAATTTACTTTTAAACTGTGTTATTTAGCTAATAGTCTTGAAAGAAATGTTTTATACCTTGAATGTTGAAAATAGTGTTTGTTAAATGCTTAGAATAATTAAATGTATTAGAGATAGGCCTCTCTGATTTTAATAAACAGATTTTAAAACTCTGTTATAAAATGTTGATGAATAGAGTATTCTTTTAAGCATATTTGTTTTTTTTATTCTGCCTCAAAGGACCGTCCTCCTCCTAACACTTGGAAAAAAATAGAACACTCCAGAGAATACAAAAATGGCAACCAGCTCAGGGAATATCAACTAGAAGGACTCAATTGGCTATTGTTTAATTGGTACAATAGGTATGTCCTCTGTTTTTACACAACATTCGTAACATGTTGACATGTATATTAAATAAAAAATAAACACTATTGTTATATTGGTGGTAAAGTTTTGGTAATCTTTGTTATTAATTAAAGTGAGATAGGCACAGAAATATATTTTAGGTTGCATTTAAAAGTCAAATGTGAGGGGTTTTTTAGCCTTATGCATATCAGTAAGTAAAGAAATGAGTATGTTGATTATCATTGGATAAATATATTAAAAAATCATTCCCTTTGAATAGTAAAGAGACTGCCTTTCCTCATAATATTATCTTAACTGATGTAAATTATCTTCTATCATGCTTGGCAGTAATTGGAGCTGTTGAATCATCAGTTGAATCATCACCTGGAAGGATCAGGGCTCTATTTATTGATGTAAGAGTTCAGGAAGCTAAAACAGACATTTAGAATTGGGTTAAAGACCGAGATAAAGTACAAAATATAGAAACATAATAAATAATACAGGATGTCCCAAAAGTCTTAATGCTGTTCTTGTCTTTAATAGCTTGTGTAATGTAAAGGGTTTTTTTTTAGTTATTACTGCTAACACTGACATAATTTGCTCTTGCTGTCCCCATTACTATCTTCCTTTTCAATCATGGCACTATTAATTTTCTCTCTGCATCTCTGTGGGTGGCAATAAAAGATGATACCTATGAAACATTTTGAGTAACTTGGAAGATGTAAGACCCAAGTAGCATGTATACAGGTGTCCCAGAGACTTTGGGGACATACACTACTATACTACTACTAGTTGTATAACAATACAAGATATTCCAAAAATTTCCAAAATGTTATCTTCCAAGTTACTCAATATGTTTTGTAGGTATCATCTCTTATTACCACTCACACTGAGATGCAGAGAGAAAATAAATAGTTCCATATTGAAAAGGAAGACAGTAATGGGGACAGCAAAAGCAAATAACTACATCAATGTCAACATTAAAATTTTACATAATAATTATTAGATATCACAATTTTATCCATATTATATTTCTCAGAGATAATTAGTAATGATAAATTTAATGCATATTTTACAATGAGTAAAATGAGGTACAGATAATTTAAGTATCTCTTCAAAATTCAGTGATAATGGCTCTCCCTAGGTCCCCAGTAGTTCCTGACAACCGGAAAATGTCATTCTACTGCTTTACATTTCATGAACATTAATTTTTATTATTCCCAAAAGATAACTCCAATAAAAAATTGGCAAATATGTTTTATGTTATTACTTTCAGTATAATCTCTTATGATTTTATTCAAGACAGGAATGCAATAGAATCCCATTATAACACAGTTCATTGTTATAAGGATTCAGATATCCTGTAAGGGAAGGATGGGGGCAGTCCATCATATCCCTTGAAACAACTATTTATAAAGATAATGTAGCCCCTTTTTTTTTTAACAAAAATGTTGCAGTGTATTTGTTTAGTTCAGTTTTATATATTTTTTTAATAATTTCTATGTGCAGACAAAATGCTATAAGATAATATAGTGGGGAAAGGTTACTTAAAACTAGGAGAGTCAGGGAAAGCTTCACATTAACACTGGAACTTAACAGTAGTATCTTTGTTCTGGAATAACAACAAACACAATTTTATTCAGTTTTATGTTCCAGACTAATGAAGAGGTAGATAGAGGGCTTACCTTGAAGCCAGGAAAGATTTAGGTTCAGGTTTCACCTCTGATACTGGCTATGCAATTTAGGGCAAATCACTTAATCTCTTTAAAATTATAAATTGCATTGGTAAAGAGAGTTTCTCATCTAGGAGTTAATTAGTTCCACATCATTGAAGTCATAGATCCAGTCCTATTCCTTATATTCCCAACATAGTACTAATATTAAAAGTCTTCAACATACTCTCCACTGTTTCAACTTTGATAAGTTCTAAATAGTGGTGTTTTAATTTGCACTTTCATAATTTCAGTATATTGAGTCTTGGGAAAAATTTCTACATAAAGAGTGATATCTCTATAGTATCTTGATAGAAAATATATCTGTGTGTTTCAGACGAAACTGCATTTTAGCTGATGAAATGGGTCTTGGCAAAACAATTCAATCAATTACATTCCTCTACGAAATACTTCTTACCGGAATACGGGGGCCTTTTCTGATCATTGCACCGCTTTCAACTATTACAAACTGGGAGAGAGAATTTCGCACATGGACTGATCTTAATGTTGTGGTATATCATGGGAGCCTGGTTAGCAGGCAGATGATACAGCAGTATGAAATGTACTTCAGGGACTCACAGGTATTTTATAATGGTACTTTTGTTTCTTGCTTCAGAAAAAAAAAACCTGTTTAAATAGACAGATTGGAAAAGGAGTATATGCAATACCTACTATTGACATTTAAAGCTATGGATAAATTTTAATTACCTTCCTAAATCTTACTTTACTTATAAATTATATTTTTATTTTTTTATTGTTCAATTAAATAATGAACACAAAAATTGTGAAATAACAAATTAACCAATTTATAGGCATTTTCATTCGGTATCCTATTTAAAATAAGAACTGTTCTGATTTCCACCATCATAGACTTATGTAGAAAATTAGGCAATTTTCACTAAATTATTTTTTTCTTTTTTCTTTTTTTTCACTAAATTATTTTTAAATGAATTAAATATTCTAGCTAGCTGAGTTTTAAAATATTTTTCCTAAGTGAAAATTGAATTTGGGATCCATTTAGCTTGTGATAATTTCAGACAATTTCTCTGCAATTAATATGGTTAATTTCTCAGTTCAAAGTTATACATTTGCAATCTTAGCCAGGCAGGACCCATTCTGTTCTGATAAGAGCTGCCACCAAAACACTTTTCTCCTTCAAATTAGATCTTTGGCACAAAAAAAATTAACTGCACTATTATTAAACAGTGCTTGAATGGTTTACTCTTTTGTCTCCTGGAGCCACATTTCCTGTTTTATTTTGACCATTCATTCTGGGGATTTATCGTCTTTCCCCACCCCAAACACACAGGACACGAACATGTGAACAAGCATCATAAGAAAGAATTTCTTGGAAGTAAGTATAGGCCAGAAAACATGAAAAGGGAGATTTTAATCTTGGGGGAAGGACATTTACATTTTTGTTGAAAGTAATTAGTTAAAATTAAGAAATAAAACACTCTACTTCATAAATATCTTAGCATAATATTTTATGCTTTCATTAATCCTTTGGTACTATGAGCCTTCAAAATTATGAAAGTACTTAAAGAGTTGCTGTATTAAAATTGAGGTATAATTATGGTGGTAACTGGTGATTTTTTATTATATTATTAATCTGTTATTTTGCCTTTCATTTACATCTGATTATCTACTTATTACAGATATGAAATAGCAAAATTGACTGGTTTTGTTTCTATAGCCACAGCTATTTTTATCTACTTTAAGGCTCCATGCAAATTTTAATAAATATTCTGGAATTTTTTGAGTATTTCTAAGCACATTACTGAAAACTGATTTTAACCACTTCAGCCCTTTCTTCAACCTCCATGTAGATCAGGACATCTTACTATTTATTTTTGTATATGGTATCTTATTCTTAATAATAGGAGTATAAATCTAGAGCTAGAAGGGACATCAGAGGCCACCTAACCCAACCCTCTTATTTTACAAGATGAGGAGACTCAGATTCCTAGAGGTAAATGACTTGCATAGGGTTAAACAGATAGTAAGAATGAGAGATGGATTTGGACTCCAGGGGTGGTGTTTTTTCAACCATGAGATAGAAATCATAAAATTTCAGAGCCGGAGTAAATCTTAGAGGTGATATAATTCAACCCTCTCATCATCATCATCATCATTATTGTTATTATTATTATTATTATTATTATCATCATCATTATTTTGTGGAGGCAGTCAGGGTTAAGTGACTTGCCCAGGGTCATAAAGCTACTACAACCCTCTGTATTTAAAAGGAAAGAAACTAGTTTCTGAAGAGCTAAGGAATTTGATCTCAAGGTTGTGATTCATTTTGATATTTGCTTTATGTAATTCACATTGTAATATGGCAGCAAAGCATCTTCATATTTCTGCTGTGTATAACAAACATGTCTATTCACTAAGTAAAAAAATCATAATTCATTGTGATATCTTAAAAATTATACTACCTAAATTATTTTATCTTAAAATATTCCATATTAAAATTGATTGAACATGTCTCATGTACTGAGACATGATTCTAGGCAGCTTGGTGGTTCCAGTGGATAGATTGCCAGGCCTGGAGTCAGAAAGACCTGAGATTAAATCCAGCCTCACACACTTGGTAGCTGTGTGACCCTGGGCAAGTCACTTAACCTCTGCTAGCCTCAGCTTCCTCATCTGTAAAATGATAACAATAATAGTACATATTTCCCAGGGTTGTTGTGAGGATCAAATGAGTTAATAATTGTAAAGCACTAAGGACAGTTTGTGTTACATAGCATGTGCTATATAAATGTTAGCTATTATTATTATTAATTTTAATTTTAAATTTAGGAAAAACATACGTTCAAAACTTCCTCTTTGTGGATAGAGCGCCAGCCCTGAAGTCAGGAGGACCTGAGTTCAAATCCGGCCTCAGACCAAACACTTGACACTTACTAGCTGTGTGACCCTGGGCAAGTCACTTAACCCCAGTTGCCTCACTTAAAAAAACAACAAAAAACTTCCTCTTTAAAAAGGTGTGTCACTGTAAATTGTTTATCCAGTATGATAAGATCTATTAATGATGAATACCAGACATGCTTTTTTGAAAGTTTGTAGAACTGTATTGATATCAGCCTAGTAGTAGAATTACAAATTCCTCAAATCAATGTCGAGAAAATAATTGATATGAGTAGTTATTTAGGGATCTTATCTCAGCTTTCTGCTGCTGCTTATAATAATAACAACACAACAGCAACTTACATTAATGCCACACTTTAAATTTTGTACAACAACAACAGCAAAGGGCTTTCGTCACAACAACACTGTTGTAAAACAGGAGGCAGTGCAAGTATTGTTACTGTCATTTTATAGAGGAAGAATTTGAGGTTCATACTATATCATATACTTAGAAGTAAAGGAACATTTGATATCATACCCCCTCATTTTCTACAGGAGGAAACTGAGACTCAGAGAGGTTAAGTGATTTGTCCATGGTCACACATGTATTAATTGATAGAGGTTCAGTTTTAACTCTGGATTTCTGACTCCAAATTCACTACTTTGTTTTTTCATAAAATTTGATGCAGGATTCAAAGCCAGGTCTTCTGTCTCCAGTTCTGTAAAACAAATACCAGAAGATGTTAATGAAAAATGTGATTTCTTTAGAGACTTATTAATAGTATGTCTGTTATGCCTAGTATACAATTGGCTCATGTCTAGTATTGCCCTGATGATGACTGTCTAATGTTGAGATAAATCAGAACACATGATTCCCTCATTCTTGCTTCTAAGATGTTCCTGGTTTAATTTCCAAGGTCAGTCACTACAAGGAAAATTACGAAATCAGACATATAGTCACACTGTAAATGATTAGTTTTTGGCATTTTAGTTTACAGTGGACTATGTTAGCATTAGATTTTTTGACCAACATCTGCAGTATATCTGTAAAAAATAAACACATTTTGAAAAAAATCTGGCCAAATTTTGTTGTTGTTTAAATAAAATATATATTCTTAAAAATTATATGTGTGTATGCATATATACATATATGTGTGTATATTCCTAGAAAGAATTCTTTGAATACTATAATAAATTACATAATATCCACAAATTTATTTGTAAACATATAGAATCATATTCTTGAAAAAGCTCATAGCCGTATAATTTTTGATTAATTTGCTACAAGTTTTCAAGATTTTATGATACAAATAATTTTCTTAGATTTTAACCTATCTATGGAAAAAAGCGTATAACATAAGATAAATTATCATTTTCTGTTAGTGACAATGAAATGAAACCTGAAGTGTGGCCTCTAAGATGTTTTGTCAATTTGTTAAATTTGTTAATAAACTTCTAGGGGCGTATTATTAGAGGAGCATACAGGTTCCAGGCCATAATCACCACTTTTGAAATGATTCTGGGAGGCTGTGGAGAGCTCAATGCAATTGAATGGCGATGTGTGATTATTGATGAAGCGCATAGGTTAAAGAATAAAAATTGCAAACTCCTAGAAGGTCTGAAACTCATGAATCTGGTGAGTAAACTCTTTTTTAACTTTGATTCAGTTTGTTACCTATTTATATATTGAAATTTTTTAGTCAAGTGGAGGGACAGGGTTAAACCTTATTTCTCAAAATGTTGAGATTATATTTATTTTACTATTAACTATGACCTTAAGCTTTCTTGCTTTTGATTTCTTGATTTTGTATTTAGATATTTGTGTTTTTAACATATTTTAAATTCCTCAAATACTGGAAGTATTTTAGGGGCTTTATTTTTGTGGGGCTTTGTTTTTGTCTTTTTCTTTTTAATTAATGTAATTTCCATTGAAAAGGTTTAGAATTTAAAAGCAAATGAGCAATTATATTTTTAATATCTTTTGTTTTTATATCACCAGCATTTCCCATAATGTCCAACCCCACTTCACCCCCATTATCCAAGAACCATCTTGTATAACAAAGGATAAAAAAAAAGAAGGGAAAAAGCAGTTCAGAAAAACTAACCAACGAAGTCTAACAACACATACAGTGTTCTACACCTGTAGTCCTACTCCTCTGTAAAGAAGAGCAGCTATAACTATTTTGATGTACATGAGACTTTTATTTCTTTTTTATACCTCTCTGGTACAATGCCTAGCACCAGGCTCTCTGGGTCAAAGGATATGGTACTTTTAGTTACTTTGTTGTTGTTCAGTTGTTTTAGTCACATCCAACTCTTCATGACCCCATTTGAGGTTTTCTTGGGAAAGATACTGGAGTGGTTTGCCAATTCCTTCTCCAGCTCATTTTGCAGATGAGGAAACTAAGGCAAATGGGAGTAAGTGACTTGCCCAGGGTCACACAGCTACTAAGTATCTGAGGCCACCTTTGAACTCAGGTCTTCCTGACTCCAGGTTTGGCACTATCCATTGTGCCACCTAGCTGCCCCAGTTACTTTAATAGCATGGTTCTAATTTGCTTTCCAGAATGGATGGACCAGTTTGAAAGTTCTCTAACCGTTTGCTAGTCTTCCTCTTCCTATAGCCCCTCCAATATTTACTCTTCTCATCTTTTGTCATGTTGACCAATTTGTTAGATGGGGGGTGAAAACCTCAGAGTTGTCTGACACTTTTCTCTTTTTTGTGATTTGAAACAGTCTTTCATATGATAAAGGTTTATAATTCTTCTTTTTAGAACTGTTCATTCATATCCTTTAACCACTTATTCGGGGAATGTCTGTCTGTTTGTATTAATTGGTTTCTGAGATCTGAGGTGTTCTCTAGCTGTAGACCTATGGAATGGAATGAAATAAAATAGAATGGAATGAAATGGTATTTATTAAGCCGTTGCTCTGTGCACAATGCTGTGCTCAGCACAGAAAATTGAGGAAGTGTCTTCTCTTGAGGAGCTCACATTCAAATTGGGGGACACAACACATAAAGGAGGGGTCATGTTCATGTTTGGTTCATGGCAGGTGGAAAGGCCAGATATTATTTAGGCAGGGAAAGTAATAGAACATACAGCTAGGTGCCAAGGATGTTAAGGAGTAATGGTAAAGTAGGTAGTCTGCTTCGAAAGAGGATGGTATGTCCAAGGGTTAGAATGTAATGAGGCCTGGGATACCTGCAGATGTGCAGTCAGCAGCCAGATGATAATAGGCAACGTGTGCTTGCTGGGAACTAGACAATAAGACATTGTGTTGATTAGAGAAAGGAAATATTTGGGTTCCCTCAGGGTGGTGCTAGTCTCTCTACCGATGTCTAGTTAGTGACATCATATTTCATGCAAATTTTTTTTTTAATTCCCACTTGACTACTTCTTTTCTTATCCTAGTTGTGTTAATTTTTTTAACTACACAATTTTTAATCACTCAGTATATATATTGCTATGCAAACCATAGGAAAATCAGATCACATGCTTTAAGGCAGAGTTCTTAACCTAGGGTCTATAAGCTTTAAAAAAAATTGATAACTAAGTAAAATTAGTTTTCTTTTTTGACCTTTTTCATTTAATGTTATGCATTTTAAAATATTCTGAGAAGAGGCCCATAGGGCTTCACTGGAGACTGTGAGCTCATAGAGAGCTGAGACTATTTTTTGTCTTTTTTTGTATCCCCAGCACTTTATAAAGTGTCTGACACATAGAAAACACTTAATGCTAGTTATTGGCTAACCAGATTGTCCAAAGGGGGTCCATGACACAAAAAAGGTTAAGATCCCCTGCTCTAAGGTATAAAATCATGGAAGAATCTTGTAAACATGCATAGCTTTTAGATATATAGCTTTCTTCATGTATGTTGTTGTAGATAGATTCTATATCTTAGCATAATGGTAATCAATAATAATAAATTTTCTTTTTAAACTGTCTCATTTTTAGTGTTTGTTGAATAAGAAACTCTGAGTTGTAATTCCTGGTGACAACATAAAAATTGGGGGAATTTATTTTCCTAGTTAGAAAAAAAAAGTTCAAAAATAGAAGTGATTTTAACTGAATTATAGTAATTAATTGATTTCTCATCTCTCCAATCTGCCCTTCACACTTCTGCCAAATTGATTTTCCAAAAGCTCAGATCTGACCATGTCATTATCCTATTTAATAAATTCTGGTGGCTTAATATTACTTTAGGGATGAAGTACATACTCTTCTATTTGGCATTTGTAGCCCTTTACAATCTGACCCTAACCCTAGCTAGAGTGTGTGCTTCTTGAAGTCAGGGACCATATTAACATTTGTTTTTTGTATCTGCACCTCCTAACATAATGCTGTACACATGGTTGGCATTTAATAAGTGCTTATTAACTGATTTATTCTAATCAGTTCTTAACACTTGTATTTTAGTTATATAAAATAAAAACTGGAATCCTATCTTTTTTTTGCCACAGGATTAACTTTATTCAAGTACAAAAATGAATAGGTAGAGTTCTGTACTTTCGTTAGTTTAGGATCCAGACTTCACCTCTCCTTTTTAACTGCCCCTACCTCTAGCCTCCTGAAATCCTACCCTTTCTTTAGGGAGTAGACTCATGTGTACCTTTCCTATGAAAATGCAGAAAATACCTTTCCCTTTTCAAACTTAACATAGCACTTTTTACTTTTACTGCACTTATTAAGATCTATTTTGTATTACAGTGATTTCTATATGTTATATTCCCCTACTAGATTGTAAGTTCCATGAGCATATAGTAGATACTTGGTAAATATTTGTTCATTTTAATTATGTGAAGTTACTGAAGAAATAGCCATTGCTCCAGCTCTTAAAAAGAGACTGTCTTCCAGTTGAGAAACTGATGATACTTGTGAAGTGAGTTTTATTACATAAGCACCATATCAACAGGTAGAAATTAACATAGTATTAAAGAAACATTCAAGAAATACACAATAAAAGTATTATCATTTAGGTAAAGTTAATTAGGGAGGACTTGCTAGAGATGAATTTTCAACTCAATTTTGAAGAACATGATGGGTACACTATGTTTCTTACATATGCAAATGTGTTTTTGAAAAGGTAAGAGCAAGTCTTTAGTTGACTTAGGTGCTTAGAAAAAATGATGTGTGAACTATTCTGATTTGATATAGGAACACAAGGTGCTTTTGACTGGTACGCCACTTCAGAATACAGTTGAAGAACTATTCAGTCTTCTTCATTTCCTTGAACCCTTACGATTTCCCTCTGAATCAACTTTCATGCAAGAATTTGGGGATCTTAAAACAGAAGAACAGGTAATTTCTAAATGAAGGACATCAAATTTCTTATCTTTGTTGTTATTTTTATATAAATATCCATTACAACTATGTAACATTTTCTGCAGGTGCAAAAGCTTCAAGCCATTTTAAAACCAATGATGTTGAGAAGATTAAAAGAAGATGTAGAAAAGAAGTTGGCTCCTAAGGAGGAAACCATAATTGAAGTGGAACTTACTAATATTCAGAAGAAATATTACCGGGCTATCTTGGAAAAGAATTTTGCATTTTTATCCAAAGGAGCAGGACAGGCTAATGTACCTAATTTAGTTAACACTATGATGGAACTCAGAAAATGCTGTAACCACCCTTATCTTATCAAAGGTATCTTCAGTAGAATTGCAAACTGTAACACATTGTCACCTCTTTTACAGTATGCTTAACTTTTCTGCTCTAGGTATTCAAGTTTCATATATTATTTGTGTGTTCATTAGATGGATTAAGAGCACAAGCTGTGATACCTTTCCTTAGCTACATAGATAACCATCCGTACAGATAATGAATATGTGTACAGTCAGGAGTTGACTATACTTGTATGTTGCTTATGTGTGCTCATATTTGTTTAACAGGTGCTGAAGAGAAAATACTTGGGGAATTTAAAGAAACACATAACCCAGCTGCTCCTGACTTTCATCTTCAAGCAATGATCCAGTCTGCTGGCAAATTGGTCCTCATTGATAAGCTTCTTCCAAAAATGAAAGCAGGTGGGCATAAAGTGCTCATCTTCTCCCAGATGGTGCGCTGCCTTGACATTTTAGAGGACTATCTTATACATAAGAGGTAAGACAAATTGCAGTCCACAGAAAAAACTTGTTAATAATGTCCATGGTTTTTAATTTTATATGTTGTTTCCACCACTGTACTATCACATAGATTTGCTCTTTGCCTAGGATAAGAAAAAATTTATTTTAGTGAATTTATTGTGTATACTCTGTGCCAGGCAAGGTACTACATTGGTGCTGGGGATACAAAAACAAAAAATAAATTGAACTGCTTGCTTTCAAGGAGCTTACAGTCTATCAGGAGAGACCACATGTACACATGTAAGTATATGCAGAATAAATACAAAATAAATGTACAATAGTTAAGGAGGTAGAATATTAGCAGTTGGAGAAAATTGAAAAGGCCTTATAGAGAAAGGAGTGCTTGGCTTGCACTGGTGAAAAATAGAGGTTATTCTGTGGGACAGAGGTGACAATAGAGTTCTTTCCATTAATGGGAGATGACCAATACAAAGACATGAAGACAGAAAATGTAGTTCTATGTGGAATAGAGAGAAAGTCACTTGGGTTAGACCATAAAGTGTGGAAAAGAGACCATTTATAAGGAGGATAGAAAGAATAGTTGTGGCCATGTTGTGAAGTCCTTTAAGAGTTATACTGGAGGAGTTTTATACTTTATCCTCAAGGCAGTGCTTCAGGAGTTAATTGAATAAGGGAATGGCATGGTCAGATCTATGCTTAATTAAGGAAAAACACTTTGGTGGTTATTCAGAGGATGGAAGGAAACTAGGAACGACATGAAGCAGGGAAACCAGTTAGGAGACCATAGCTTTAGTGCAAGCAAGTAATGATGAGGGTCTCAACTCAGGTGATATCTTTGTGGTAATCATAATTGCTATGAGAGATATTGTAGAGCTAGAAATGGCAAGATTTGACAACTTATTAGATATCTGTTGGATATTGGAATGAGGGAGATGGAAAAGTCAAGAATAATGCTGAGATTACAAACCTGGCATATGGTTCTGTGGAAGCAGACGGATATCCCTACACGCACTCTGTCCCTCTTTTAGAAATAATTAAAGTAGTATTTTTCTCAGTAGCCTAGTCTCAATCCTTTGGACTAATCTGAAAGAGAAGATTTATCAGTCTTTCTTTAACTGTCCTGAAACAGTGCTGTGCACTAACATAACACACATACATACACAGCTTTACAAAGAGCTAATCATATTCATTGAAGAAATTGGTTAAAATGTTCGGCCAGAACTCTGTTCTTTCTTTTGGTAGTGATTGGACAAGGCTTTGGGGCCCTAGAGATCAGTACTTCTCATGCCTTTGTAACTCCACCCTTTGAAAATTCACTGGTTGTTTAGGTTCCCAGACTACTTTCAAGTTCTAGGCATAACAGTTTGGGTGCTTATTCTCCTAAACATTATATCATGAGCCCCCTAAATACTAGATCATGCCCCACTAGTGTGCTTCCCCTTAATCAACTAGTAGACTCAGTTCAAAGACATTTACTCAAATAACTTAGCAAGAGTAGTAATGCAGCATACCGTGCATGCACAGAACCAGCTTACCATTACTTAGTGTGATGGAAATAGTAATTATATTTATACTTCTCAGTGCTTGCAATTAAACTTTATTAGTCAAATGTGTGCCAACCTTAGTTTATATTATCTATCAGACAGTGCAAGCATTAACCCCTCTAGAAACAAATCACCAATCTAATTTCCTACAGCTTCCCAGTAATTGTGTCTCATGTTGGTATCAGTGACAAAGTTCCCTTTCTGCCAAGCTGGATGCTGTGATTCTCCCTCTGAATGGGTTGCCTGATGGGTCTGCAAATCTCTGTCAATCAGCATCGCCCTCAAGCAGACAGTGAACATGAGTTTCAAATGCAGGCAACACAGAAGCCAGCCTCATTGGTGACCTAAGGTCTATCAGGCTGAGGTGGATTTCTTAGAATTCTGACTATGAAAGTTAGCTGGTTACAAGATCTAAGCTTATGAAAGGAAACAGTCATTCATCAAACAAGTGTTTTTCAGTAGTTCGGCAGATTTGGAGGACACGTATCATTAGCAGTTACTATATCTGGAGAGACATACACATCATTAGTAGCTGTTTATCAGGTTTGGGGGGACACACATCACTGGCAAACTATACCACTAGCATCTTTATCTTATTACACAACAACTTATATAATTACATTTGGTCACAAAATGAAGGCTTAAAACATAATGGAGTTAGGTCAAAGCAGCAAATTTATTTTCATTGCAAGTAGTTACAAAGTGTTCTCCCCTCCCCCAACATCAGGGGTATACTTTCCCACAAATACACCTAAAATTCAGAAGCAGGGAAGAATAGGCATGAATTTGAAGTACAGTGTTAGTGAGGCACACATATAGGAGACACATATGATCAAGGATACTCAGAACTCACAGGACCTCGGTGCCTTTTTTCTCTCTAGAGTATCCTCACAATTCACCTGGGTTGGCTCTCTTTTTAGGGCACAGTATCTCCACTGGACTGGTCTCTCCGATGGGCTACTGACTTCAGTATCTCAGCTAGCAGGTCCAATCTCCTTCTGGGCTGGATCAAGCAGGTTACTAGGTGGTTATGCTGGCTGTCACCAGGCTCCACTGTAGCTGGACTGTGCCGGTCACATCACTAAGTGGCTGTGCTGGCATTCACTAAGGTCTGCTGCTGCTGCTTCAGGTTGTTTGACTGCTGTGCTTCTCAGTGTGCTATCTCTCTGATGGATAGGTCAATCCTCTGGCCTCTCTTCACTGAACAGCTGCAGTCTTTTTCCACTTTCACCTACTGGTTGGTCTGAGGGATCTTTTGATTTCTTTAACTGGAGTGTGCTTAAGCCCTTTCAGCTACAACAAATGCCCTTTGCATTTTGACAAATTCTTCCTCTCTCAAAAAATCTCTTCCCTACATAAGCCATTTGACATATATAGCTTTAGGGTGGTTAGTTTTAGTTCAGTCTTTTTCACCTTCTATATGCCCTTGGGAATCTTTTGAAAATGAGTGGCTAGGGATAAAGGAGGAGCTTACATTCTAATAGGGGAAGACAAAACATAAAGGGTATCTGAAATGGAGGAAAAGTGGGCACCTGGATGGGGGTATGGTGGCTAAGTCTAGAGAATTAAGGATAGGTGCTCTGGTGTCCTTCTCCAAAGTGGAGGTTCCAGGAAGAACTCACCAATGGGAGAAGGGCCTCTCAGGAACAGAATCTGGAGGCAGCTGAAGAATAGTGGAATAGTCTGGAGAATAAAACATGTCAGGACTGGGGACCTTCTTGTTCCTTAGCTACTGCCTTCAAAACATGCCCAAATCTCCCTTATCCTTAAAAAACAAAAACAAAACAAAAACCAACCTTAACTAAACACTATCATCCTCTCAAGCTATTATCCTATACCTCTCTTCCCTTTCACAGCAAAACTCCTTGAAAAAGCAGTATACGCTCTCTGCTTCCACACACTGAACAATTCTTTGCAGTTTGGCTTCTGACTTTATAACTCAAATAAAAGTGCTCTCTCCAACATTAACAAAGATTTCTTGAATGCCACATCTTTTCTGAGGCCTCATCATCAAAAACCTATCTGGATGCATCTTAAAATGCTGACCAACCTTTCTTCCTATGTATTCTCTTCGGGCTTTTCAGACAATACTATCTCATGGTTCTCCCCACTTGTTTTACAATTCCTTAGCAATCTTCTATGTTTTTTTGTAATTCATATTATGCCCCCTAACTGTGAAAGTGTTCTAAGACTCTGTCTTAGGCTCTTACCCTTCTCTTACACTTTCTTCTGGTGACCTCAGTCTCCCAGGAGTCAATTTATTATCTCTATGCCAATGTCTTCCCCTATTAGAATGTAAGCTCTTTCTGGGCAGAGACTCTTTCTTTTTGCATATTCTTGTATCCCCAGTACTTAGCAGAGTGCCTGCCACTTAGTAATTACTTTAAAAATGCTTGTTGACTGACAGGAAGAGATTAAAGGTGAGACAGAGAAAGAATGATTGAGGTTGTGGATTTCTTGAAAAAAAAGGAGAGAGATAAGATCAAAGGCACAGTAGAGGGGTTGGCCTTGAGAAGGAAAAGGACCCCCATGGTGAAAAATTGTAGGAAATGGAGGAGAGAGTTGGGGTGATGTTAAGACAAAGGGTAGGATTCCATTGTGGTTTTTAATGCAGTTGATTTTTATCCATTAAAAAACACACTAGGTTATTATGAGTGTTTATGGGGTCAAATAATAGAAAATATCTTCTTAATGGTATAACCTTTCATGTAACAGATCTTTAATCACCAAGCATGTGTAAAGTCCTACTATGTGCTAGGCCTCCTTGGACATCCTGGACTCCTCACTAACTTTCAGCCTTCATATCCAATCTTTGCCAAGGCCTCTCAATTTTACATTTGCAACACCTCTCAAATATTCCCCCTCTCTCATGTCTGACACTGCCACCCCTTTAGTACAGGGCTTATCACCTCAAGCCTGGACTATTGAAATAGTCTGTTGGTAAGTCTGCCTGCCTCAAATCTCTCTCCTCACTCTAATCCATCTTCCATTCTGTCAAGAAAATGATTTTCCTAAAACATAGGTCTGATTATGTCACTCCCACTTCCCTCCTCAATAAACTCTAGCAGCTCCTCATTGCCTCCAAGATCAAATACAAAATCCTCTCTTTAGAGTTTAAAACCCTTCATAACCAGCTCCTCTGTATCCCACACATTTCTGATCTTCTTCTACCTTATCCCCCTCCTCATATTCTTCAACACAATGGCACTGGCTGCTTTCCTGTCTTTTGAACAATTCACTCCATCTCTTGACTCCAGGCATTTTTTCTGCCTATCTCACATGCCCAAAATGCTGTCCTTCCTCATCTCCACCCACTGGATTCCTTGAGTTCCTTTAAATCCCAACTAAAATGCTATCTTCTACAGGAAGACTTTCTCAACTCTTAATTCTAGTACCTTCCCTCTTTTTATTTCCTTTTTTTCCTGTATATAACTTGTTTTTCTGTATTTGTTTGCTTTTTGTCTCTGTTATTAGATTGTGAGCCTCTTTAGGGAAGGGACTATCTTTTGCCTCTCTTTGTATCCTCTGCACTTAGTGTCTGGCACATAGGAGGTGCTCAATAAATGTTTATTTATTGATTGATTCCAAATTTCCTTATTACTGTCCAAGACACTTATCATCCTCCCAGTCCTCCAGGCTTACAATCTGGGTGTCGTCCTTGACTCCTCACTATCTCTCACCATCTATATGCAATCTGTTGCCACAGCCTGTGAACTTCAGCGTGGCAACATCTCTCGAATACTTTCCCTTCTCTCTTCTGATACTGCCACCACCCTAATGTAGGCCTCATCACCTCATGCCTGGATTATTGCAATAGCCTGCTTTCCTACCTTCTGTAGAAAGCCTTTCCCAATCCCTCTTAATTCTAGTCCCTTCCTTCTGTTAACTATTTACTGTTGTCCTATGTATAGCTTGTTTGTACATAGTCTGTTTGCATGTTTTCTTCCCCCATTAGATTGTGAACTCCTTAAGAGTAGGGAATGATTTTTGCCTTTCTTTGTATCCAAAGTACTTAGCACAGTGCCTGGCACATAGTAGACACTTTAATAATTACTTATGATTACTGACAACATTTCCTTTCATGCTACTTTAAGAGATAAATATTGAATTGACTAACAATTCTATTATAATCTCAGTAACTAATTCTCTGGAGAATTTCCTTTAGAGCAGAGGTTAACAAATTAAAATCCATGAGTCAACCATATTTTAAAATGTAAAATCCATTCTTAGAAACCTTACAGACCAACCTTAAAAGAATAGGTGAGGGCCCTCCAACTGAAGTTTGTTAGATCCATGCTGTAGAGTCATCTCATTTCCAGATTCTCCATCCTTTTTGTCCTCTTTCTTCACCAGTGTTTTCCTCATGCTGTACTACCAAGGAAAAGGAATCATAGCAAGAACCTTCTCTGTTACAACTCCTTTACTGATTCATGTAAGGGTGATACTAACTTCCTTCTGAGATTGAGAATTATGTCCATATTAGAATTCAACAGAGAATTTAGCAGAGAAGCCAGAAAACCCTTACCACTATCCAAGGGATCACTAGTGATCTTTATCAAAAGAAACTACTGATGATATTTAAGAAGAAACTTGTACACAATAGTACTGAATTGAATATCTCAATTGTGGAGAATAATTCAGCTACAGCATAACCAGGCCAATAACTTATGGCAGCAGTACCTCATAAAAACTCAAATGGCTAACGATGACCAGCTGAAGGATCATGGTTTTAAGTGCTAGTGACTCACTGTAGCTTAAGTGAGATTTCCTTAAAATGAGCAAAAAAAAATAAAGTCCTTCGGCCCCTTGTCACAGATTTTAAAACCTCACAGTTTATGTGATGTAACCGTTTGAGTTCCTCTGTACTAGTAGTTTATGTAATAAACTGAAAAGAACCATGTCATCTAATCTTGAAGTCCCTCGTTTAAACAGAGGGTGAATACAGATAATGCCCAGCCTAAAACAGCAATAATCTTATTGAAAAGTCAAGTTCAAACCCTAGTCACATCTCAGACCACATCTGTCCAGATGTTATATGGTGTTCCTTCTATAGAGTTCCCTCTCTATTTAAGAGATTATAAAACCATCTCAGGTGCATTTTTCCTTGCCTCAGAATTTAGGGTAATTTAAGGTGACCAAACTCTAGCCATCACACCGAAATAACCTTTGGTAACAGAAAATAGGAATCCCCTCCTGGTTCCACATCACCAGGGAGGATTTTCATTTTGGAAAAATGGCAGAACATTTAATTTCTTAGTTTGTACCATTCTCCAGTGTGATCTGACCAGATTTTAGTAGTGCCCTACCTGGAGGATACACATATGAAAACTGCCATGCCAGGTTTTTACTTCATGTAAAATTTTTAAAAGGGAATAAATTTTGAATTATCAAGCAACCACGTAGTAAAATATGGAGTTTGCAACTTATTAAGCAACAGGTGATCAATACTACCTTAAGTAACATGAACTGATTTTTTAAAAAAGATTTTGTTATGTATTATATTTGAGATACAATAATAAATAAAATATTTTATTGTATTTATAAAATAAATAAATTTTATTTTATAAATAAAACTAAATTCAATAAATAAAATTCAGTTAAAAAAACCATGATCAAAAAAGAGCCTAGACATCATCTTTCAAGAAATTATCAAGGAAAACTGCCTTGATCTTCTACAACCAGAGGTTAAAATAGAAATTGAAAGAATCTACCAATCACCTCCTGAAAGAGATCCCCAAAGGAAAATCCCTAGGAATATTATAGCCAAATTCCAGAGTTCCCAGGTCAAGGAGAAAATATTATAAGCAGCCAGAAAGAAACAATTCAAGTATTGTGGAAACACAATCAGGATAACAAAAGATTTAGCACCTTCTACATTAAGATAGGAGGGCTTGGAATATGATATTTTGGAGGGCAAAGGAGATAGGATTAAAACCAAGAATCACCTACCCAGCAAAACTGAGTATAATCCTTCAGGGGAAAAAATGGACATTCAGTGAAACAGAGGACTTTTGAGCATTCTTGATGAAAAGACTAGAGCTGAATAGAAAATTTGACTTTCAGATACAAGACTCAAGAGAAGCATGAAGAGGGTAACAGGAAAGAGAAATCATAAGGGACTTATTAAGGTTGAATTGTTTACATTCCTACTTGGAAAGATGATATTTGTAACCCATGAGACTTTTTTCAGTATTAGGGTCGTTGGAGGGAAAAAAATTATGTGTATAGATAGATAGATAAATAGAGGGCACAAGGTGAGTTGAAGATGAAGGGGTGATACCTAAAAAATAAAATTAAAGGGTGAGATAGGATTATACTGGGAGAAGGAGAAAGGAAGAGATAGAATGGGGTAAATTATCTCACATAAAGCAGACAAGAAAAAGCTTGTACAGTGGAGGAAGGTGAGAGGGATTGAGTGAATCTTATTCTCATCATAATTGGCTTAAGGAGGGAATGACATACATACTCAGTTGGGTATGGAAATCTATCTTAACTTACAGGAAAATAGGGGAAAAGGGGATAAGAGAGTGTGGGGATGATAGAAGGGAGGGCAGATTGGGGGAGGGGTAATCAGAAGCAAACACTTCTGAGGAGGGACAGGGTTAAAAGAGAGAATAGAATAAATGGGGGGTGGGATAGGATGAAGGGAAATATAGTTAGTTTTTCACAACATGACTACTGTGGAAGTGTTTTGTATAACTACAGATGTATAACATATATTGAGTTGCTAGCCTCCTCACTGAGGGTGGGTGGGGAGGGAGGAAGGGAGAAAATTTGGAACCCAGAGTTATAAAAACAAATGTTAAAAATTGTTTTCACATGCAACTGGAAAATAAGATATATAGGCAGTGGAGTATAGAAATCTATCTTGCCTTACAGGAAAATAGAAGGGTAAGGGGATAAGAGAAGAGGGGTGGTGATAGAAGGGAGGGCAGATTAGGGGAAGGGATATTCAGAATGCACACCCTCTGGGGGTTGGGGGAGGGGCGAGATGAGGATAAAATTTGGAACTCAAAATCTTGTGGAAGTGAATGTTGAAAACTAAAAATAAATAAATTAATAAATGTTTAGGAAAAAAAAAAAGAAATTGCAGGGCAAAAACTGAAACATGCACTTTATCTGGTCAGGTTGAAAGAAGTCTCCAAAGTACATGTATAGTGGGACAGAAGGAAAGAAATAAGTAAATAAAATTATGAATAGAAAAAAAAGATTTTGTTGCATAATAATATTTGAGTTCTTATTTAAATAAAATTTTTCAAAACCAAAAAAAGCATAATTAACCATTTGGGACATACAAATTTTTTTAAGACACATTTCTAGAAATTACATTTCTATTGTGTAGACAAGACCTAAAGATGAAATAGAGCTAATGCCTAATCTGTTAGTGAAAAGTACTTTGAACCCAGTAGGAGAAGAAAGAAATGTCAAGAATGTAGTATCCATTTTCAGACTATTGGGCTATTTTTCTTACATGATTACCTTCTTTCATTTGGTTTTTGATTACCTCTTAAATCTGCCTGTCAAAGCTGTTGTCAGGACCAAATGAAATAATATTTGTAAAGCTCTTTCAAAATCTTAAAGTGCTCTATAAATGCTAGCCTTTATTGTTTTGGAGTTTGCAATTTTTGTTTAGGTAATTGGAATGTTTGAGGTGGAAAGGAATGAGAGGAGTTCAAAGGAAGTTGATGCTTGATGCAGAAATCAGATATTCAACTCACTTTTCCTTTCCTTGTTTATAATGAAAATGATGTATAATCACATTTTAAATTTTTCATTGTGTGTAAGAAGTAATAAAAAAAAAAACTCGTGTTGAAAAGGATTCCTCAGTGTGTATTATGTGTTATAATCAGATCAGGTCAGCAAAATATATTACCATACTAGTTATAGACATACTGTTTGGTTAACTGGACCACACACACAAAAAAAAAGTATTTACTCTGGTACTTTACCTGTACATCTAAGTAACTGACTAAGTTACAAACTTTATAAGGCATAGACCAGTTGACTTAAAACTTTTTATGTCTCCCATGGTGGTTTATACAGAGCCTTGCTGATAATAAGTACTCAACGTCTGTGTGGTGGCGATGATGTGTTCATAGATTAAATTTTGCATACCCTTTTAATTTTATTCAGCAGATATTTATTAATCCCCTGTTATGTTTAAGGCACTATTGTAAGTGTTCTGGGAAATAGCAGTATAAGAGCTCACAAACTCATGGGAAACATATCTTCCCCTAATTTTTAAAATTATCCATAGGTCTGAGTAGGAAAACCTAATTGCATTTGAGTAGATTTATTTTCATTTTGTTTCTGTTATTCTTCCTGAATTTGTTGTTCTTGTACCTGACAGGTATCTGTATGAGCGAATTGATGGAAGAGTCCGAGGAAATCTTCGACAGGCTGCCATAGATCGGTTTAGTAAACCTGATTCAGACAGATTTGTATTTCTTTTGTGCACTCGAGCTGGTGGGCTGGGCATTAATTTAACTGCAGCTGATACGTGCATCATTTTTGATTCTGACTGGAATCCTCAAAATGACCTCCAGGTAAATTCCATGCTTAAAGATTTTGAAAACACAAGATAAAGTCTGTGAAATTTTTATATCATTTATGACTCTCATTTCAAATGCAGATCTTTCTCTGTTTTTTTATTTCAAGAAATCTTTTTGCCAAATGAGAGGATTGAATTTTTTAAATTTAATAATGGTGACATTTCAATTATTAATCCTACTTGACTATATTTTAACTGATCAAAATATATTTTCAAAATTGAAAGGTGATCTATGATCTGAATAACTGATTTTCCAGAATAGCAAATTTTCCCAATGATCTTTGTGGAAATTTTTTTCAGTTGTACACAGGTACAAAATTCTTAAAGAATTTTACTTTACTTAAATTTAATTAAATAGTTAAAGAATTTAACTTTAATGGTTAAACTTTAAATACACTTGTCGAAGTGTATTTATACTTTATACTCAACTCATTTTTACACAAGGATAAAATATTCCTTTTATTATCCCTGATCCTGGATGGGGTCGAGGATGGGATCTTCCTGGGTTGGGGCTCAAACGTAGCACCAGGTAGGACTTCCTAGGAAAAATTGTGGCTGATGGTAACTACTCATTTGAGAAGGGACCAAAAGCACAATAATAGGATATGGTTTTCTGAGCCAGTAGACCAGAATCAGGAAGCATTATTCAGAAACACAAGTTGCCACCAAAATTTTTTATGCAAGGAAAGAGCTACAGCCTTGGGTTAGGCAGAAAGATCCAATACCACAAGGACAGTTTTCAATTCATCAAAGAGTCCAAGGCGATTTGCAGCATTCAGCTTCTTGTGGGTACATATATGTTTTCATGCCCCCTACTATGGAAGGGCCTTGCTTTCTAGTTTTCCTTGAATTAGCTTTAGTTGAACAGCCCTGTCATGTTGAAAATAGCATTGCCTCCTACCCTCTTTATTTAGAATTGGAGATCATTCACATAGCGGCATACTGCTAGCATTTTAGCATTGTGTCTTATCTCCATGTACCTTTTGAGTTTTGTTGAAGATTCTCGGAGCTTATTTCTCCTTCTCCTTCTTGAGGCTCCTGTGCTGCCACTTCTTCCATCATCGCAGAGGGCTGAGTGTGTGGTGCTGGCTCTGCCTGCATCTTGAGCCTTAAGGAGCTAATTTTCCCTTCCCAGTCTTTGTTTGGTTTTGAGTATACCAAAAGCAAAATACAATCTACACAAATCCCTTTTTGTCAAATAACAGAAAATTGGGAACATTAATAGAGGATATTATAAAGGGACTTTCTCGAAATGTAAAGGTAAGTAGACTAGAGTACAGAAAGAAAAGAAGGTTGCAAAATACATGGATAGGGCCAGATACAGGACAAAAAGCACACCAGGATTTTTCTTTACATTTTGTGTTAGACTTGTTGAGACTATAATATTAGGTTTAAAGGGATTTAAACTTAGAGGCAGTTGCTATTTTACATGTGTAGAGTTGTTTAAGATTATATGAAGATTCTTCAGAGTTTTTGAGAGGCCATCAACAAAATCTTTCTCATAAGACTTAAAAATTTTTTAAATTTGATAATAAAATACTACTTTATTTTATTGGTAACAGGACTTCTAAGATTTTATATAGTGTTTACAATATCAACTTAAATTTTGTCTTATTGTTAATTGATAGTCAATAAATCAATTTCTCATTTTAGATAGCTGCTTAATTTTTTCCTATTTCATTTTTTTACATGTAAGTGACATGAATGACTTTATTTTTTATTAATTAATTTATTTTTAGTTTTCAACATTCGCTTCCATAAGCTTTTGAGTTTTGAATTTTCTCCTCTTTCTTGTCCTCCTCCCTCCCCAAGACAACATGCAATATGATATAGAGATAGCTACTTAATTGATCAAAAATTAATTTAAATTTAAGTAATTTGCTAGGTTATCTGAAATAACTTTACATACAAAGCTTCCCTTTTTTTCAAAATATCTTTCATTGTTAAAGATATTCTTTGAAACTAAACTTTAATTTTATTTTTCCTTTATTCCAAGGCCCAAGCTCGATGTCACAGGATTGGTCAAAACAAAGCTGTCAAAGTCTACAGATTAATAACTCGTAACTCATATGAGAGAGAGATGTTCGACCGGGCAAGCCTAAAATTGGGTCTAGATAAGGCTGTATTACAGAGCATGAGTGGAAGAGAAAATAGTGTTGGTGGTGTATGTAAATTTCCAAGTTCTCTTGCTTCGTTGGATTTATTTCTGTAGTTTGTTAGAGCATATAAGAAATATTTACTTTGAGTATCATTTTCCATTACAACATACTGGACACTGATTTAAGTTCTTCATAATAGAAGAAACAGACTTCTACTATTATGCCAAAATGCTGCAAAGTTTCAGCCTCTCTTCAGTTAAAAATGGTTAATTCTGCATGATTCCAATGACTATGAACTATAAAAATGTTTTTCTGACTGAGGAGTTCAGTGTTATTTTTTCAAATCTTTTACATCAATACATAATGAGTAGTATAGGATTTGGGTGATTTATTTAGTTACGTTTATCTCTAATTACTTTTATCTAATATCTTTTTTTCTTTTTAATATTAGTAATTTTAAATTATTCAAGTAGAGTATTTCAGATGTATAACATTGACAATATGTTAATGTGCAAGCTTTTTGAAGATAGAAAGTTCGTTTATCATTTATATTTTATCATAAGCAATATCTTACACATCTTATGTTGTAGAATCTTAGTACTAAAAGCTTTTTCTGTTCCTTTGCCTGTAAACAAGACTATAACAAAGCCATTCCAAGCATGTCTTAAAGATACTCAAGAAAACAGAGCCAGTAATCTTACTTGCTAATCCTTTGTTTAATAGACCACACTTCTAGGAAGATTTTCCTTACATCCTAACTCATAGGATTTAAGACTGCCTTCCATTGTTTTCTTTGGCACAACTAGGTTTACTATTTAAATATCTGGCCTTTCTGAATCTTATGTTCACTCAGAAAAAAAAAATACATATATATATATGTGTGTGTGTGTGTGTGTGTATATTTTGTCCATAGATTCAGCAACTGTCCAAAAAGGAAATAGAAGATCTACTTCGAAGGGGTGCATATGGTGCCATTATGGATGAAGAAGATGAGGGTTCTAAATTCTGTGAAGAGGATATTGATCAAATTTTACAGCGTCGCACAAAAACAATCACAATTGAATCAGAAGGAAGAGGTTCAACATTTGCCAAGGTAGCAGTGAAAACCATTTTATAAAGATTTTGTCTAATGAAATTATTAACTTTTTGTTCATTTATCTTTGCTGCTTCAAAAGTTGCTCAGATCATCTACTTAATGCTTAAATCCTTGTCCAAAAGTAGTACTTGGTAATAAACTTTCTTTTTTCATATACTTGACATTTGAAAATGGATATGTTTGGTATTTCTTAAAATTAATTTCAAATAAAATACACTGCTCACATGTGTTATTATGATTATCTGTGGAGATATAAATAGAAATGCCCTGTGAAAAACAACTTTTTCAGAGGAAAATCATTTTGAAATTGAAGTAATTAAGAAATTAAAATATTTATTGGAATTGTATAGGGTGAGTATAAAATATTGGTAATAATATAGCAAGTTAATCTTAAGTAAATAAGTTACAGTGTACTTAGTTTTAAATTGTACTCAGTGGTACAGTGGATAGAGCACCAGGCCTGGAGTTGGAAAGACCTAAATTCAAATCCAGCTTCAGACACTTAGTAGTGGTATGACCCTGGACAAATCACTCACCCTCTATTTGTATCAGTTTCCTCATCTGTAAAATGAAGTTAAAAACAGGAGATAATACCTATCTTCCAGGTTTGTTGTAAGGATCCAATGCTATAATAATTGTAAAGCGCTTAGCAGTGTCTGGCACATATGTGCTATATGAGTGTTAGCTATTATTATTGTGGTGGTTTAAATTACAAAACTTTAGCTTAATATCTTAAAATGAAGTATAACTAGCTTTCCGACTCTGGTATTCTGGGAGGGAAAGACTTTGAAAAATGTATAAACTAGTACAGGAGATTTGTTCTCTGAAGTTTGGATTCAGTTAAAGGGCTGCACTTGAGGACTTACAGGGTCACATGTGCCCTGGAGGCCACAGGTTCCCCACCCCTGACCTACTGTTATTCTATTTTTATGCTATAGATGTACATTTATGTATCATGCATTAATTAGAATAGTTGGAGATTTCACAATTTCCTTTTCTATGGTCACCGTGCCCCTCCCCCACCTTTCCTGAGGCACCTGGTCTAGTTAGTTGAGCTCCAGCTTTATTTACATCTGGTTCTAAATGTCCTAAGCAAGGCATGGCCTCTCTGTGAGCTTCAATGTTTTTATCTATCAAATAGTGACAGTGATGCAGCCTGTCTCACAGAATTGTGAGGAAAATTCTTTGTAAACCTTAAACTTAAAACTATGTGTAAATGTGCATTATTATTATTGTATATTATTGAGTCCCATTGTTTGTCACCTTTCTCCTTCCTTCTTTCTTTCCTTTATTTTCAGTACCTTCTATGACTACAGTATTCTTCATTCCTTCCTAGACTCCTCCTTCCAGTCTCCATAATGCAGGAAGTGTAGATACTGCACCATAATAGTGTCATTAGCCCAAATTGTAGGAATTTTCTTGCCTTTTAACATCCCTTCAGAAAATTATTTTTTTGTTGGATTTCCCTTTTCCTATCCAAGCTGTATGTACAATATTCAAAAGCTATTTCCCACTTTCCATATCTGAGGTGGAAGCAAAAGGTGGGCAGTTTAAAATCCATGATTTATTGTTATAGGAGATATCTGTGGTGCAGAAACTCCTCCATGAATACAAATAAGCTACTTTTCTATAACTTGTGCTCCTAGAGAGTTGCCTAAGGCACTGAGAGGTTAAATGATTTTCCTACTTTCCCACTACTACTATGTGTCAGAGACAGGATTTGAACTCAGTTCTTCCTGACTCCAGAGCCAGCCTTCTTCATGTCTCTGTATGCTGTTAGACTATTATGCATTCTTTGAAATCTTCATCAAGTATTTATTAAGTATTTGCTATGTGCAAAGAGTTATGCTAAGTCCTAGAGATACCAGGACAAAAGTGAAACACTCCCTGCTCCCAAGTTACTTACATTCTAACAAGATAGACATGTACGTAAACTTTAGTCTTAAAATTATTATTTAATTTATATCTTATTATATTATAGATGGTAGAATTTATAGCTGAAAGGGACCAGAGAGCTCACCTATCCAAGTGTGGTCATTTTTTATATACATATATACACACACACACATATATATATAGAGAGAGAGAGAGAGAGAGAGAAAGATGAGAAAACTAATGTTCAGGGAGGTTGATTAACTTGTCCAAGATTACACAAGTTTAATCTAATGATTTTGAGATTCTCCTTGTAAATATAACAAAAAATTATAACAATATAATTACAACAAAATATAGCATTGTAGTTATAACGTAACATATAAAATTGTAACGTGTATGGTATTATAAAGCATTTGATTTGATTACCATGCATGATTCCATATTGTACTTGTTTAAATGGTGAAATGATTCAAGTATGCGCTGATTATGATGAGGTTGGTATATGTCAATACTTAAATATTTAAATAATTGTTTTTTTTTAATTTGATTGGAAAAATGCTGAATATAGAGCCATAGGTTATAAGTTGTGATTTCTACCCCATGCCCCAAGATTCAATTCTCTTCTTAAGACCTTAAGAAAAAAAAATAATTTAAATACAGGGAAAAAGAAAATAAAAGAAAGAAATAAGAGAAGAGTTGAATCTAGGCATTAGTGGGTAAAGAACTTTTCACTGGTAGTTAGGAAAATTAGAATTCAATTGGCTGCCCTGATGTAATTTGTTCCATGCCCTCCCTCAACAGTTATACGATAGACACTCAGAAAAAATTGTTGACTGATTAAAATCATCTCTACATCTGAGGTGGCTCCTGTTGATATGATCTCTGAAGTTAAATACTTTTTTACCTCTGGAAGGAATACATACCTACCTGAGTAGAAAATGTTTTTCAGAGGAAGGGGAAATAATTTTTAGAATATATTTTCAATCTATATGCTTACATATTCACTGAATAAAATTTAAGTATGTACATACAAAAATCACAGTGCTTCATAAAATAACAAGTTATTTAGGTGTGGTCTTTATTCCCTAAATGCTTCACATCTAAAACCTATTATTGAAAATTTCATTTATAACTGAATATCTATCACCTATGCCTTGTTTCAATTTTTTTTTTGGTCCTTTAAAAATTTGTAAAATCCAGTATTTTTCTAGGGATGTGCAATCAGGAAATTTTTTTAAAAAACAGAATATTTTCCTACTTTTTAACCTCTGGGGTGGAGGGAGGGGGACCTATAAACAGCTTAATTTAAAACAAAGCAAAACATAAAACAATATGGAGCATGCTTCAGATTGCTTATATGAAAGGGCCATTCTATGAAAACACATGGCCCCTACTATCTTTCTGCTACTTTCTGTTGTAGGAAGATGGATTTCACCATTTAAAAGTCTTCTCTTGCAAATAATAAAGGGATTTAATGATTGAAGGAATGCATTTAAAGAAATGTGATTTATTGGGAGCTAGGATATTAGAATTTAACATTTGGAAGCAGTCGGTAAACCAGTACTTGATGACATCTTCCACTTATCACAACAGGTATTTTAATTTATGTAGGCTTTATCCATTGTTACAGTCCTAGAGAATTTTTTGAATTTTTAAAATGAAGGTATGTGTCAGTTAACAAGATAATTCCCTGGATTAGCTAAAAGACTTAAACTTGCTTAACTAAAAAATTAATCTATTGATCCTTTCATGGTGTACATGTCATCATAAATGGATTTGCATAAAATCCATTCACTCTAAATTACAAAATTGAGTTTCTCTTGAGAAATTGCTGTTTCATCTGGCATTCTTATATCTAGCAGGAGAATAGGAGAAATTAGCCCAGGTGACCTATATGACATAGATTTTATGTGAACAACCAGACAGTAATATGTTTCAAAATTTTGATTGTTTTATTTGAATTACAGTGTTAATTTTTATGGTGGCTCTTCATGTTAAGTGATCCCAAATCATTTAATTCAAATGATCATTCACTAAGATTGGTAACACTTAAGTGGAATATATCAATGAAAATTCAATATGAAATAAAATTCCCTGAGATGCATTCAGTGCACTTCTTTCTAGGTTCAAAAAATTTGGAGATGTGCATTTAAAAGGATGTGCAGATACTGGTGTGTATATCTTCAGTAATTAAACTAGAAATTCATTTCATAATCAAGAAAGTTAAGTCCTTATTAAATATTCAAGTTATTTCTTGTATACAGATATAATTGTGTTACCAGTTGTGCTATTTGGTCAACTTAAAAACATTCATTATAGTATAGTGAATTTTCATGTTTTCCAGATGTCTATTTTAACACAGAATGATGGTGTCATTTTGGCTATGCTTTATATTTTGAACTAGTATGGCTTTACTATATAAATTAGAATTTTATATATATGCGTATATACATATATATATAACATTCAGAGTTTTAGCTTCCATTTTTTAAAATGTAAACAGCACTTTTGCATAGTCCTGTATTATTGTAAATTTCTTCTCTAATCCAGTTCAACACGTATTTATTAAGTGCCTACTATGGAGATAACACTGTTATGGTCACTGGAAATAGCTCGAAAGTTCATTAAAGTCTGTTTGATCAAAATAGACATTTCTCCTTTCAGTTTCATGGATGACTCTACTAGTGATGTGCAGTTTCCAAATACCCCTCTACTAAAAATGATAGGTGCAGTAAATAAATAGTTGCAGTAAACGTACTTAGTAGCACAGTCTCATAAAACCACTAAAAGAATAGACTTGTTAATTTTTAGAAACGGTATTATGTGCACAAGCTTGGATTTCAGCAAAAGACTATACTGTTTCTTCTTAGGGTTATGATTTTGCTCATCCTAACTTCCTAAATGTGGAACATGCTTAAATTCCATTAAGAAAAAGAATTGTCTTTTTATAAAATAGAAAACTTTTATTATCTTTAAATTTTATCTGTAGTAATTAGGCATCATGAGCATAGATTGCAGATTTAAAACATATTCTTTGAATATCATCTTATGGGAATCTTAACAGTATTGCCACAAGAGTTGGAATATTTTCTGGCACTTTTGTTCTGATGTTCTAAATCAGACTGTCAGTTTCTTGAAACTTTGACTGTCATATGTATAAAAACCCTTCAATTTTTCTGTCTTGGATTACTTGTTCTTATATTAAGAAAAGGTATGAATTATAACAGAAATTGCTATCCTAGACTATGTATTGTACTAACTTCAAATCCTATCCTATTTAGAGAATAAATAAAGTGATAGTTTTCATTTTCATTTTATCTAACATTTGACTTTTTTTTTTTTTTTTTTACAAAATTTGCCTTAAAGTGTTATGAAAACAAAGTAGCAGTTTTCAACTGTGATTGATGGTTGTGGTATATGAGGGAATTGAATGAACTGTTTTGTATTCATTTTTGTCCCCTTTGTCAGTTACTATTTTGAGTAAACTACCATGGATGGATCCCGACCTCATGCTTACCAGAGAAAAGTTGTGTTCTTTGCTTACAAAGAACTTAGAAACTACCCAATATTAATAGTGTAAAACAGCTGCCTAAACTGGTGGAAAACTCTCTGCCCTAAGCAGAATTTGTACTTTGTCCAACATACTTCGTGAGAAATATTTTAATAGGCAAGTGAATATATACTCAGAGCCCAGGTTCTGAGTAGTAGTGAACTTTGGTATCCTGAGGAGATTTTGTTTAAATATATCATGTAAAAGTTTCCTGTCAGTATTAATAGTTAAGAGCTATAATTGTGTATTTCAGGCAAGTTTTGTGGCTTCTGGAAACCGGACTGATATTTCCTTAGATGATCCCAACTTCTGGCAGAAATGGGCAAAGAAAGCAGAAATTGATATAGAAGCCATTAGTGGCAGAGTAAGTATTCTCTTTCCTCCAAAATGTTCCTCTTCTGAGAGTGCAGTGACTTGAGATGATTAATTTTTTGGTTACTTCAGTCAGTTTTTGCATAAATATAATGGAGAGTTCATTTCTATTTCCCCAGATTAAGGCCTACCAGCTTAATGCCTCACCATAGTACAGAAATAATCCTGACTTCTCAAAGGCTATGCTAACAGAGTATAATGTTTGACAGGTCCTACCTAGTAAGCTATTAAGACTTTTATTATGGACTCGGTAGAGGAAACATATGTCGGCTTTCCAAGGAATAACTTAACTAAGCGAAAGTTGGCGCATAGGTGATGTTTCAGAGTATGGTTTTTTGGAGGGGGGCAGGGAGGCAGGACAGCAACTCAGACCATTCAGTTAAAAACCCTTAATATACAAGACAATATGCTTGTCATTGGGGATATAAAGGCAAAAATTGGACAATCTGTGCTCTCAGCCTACATTTTATGGGGCAATATCATACATAAACAGATAAGTTAAATACAAGGTAAAAAGAGAGGAAAAAAATACTAACAACTGGAAGGACTAGGAAGGTGGACAGAGAAGGTGGTATCTGACCTAAGTCTTGAAAAAAGAGGAGAATTCTGGTGCATGGCGGGGAGAGAGTGCATTCAAGCATGGGAGATGGCATATGGAAATATACAGAGGTGTGAGATGGTATGTAAAGTGTGGGGGACATCAAGCAGTCTTGTGTGTTGAAATATAGGGAAGTACTATGAAATAAGAATGGAAAAGTTGTAGGCCACTGAAGGTTTTGAACAAGGGACATTTCAGATTTGTGCTTTAAAAGGATAATTTTGGCCCCTATGTGGAGGGTGGGTTGGAGAACAGAAAGCCAATTAGGATGCTATCACAAGTGAGAGATAATTAGGACTTGAACTAGGGTGGTGGCCATATTAGCTGAGACAAAGAAAAAGGACAAATGCCATGGAAGTAGAATTAGCATAACTTGTTACCTGTTTGGAAATGAAGAAGGATGGGGTAGGAAGAAGGGAAGGTGAAGGAAAGAAAGTAGTTCAGTATGACTCTGAGGTTACAGCCATCCTCTTGGGCATGGAGGAATTTCAGTTTATTTCTATAATAAAAAAAATTCCCATACCAATAATTTTTCTTTTTAAACTTGAAGTACTGAAGTAAAATAATGGTTGCAGAATGAGTACTTGTAAGTTTAAGTTCTGCTTCTGCTAGAGATTGGCATAATGTAAATAATGTAAAATGTGACTCTTATCTTAGAAAGGGATAGGAACTCTAACAGTTCTCTGGTCAGCACTTTTGTCTCCAATTTATAGTATTAAAGAGTTGCCTCGAGCACCAAGAGGTTAAATGACTTGCCCAGAATTGCACATGCCAAAGGCAGGACTTGACCTCTGGTCTTCCTGGCTTTGAGGCCACTTCTCACTTCACTGAAGACTTCCATCTCATCGAGAAGCTGTTTGCTCACTTTTCTCATTGCTGTTCTCTTGGAGATAGTTCGTTGTGCTACTGTTGAAACCTTCCATTAATGAAATTCAAGCAAGTACAGAAGGAGAAATAAAATTAGCCTAGAGAGATGATTTTGAATTTTCCTGCTTTCCTCCCTGGTTTTACTATTAGAGTCAGGAAACATAAGTAGGGGGAAAGGATAGAATTGAGTTTTTGGGACTTGAGGATTGTCAGCCATTTTTCATACTTGTCCAGCAATTGTATGAATCCAGATGAGCTGTATCCAGCTTACAGGTACTGGGTAAGCCCTACCCTTGGTCAAAAATAATCAATATCTACTGTGAATAATTCAGGAATCCCTAAAATTTGAACATTTATACAGAAAATCTATTGTTGACAAATCACATGTAAAAATGTCTTAAGTAGGAAAAATACAGGGAACCTCAAGTAATGTCTGTTTAATTTTATAGAACAGCTTAGTTATTGACACCCCAAGGATTAGAAAACAAACAAGACCCTTTAGTGCCACGAAAGATGAATTGGCCGAATTGTCTGAAGTTGAAAGTGAAGGAGATGATAAGCCCAAACTCCGTAGACCATGTGACCGTTCCAGTGGCTATGGAAGGACAGAATGCTTTCGAGTGGAGAAAAACCTGCTAGTTTATGGGTAAAATATTATTCTTTATGTGTATGATTATTATATATTACATGCACTAATACATTTTATTTTGGGTGGGATCAATAAAATTTGTTGGAACATCTGTGCTTTATGTATTTTAATATCTGAATGGTGAATATTCTTAATATTAGTTTAATATATACACAAAGTATCAGTAAAGTACAGCTCTCTAATTCCAGTTGGATCTGATATTTATTCAGTAATCCAGAGTAGAAAATTTATTATTCACAGTTTTAAATGGTACAAGAAATTATATCATATACCTGTGTGAAGAAGAGAAAAATTTTTCCTGGCATATTGTAACTAAATGTTAATATAACAAAATGACCAAATATTTGCATATGTTTATAATCACAATTATTTACTTATAGTGTTTATTTCAAATTTTATGGTCTTTTTTTATTTGTGAGTTTTTTTTATTAGACTTTAACACTATATTAATGTGCCTTTGGACTAGGTGGGGTCGATGGAGAGAGATTCTAGCTCATGGTCGATTTAAAAGACAACTAAATGAACAAGATGTGGAGATCATTTGCCGAGCTCTTTTAGCATATTGCCTTGTTCACTACCGAGGAGATGAGAAGATTAAAGGTTTCATATGGGATCTCATTACCCCTACAGAGGATGGGCAAACAAGAGAATTGCAAAATCATCTGGGTAAAGAGCATGCCTTTTTGATATGACAAGCTAAACCAAACCAGTTTAAAAAATAGAACTCCTGTAAATGTAGTTTAATGCAAAAAAAATGTGTAGGAGTTGTAGTTACTGAGTATGTTTTACATACCACTTAACCACTGTGATCTTAGCTTACTCATACTCATCTCTGTGCTTCAAATTCTGCATTTTGAGAATTATTGTTCATCATTCAACCAGTTTGCTTGTTATTGTAAATATCTGATCATATAAATAAGGTAAATAAATTCACATTTTTAAAAGTGCTTTTGTCTTCAGATAAGATAATTAGAAATTTGTCTTTCTAATCGCAGAGTTAGCAGTATTAAGAGTTATGAAATGATTTTGTCAGTTTTATTTTAAAAAGCATGGTTACATGCTCTTAAACTTTGCCAGTAATTTACGTTTATAAACTATTAACAAGAAAAATTGAACTTTATAGTTTTACCTCAATAATCATAATTTCTTCATATTTTGAGCAGATATAGTGATAAGTAAAATTTTATAATAAATACCTTAAATTCTTATAATGCATAGTAAAAACAAATCATTTGAATTCACATATATCAAGATTAAGAACAAAGTTTCTGTGCTGCTTTGAAAAATAATGATGTGCTTCAAACTTGTCTGTGAAGAACTCCCATCAAGTTTTTCAAATATTAGATAAAGAAGATATTACTATTTTCCCCTTTAGTTGCCATACATAAAGACTTAAGAATGCTAATTTTTGCCTGTATTAGATTGTAAGACTTTTGAGGAAAGAGAATGTGATTATTTCTTATTTCATATTCATAGTATATATAATGTATTCTCACAGTTCATAGTGTTGTCATATCAAATAACTAATGAGCTTTAATAAAGATTGATTAAATGAATGAATCAAATTGCCAGAGTACATGAATCTCTGAGGAGCTAACAAGCTTTAGTTAGTTTTCAATTTAAACTACTTAAAAATATGAACAATAACTTTTACAGGAAAAAGAAAACCTACTAAAGTAAAATTAACTTAATTAGTCAGCAGCTGACTATTCAGTCTGAGTACTATGCCAGCTTTTTTCTTGTCCATTCAGCTGTCTATGGTACTTCCCTACTACCTTATTTTAGCATCTCTTTTAAGATATGTGTGTTTTATTTATTCAAGATTATTTTGACCCCATTTATTATGGTTTTGTCTATCCAGCTACGTGCCCAGCAGTGTTTAGAAGGCACATCACCAAAAGTCTGGTTGCTAGGTGATGAATTTTTTTTATTCACAGCAGCTCTTAAAGACCATCAGCAAAGGTATACAAGGGGTTGCCATCTGTATGCATGGAGGAAGCACCCATGTTGTTGAAATTGTGGATCCTTGACATATTCAGTTATATAAATAAACACTTTGGAACATAAGCAGTGCTTCCTGTGAAGCTTACTGATTATCAATAATAATTAGCAATTGGTAGCCAATGATCCTGGGCAGGTTACTTAATATGTTACTTCAGTTTCCCCATTTAAAAGGTGGTGATGTTATTTGCCCTACCTCTCTGGTATGGTAGCCTTATCAAGTGAATGTTTGAAGGCACTTAGAAAACTTTACACTTCCAAGCCAAGGGTTAGCTGAGAAGGGAAAAATCCTTTAATTAGACCAAATAAAATTGTTGATAGCTTTTGAGGAAATGAATAACTTTAATGTATTTGATATTTAATTTGAAGCCCAGAGAATTAATAAGTACAATAAAAAATATTTCAGATGTAGGCTTTTACTTAGGTTTATCTACCTAAAGTAGTATACAACTTGAAAGGTGTATTTGTACCAGTCTAGGAAGTATCAGGCTAAAGTCTAAGAACTGTCTCTAAAATTCTTGAAGAACTTTGCACATTCTACACAGACTTCAAATATTTTCTTTGAATTTTAAAGTTGAGAAAATATTTCAAATTATGAAATTTCTATAAACTATCATTTACTCCACATTTTTTCTCATTTTATGTAGGCCTGTCAGCGCCTGTCCCCAGGGGCCGAAAAGGGAAGAAAGTGAAAACTCAAGCAAGCACATTTGATATCCATAAAGCAGAATGGCTTCGAAAGTATAATCCTGAGCATCTGCTGCAAGATGAAGGCTATAAAAAACACATAAAACATCATTGTAATAAGTAAGTAGCATTCTATTTCAAACATATTTTTTTTTAAATCCATTTTTTCTGTCTTTACAAATGAACTATCCCATAAAAATACTAGTCCATAGTAAAGAAGCAGCATGGCTTAATGAATACATTGGACTTGACCTGAGAGTCCTTTTCTGATCTTACGAAGTGCAATCAGGCAAGTTGCTATACCTCTCTGTATCTCTATTTCCTAATCCTTGAACCGAAGCATATATTAAGTATCTCTGATTTGCTTTATAATCTTAAAGTTTAAATAATTACATTCCTCAATATCATAGAAATATGATATGGCATGGGAAAGGCATTTAGTTAAAAGAAGATGTTAGTAGTTATTTTATTCTTAACCTTATAATGAAGAGCTAACATGCCTCCTTAATTTTGACACAGATGACTGTTCTTTTAATTACAATAGATCTTTTTAGAAATAAACCTAATGGGAAGCTACATAGTCTTGATATTTCTATACTTTCTGTTTTTAGGGTTTTGCTTCGAGTGCGGATGCTGTATTATTTAAAACAGGAAGTCATTGGTAATGAGTTCCAGAAAGTATTTGATGGAGTTGAAGCAAGGTGAATTAAATGAATCTTTCATATTTTTCATTTATGTAGGTAGATGTGATTTTGAAGCTTTTCATTTTTTGAAAATAGAAGATGACATGAAAATTTCAGCATAAGTATCTCTTGCCAAAATGTATTGCATAAGTTAAGAATTCTATTAAATCACAAATTAATCCTAAGGAGCAAAATTCATCATATCTACAGAATTTTTTTTTCTTTTTATCTTGCCTCTTAGGCTATGTGGCAATAGGCAAGTTTCAACAATGAATCCCGTAATTAATATGAAAATAGATCCTGATGTCATCAGTTACATAGTAAATCATTTGATTGGTACTAGTTAAGATAGGTACAATCACACAGGCTGATTATCCTTCCATAAAGGAACACCTTTTTTGTGAACTGCCTTTATATACAAACTGTGGTTTACATATTTCTTTTTCTACCCACACTCCTTTCTTTCTCTCTCTCTCTCTCTCTCTCTCTCTCTCTCTCTCTCTCGTCAACAGGGTTCCATAAGCTAACCAACACTGAGAAAACATATGATCCTACCATGTATCCCTCTAGTGTGCAGTGCTCTATGCATAGTAGGCACTTGATAAATATTTGCTAAATTAAATTGAAGAAAATTCCGTTTGTAGTTTTTTTTTTTTTTAGTTTTGCTTTCTTTGGTGCAATCCTTACTCTGTCCAATGACTAACTCATCTTAATTGTGTAACCTTGAACCAAGTCACTTAAAAACTGAGCCTCAGTTTCCTTGTCTATTCATTGAAGATGTTGGACTAGATAATTTCAGAGATCTCTTCTGGCTTTAAAGTAATGTTTCTGTTTTCCAGAGGAACATGTCCCTGTTATGTTTGTAAGTGAGAACAGATTTACTTTACCATATACTTTACCAACAAATTTACTTTACCATAAATTTTTTTGCAAGATATCTATTCTTTCTGGATCAAGGATGGATGCTTATATATTATTTTGAATGATGCTTCTAGATGGCACAATGGATAGAGGGCTGGACTCAGGAAGACCTAAATCCAATTCTGCATATGATACTTAATAGCTGGATGGTCCTTGGCAAATCACTTAATCTCTATCTCCCACAGTTTTCTGATTTCTAAAATGGGCCTGATGACAGCACCTATTTCACAGCATTATTGTGAGGATATACATATACATACATATATATACATACACAAACACACATATATATGTAAAGAACTTTGCACACCTTAAAGCACTGTATAAATGTTAGTTATTATTATTGCTTCCAGGACATAAGAATTATACTCTTGAATAGTGATAGTTTAAAAAAAATAAACGTGCAAATCAAGAAGCATATTTAAATCACATAACAAATATGGCCTAAGGATGTCACCGTTTTGGATCACCACTGAAAAAAGACTTTAAATACATTTCAGGAATTGCTTTTCTTCCTAGTCAAAGTCCTATTACAGTATGAACTCTAATCATAGCCCTCTGATTGCTACATAATCATCTTCTTCCTCTGACTTGTAATCAAGTCTACTCTGTTGCTGATTATATTTTAGTGACATTGATGTTTGGGTGCCTGAGCCAGACCATTCTGAAGTCCCTGCTGAGTGGTGGGATCTTGATGCAGATAAATCTCTCCTTATTGGAGTTTTTAAACATGGTAAGTAAAAGGGCAGAGTGGTGTGGGCATTTTCTTTATGCAATGAAATACAAACAGCTCTTAATTTAATATATGTTAGTTCATTTAGAGCATTTTATTGATTTCACCTATATAGTTAGAGATAACTTACGGAAAACAGTGAACAAACTTTATTCTTCAACTAGTCTGCTACCTCTTATATTCAAATATATAAGACTTTATCCTCCATTCTTATGCTTCTATGTACCAGCCCTATTTCCTAGGGGAACCTCTTGGGCTTTAGGCCTCAGATGGTGCCCTTGTCCTACAGATCTCTTAAATACACGGAATGTATGTGACTGGTTTTCCATAGAGTTCTGCTTAATTGATGTATATACATTTAATAAAACTTTATACTTAGAGCATATGGGTATATAATTTATACTTTATTAAGATGATTTTGGTCACATCTATAAAAAACTGGACATTTCAGACTGAAAAACAACCACATCTAAAGTTTTAGGAATCTATATTGCCCAAGATCAGGAATATAACCTTCTAGTAACATTCTATCCCTTCTCTCTGTACTGTTTCCCTTAGTGACCTCATCCTGTCTCTGAGCTTTGATTAACTTCCATGCAAATGATTCTGAGAGTATGTATATAAATACATATTTTCTGCCATTATGTCTGGTTTGATCTATCGCCCCATATTTCTGTTTGTCTACTGTAGGTTTTTTCCTCATTGTTTTGACTTTTCAAAATCAGCATATACAAAACTGAATCTAACAGCTTTTTTAAGCAAAGTCTAGTCCCTCTTCCAGTATGGTAGAATGTGTCTTGTGGAAAGAATATTGGATTGAAGTCAGGAGACCTGTGTTCAAATCCCTTCTCAATAACTTCATAACTGTACGACCCACAAAAAGTAACAGTCCTCCTGAGCTTCATTTTTCTTGTATTGCAAAATAGAGGTAATAGTGCTTAGCATCGATATCTCATAACACTGTGAGAAAAGAGCTTTGTAAAATCTAAAGGCTTAAGCTTGAACTATTCGCCATTTCCTTAGATGGTACCACCATTCTCCAAGGTCTCTGAGTTTAAAACTTCAGCATTATCTTTAATATCTGTCTCTCTGTAATCTCTCACATCCAATCAGATCTTAAGTCCCATTGATTCTATCTACTCCATTCTTGAATTTGTTCCCACTGTTTCCACTTCCACCACCAACCTATTCTATCTTTTTACTACTTCACAAGGCCATTTGGAGTGTTTTTGTCTCCCTTAAACCATTATATAAACCTGAATTGTTACTTTTATTCTTATTATTACCCCTTCTCCAGAATATCATAATAGGCTACATCCCTCTGGGTGTTTAACTCTCTAACCTTTCTTTCAGGGTTGTCTTAGTAATTCACAACCTCAATTATGTGTTTCTCCTCTACCTACTAAATAGGCTGCCACTCAAAACCCCTGACAACCTGACCCCAACCTTTCCAACCTTAGATTTCATTTCTCCTCATCATGTAATGTATATTCCAAACCATGCTGTTCTGCCTGTTCTTGTGTGCATAGTTTTGTTCATGCTTAATACCTGCTTAATACCTAGAATTCCCTCCTCCCCAGCTCCACTTCTTGAACACCTTCAAGAATGAACTCAGGTCCTTCTCAGCTGGAAATTATTTCACTCTTCTTAAATCTCATAGCACTCTGTACTTCTTCTATTCTAATTTTTAGTATAGATATTCTTATCTTTGTCTGTATTAAGTTTCTTGAGGTTAAGGACTGTTCATCTTTTTATCCTCATCTATTGGGATTTTGTTGTTGTTCATCAGTTTCAGTCATGTCTTACTCTCTGTGACCCCGTTTGGGGTTTTCTTGGCAAAGATGCTGGGGTGGTTTTGCCACTTCCTTCTGCAGCTCATTTTACAGATAAGGAACTGAGGCAAACAGGATTAAGTGACTTGCCCAGGGTCACACAGATTTGAACTCAGGAAGATGAGTCTTCCTAACTCCATCCCAGTATTTTTCCATTGCTCTGCCTAGCTGCCCTATTAGAATACTTGTATATGAAAATTTCTTTTGAACTTGGAATTGTTGTTTTCCATGACAAAATTCACCGAATCACAGGATCTCAGGTGGAAGGGCTATTAAACCATCTTAGTCAACTCTGACTTGAATGAAAATCCACTTTACAACATTCCTAAAAAGTCATTAAGCCATTGCTTGATGATGTCTAAGAAGGAGGATTCCACTACCCGTGAAGCAATTCATTCCACTGTTAAATAGCTCTAATTTTTAGGAAGTTTTTCCTTACATCAAACTTAAATTTGATTATTTGCAGCTTTTACCCAGTTCTATCCTCTGGATCCAGACAAAAGAGGTCAAATTCCTCATGATAGCCATATACGTATTTTAATATAGTTATATTTTCTAATAGTTTTCTCTTTTCCAAGCTAAAGATTCCCAGTCTTTTCAGCTAATTCTGCTATAACATGATAATGAAGTACTTGACCTTCCCAGATGCCCTACTCATGGAAGTGTCCAACTTGTTATGCTTCTGAAAATATGGTGCCCAAGTTGAACACCATTAATCCTCTCATTGTGTACTCTACTTTTTGAAATATCTAAGATAAGTCAGGAAGTTATTGGCTGCCTTGCTTTTGGCAGAGAAGGAACTCTAGCAAACATCCAGATAATTTAAGAAGATCCTCTCAGTTGCTACTGAATCCGGCCTTTGCACCCTGCTTAGCATATGTGTCGATAATATCCATGTCCTCTGTCTCTCTGCCTCCATTGGACTTTACTCACGTGCTCCCCACCACACTGACCCCTATAGTGGTCCAAATCAACTGGAATATCGGTTATTCCACTAGAATGGAATTTCCTTGAAGGCAGGGACAGTTATCATTTTTGTCTTTGTGTCTCCCAGGCCTAGCCCAGTTTGTGGCATATAGTCAGTGGTTCATAAATTCTTATTGAGTTGAATCCAGCAAGAATTTTTAATGTGCATATCCTATTCACAAAACAGAAAGCAGCCCCTGCTTTCAAGGAGTTTACTTTTATTGGGAGGGGGGGAGGATAAGGGAAGAGAGATAAGACTTGTAAACCTAATTGTAATTATTTGAAGTCAGAGACAAAACTAACAAGAATCAGGAAAAGCTACACTTGGGAGTTAGTACGTGAGTTGAAGCTGAAAAGAAGCCAGAGATGCCAAGAGGCAAAAGTGAGCCAGGGAGTATGATGCAGTGGCATGGAGATTGGAGCTGGAATACTCTTAGTTTAGGGAATAGCGAGTGAGACAAACTAGCTGGAACATACAGTTCATAAAGAGAAGTTATATAAAATAACCCCAGAAAGGCAGACTGGAGTGAGATTGTGGAGGACTTTAAATGCCAACTTGAGAAGTTTATATTTTATCTTAGAGCCACTGCAGGTTTTGGAACTGTGTAATGACATGATCAGACTGGTGACCTTCTAATGTGTCCTGTTCCTTTTGAATCACACATACCCTTCTAGGGCTATGTTCCCGTTGTAGATTTCATTTCACCAAGTCTCAGTGATCCCTGAGGCTGTCTTTCTTTGCTTTAAGAACTCTAGTTTACAAGATCATAGATCTAGGACTGGACAGAATGTCAATGACCATGTAAACTAATTCTTTTACAGCTGAGTAAAAACTGAGGCCCAAGGGATATTAAGTGCCTTCCCCAAAGTCATTCATTGATTGTTATTCATGTTTTCTAAAAGTTGTAGACCCATCTGAGGACTGGGGGCTTCTCTCCCTTGCTTTTGTTTCCTGTAAATTTGGGCTATTTCTGCTGTTTTTCTTATATTATAATTTATTCCTGATAATATTTAGCTTAGTGAATATACACAGGCAGTTTTCTTCTTCCAACTTCCTTTTCAATTTGAAGTCCTTTTGATTAGATTTTCAGAACACTAGGCAATTGAATTATTTTTTAATTCTGAACTTAACAGTCACCAAATAAAATGAGCATTTCCATATATAGTATACACACATATAGATTACACATGAAATTGCAGGTCTCTATTATGTATGACTTGCTTTTCTAAGTATATAATAAGTTCACCTTGTGTCTTTCAAAGCCATTCTACTTATCTGTGATTCCTGCTGGTCTCCTTTCTTAAGCATTTTTTAAAAAATGCTTCAATGACCCTAGTTTGGTTTTTTGTTTGTTTTGTTTTTTGGCAACTCTACCCCTAATTCCCTCTTGCCCAAGAACCCTATCTCTTAAATTGAAAAAAAAAGAAAAAACCCTTCTAAGAAATATGCAAAACAAATTCCCACATTAACCGTGCTAGAAAATATATTTTATTCAGTGTCTTGAGTCCATCATGTCTTTATCAGAATGTATGTAGCATGCTTCATCAGTCTTCTGAAACAATGGTTGATCTTTGCATTGATCAGAGTTCTTAAATTTTTCAAAGTTGCTTATCTTTACATTATTGGTTCTGGTCACTTTACTTTGTATAAGTTCAAACAAGTCTCCCCAGGTTTCTCTAAAATTTTTACTTTCACCATTTCTTACAGTGCAATAATATTTCATTACATTCATATACCATAATCTATTTAGCCATTCCCCAATTGGCTCCCTGCCCCCTTAGTTTAAAGTTCTTTGTTATAGTAAAATTAAATGCTATAAATATTTTTGAATATGTATCCTTTTCTTTTTTCTTAGGCAAATGCATTTCTCTGGCTAGGAACCCGTCAGCTCTGTGATGAAACTACAGTACATAAATCCAAATCCCATTCACACATATCATTTTCTTGAACTGTTTATTTTCTTCATCTGCCTTTATTTCTGAAGTACTTGTGTCTGATCAGCAGTAATGATGAAAACACTATCTGCCCCCAAGGTCGTCAGTTTCTTTTCCAATAAATCATAATTATTAGCAGTATTTTTTTTATTCCTTTCTCAGACTATCATTTGTACCTATATGAATCACCTTAAGTAAGTAGCTGCCATCATGTTTAGCTGGTTTCAGGAAGTTGTTTATCAAGTTTGGGAAATAGCCGACCTCTCTTTTGTTGTCATCAGTGAGGCAAAAACCTGCTTTACTCTTCCCTCAATAGAATCACCAGCTACCACATTGTTCTCTTCTTCCTCTGACCCTTGCTCTCTCAGCCTGCATAAGGATCTATAGAATTATCTATAAGGATCTTTAGAATTATTCCTTGGAAGGCAAGCGCCTGTTTCCTGAGAGGGACCAACTGTCTCCTCCTAGTGTAGACTCTCATGTTCAGTAGTAATACTTTCTTTTCTCTTCTGTGTCACATCCATTCACCATTTAACTTCCTGACAGATCAAGAATCCCTTCTGCATTTGTAGAACCTTTTCTTTGTTGTTGCATTAAGCCTCTTTTTACCTCTTTATTTTTAAAAGAAATACCATTCTCCTTGATAATCTTGAGCATGAAGTGTTCTTCAAGTTCTTTTACCTTCTCATTAAGAAATGAGACTAGCCTGTACTTGGAGCATAGATAAACATCATGCATTCTATGCAAGCCACTGTAAAAAATATTCCGTGCTCCCTATATTTTCTAGAATATCATCCTCAATCCTTTATCATTCTTTATGTTATCTTTTCACCTTGTCCTGTCCCTACCTCATGATCTTTTTAGAGTTATAATTCAATCAATAAGTATTTAAAGCATTTATTGTGTATTACATGCTAGGGATAGAAATATAATTAATAAAAACATCCCTATTTGCAAGTGCTTAAATTTTAATAGGGAATATATATGCACACATATACATATGTGTCTTTACATACATCTATGCCCATGTATGTATATGTACATGTGTGTATGTGTGTATAGAATAAACATACAGAGAATAAATAAAAACTAATTAAAACACAAGGTGATTTGAGAGGAAAGGCATTAGCAATTTGGGGATGAAGAAAAGTTTCATGTAGTAGATGGTGCTTGAGCTACATTTTAAAGGAAGAAAGGGTTTCTATGAGCCAGAGAGGTAAGGAGGGAGTGCATTTCAGACTTTCAGGATGGCCAGAGCAAAGGCAAGAGACATGAGATGTAGTGTCATATGAAAATAACAGAAAAGGCAGGTTTGGCTGGATCACAGAGTGTGGAAAGGGGACTAATGTCCACTTAGACTGAAAAGATTGGATGGAGCCAGGTTATAAGTGCTTTAAAAGCTATGTAGAGAAATTTGTATTTTGTCGTAAATACAAAAGGAAGCCACTGGAGTTGAGTGGGTAGTCACATGACTAGATATGCATTTAAAGAAGATTAGTTTTGCATCGGTGTGTAGGGTGAGCTGAAGTGGTGAGAGATTTGAGTCTGAGAGGCCAGTCAGGAAGCTATTGGAACAATCTAAACATGAGGTGATGAGGTGATGAGGTCCTGAACAAGGTGGTAGCTAAATAAATAAGAAGGAGTCAGATGTAAGAGAAGTGGAGGTAGAAATAGCAAGATTTGACAGCTGATGGAATATGTGGGATGAAGGAGAACAAGATGTCAAGGATAATACAGAGATTATAAACATGAGAGACTAGATAGATGTTGGTGCTTTTGACAGATACAGGAAAGTTTGGAAGGAGGGAGGATATGTGGGGAAAGATAATGAGTTCAGTTTGGGACATGTTGAGTTTGAGTTCCGCAAACTGGAAGATCCTATTTGAAATGTCCAGTAGGGAATTGTTTATGGAAGATCTCTGATGGGAAAGATTGGGACTGGATATTTAGATCTGAGTCATCTGCCTAGACATAATACTTAAAGACATGGGAACTGATGAAGTTAGTAAGAAAGAGTATACAGAGAGAAGAGGAGGTGAGAGGGTCTAGAACAGAACTTTGGCAAACACCCACAATTCTGGGATGTGATATAGATCGGTGCTTCTTAAACTGGGTCACAGCTCCATATGGGGTTGCTTAACTGAATGAAGAGTCACAAAAAATTTGGCAATAGTAAGAGATTTCTGAATGTGCAACAACCAAAATTTTATTCAAAATCAAATGATTAATGAATCTAAGGTGTTTCTGGCAGTCCTTGTCCATTGCATCACACAACTTCACTGCAGCCTTGGTTCTGAACACTCAACATGAGCACTTTGCACTGCGCATGCCATGACGCCACGTATTGCCAGTAAACACTGCCAAAAACACCTCAGCTCAGATTTAAGACTATTGTATGTTATGAATTGCAGTTTTTACAGTGTTTTACATACAAAATTATTAAATGAATTTTCTCTTGGAATTAGGACAGAATTTCCAACAATTTCTGAAATGGCTCTAAATAGACTTCTGCCATTTTGTACTGTGTATTTATGTGAAGTGGCATTCTCAACATTGACAATTATAAAATCAAAATATCGATCAACTCTGAAAAATATCAGATGTGCTATGTCCTGCAGTATCAAATACTCTGCCAAGATTTAATTCTTTATGTAAAAATAAACAAGCACATCCATCTCATTAGCATGCAAATTTGCTTTCCTCTTTAATAAATGGTAAGATTATATGCATGCCAAAGAATTGTTTTAAAATAAATTTCTTTATGATTTATTATCAGTAGATGTTTGATTTGTATACCTATCTTATATACTCATATATCCAGGGTTGCGTAAAAATTTCTCAGGTGAAAAGTGGTCACTAGTGGAAAAAGTTTAAGAAGCCCTGATGAGCCAGCAAAGGAGGTGGAGGAGTGGTCAGATAGGTTGGAGCCTCTGGGAACTGAAGCAATGACTCTTTGCTGGAGGCTTCTTAGAACTGTATTAATGACTTTCCCTGCTCTAATACTTCAGGGAATAGTAATCTCGACTGTCTCCCCTTTTGGGGAGCTGATGAAAGTTGAAATCTTTGCTTTATTCCTTCCTTAGAGCCTACAGTAATCTGTATTGCTGACACTCTTTGACTAGGCTAAAATCAGGAGCCAAAGCATAGGCTTTGTCTCTCTCTAGGCTGCTGTTAGTAGTAATGAACTCTGTAGTAATGGACGTCCTGGACTCAGAGATGTTGTGAGTCATGTGGGATCCCAGAATTGGAAGGGACCTCAGAGGCCATTTTTAGTCCAAGCCAGACCTAAATAAGAATCCCCACTACAACTTACCCTATAAAGAGTCATGATCTAGCCTTCGTCTGAGACCTGTAACGAGGAGAAGCCACTATTTCCAAAGGCAGGCCTTTCTATTTAGGGATGACTGTCGTGATAAGGAAGTGTTTCCATACATCAAGTTGAAATCTGCCTCTCAGCAGCTTCCACCTATTTCTCCTAATTCTACCTTCTGGTGCCAAGCAGAAAAAATCAGATGTCTTTTCCATGTTATAATCTTTCAAATATTTTGACACTGTATTGTCCATTCCTCTCCCTTCCAAATCTGCTGTAAGCTAAAACATCCTGATTCACTTCAGCTGATGCTGTGTTGTTGACTCCTTTCATCCTCCTAGTCTTACCAATATCCTTCCTAAAATGTGGCATCCATAGTTGAACATAATACCTCAAAATGTGTCCTGACCAGGACAAAATGGAATGAGACCATTATCTCCCTCATTTTGATCACTTTACCTCACATTGCAGTTTAGAATGACATTAACATTTTTGGCTATCTTGTCCTGCTGTTGACTTACTGAACTTGCAGCCCACTAAAACCCCTATATCTTTTTAATCAGTTCAGTGTTAATTAAGTACCTTCTATGTAAATACAAAGATTAAAGCAACACAGTCTCTACCCTAAAGGAGTTTATGATAATCGGATTCAACGAATCATTTTGGTTTACTGTATCTTTAATAAAGAAAAATAACAATAATAATATAATTGTTGGAACTTTTTAGGCTATGAAAAATACAACACGATCAGAGCAGACCCATCACTATGTTTTTTGGAACGAGTAGGAAAACCTGATGAGAAAGCAGTTGCTGCTGAACAGAGAGCAAATGATTACATGGATGGGTATGTGCAATTCTTAAATTGTCCCAGTGTAAGCTTTTTAAAAGCAGAATCTATATTTCTCTATGTTCTAGCCAATACTACGTAAATACAAAGTGGTGATGTTAAATAATTATTTAAATAATAAATAAAGGAGAAATAAGATCCTCAGAATATGTATCAAAACTATATTTAAACCGGAGAACTTCTTATTTTTTTTGTTAAGTGAGCATGTTTAAAAAAAAGATGATTGGTATAATCAGAAGATTATTGGATTCACAATTGATAGACCTGGGTTGGAAGGTTGGTTCTTCCTCTTACTAGATGTGAAAGTTCAGGTTGACTATTTAAACTTTCAGCTTTGTTTTCCTCATTTGTACAATGGAGAACTTTCACTGCCTACCTCACAGAGTTCTTGTTAGGGTCAGAAGAAATGATTATATAAAATGTTTTTAACCACAATTCCCTTTTCTTATGTTTGAGTAATCATAATTGTTATCCTCCTTCATCTACAAGACACTAATTGTGCTGTAGTGGTGAGGCAAATATAACGGCCATGTGTGATCAGCAAGTAAAACTCAACCCTTACCAACTTACACCCACTCTTTTAGTGAATTCTTCATCTTCTTCCTTGAAGCAAGTAGTTTGAGGCCATAACAGAAGTATCATAACATGCCAAGTATATGAGAAGGAGGAAGAAAGGATAAGAACGTGAGACATAGAGGGTTGTGAAATAATCTGTTCATTTGCTTTCATAATCATCCTTTTCTCACTAGGAGGAAAAAAGTGAATTACTTTTCTGAAACCAGCAACATGACAACTCAAAATGGCAGTTTTTCATACTGGCAGGGCATGAAACCCTCTTCTCGGTTTTCGGGAAAGCAAAGGAATAGCCTGACCCAGGGATGGGGAACCTACAGCCTTGAGGCCACAGGTGACCTTCTAGGTCCTTGGGGTGGGACCTTTTGACTGAGTCCAAGTTTTACAGAACAAATCCTTTTATTAAGGGGATTTGCTCTGTGAAGTTTGGATTCAGTCAAAGGGTCACACTTGAGGAGCTGGAGGGCCACATGTGGCCTTGAGGTCACAGGTTCCCCACCCTTGACCTAAGTTATTAGTTATTTTCTAATACAATTACCACATAAAAACATCTGCTTTATTTAATGAAAAAAAGGTTAAAATCAGATTCAACAAAAGTGACATTAAAACAGCAAATGTATTCCAACGATGAATACAGTCAGTGATTATTTAATACAGTTATGAGCAAATGATGTCAAATTTGAGTCACCATATTTTAACTCTCAACACTTAACACAATTTGCCACCATCTCTGTTAGTCAGCCTAGACTTATGGCACAGATGAGGTGTGTCATTATGCTGCTTGCTATATTTGAGCATGAAGGGTACAGACCAGGAATGGGAAACCTGCAGCCTTGAGGCCACATTTGGCTTTCTAGGTCCTTGGGTGCAGCCTTTTGACTGAATCCACGTTTTATACAACAAATCCTTTTAAGAGGATTTGTTCTGTGATTTGGGTTCAGTCAAAGGGCCACACTTGGAAGACCTAGAGGGCCACGTGTGGCCTCAAGGCCACAGGTTCCCCACCCCTAGTATAGACTCAAAGCTCAGTAGTCTTTCTGGAGGTTAAAGCACCATATCTATTATATTTCTCAATGTCACTCATTTTGGCAAGTATAATAACTTGATTTCCCCCCAGATTGTAACTTTAAAAATATTAAAATGACTAGAGAGTGTGTGTATGTATATGTATAAATAATATTTGACATATTCAGCAATTAAATTTCAATTTAATTTTCTTAAATTTTTATCATTTCATTTTTTAAAATGAAATGTCATTTCTTAGTCATGGATAAATATGTAACTATTTTGAAGAAAAAATCCACTGGAGCATCTGAAAAATAATTGAAGCAAACACAGTAGAGATAGCTTAAGTAGCAGAAATATAGATTAACACAAAGTCAATAGCTCAAATCCAAGAGATGCAGTCCATTATATTGATCACTAAGATTCCCAAGTACTGCTATTGGTAGAGAGGACAGACAAATGTTTTTGTTTTTTGTATGAATGCTTTAACTGAAGATAGTATAAAACCTAATAAGTTGAAACAATATCTTGGAAGTATGCATGCAGAATACATCAGCAAGACAAAATAATTTTTCCAGAGGAAATAAGGCAAAACATACTTTGTCAGAAACCATGTCTATAATACCAGAAGGATTGCTTGCATTGTTTAAAGTTGCTTACAAAAGTGTTAAGTGTAAAAAGTCTCATTCCATAAGAGAAACTGTGATGCAACCTGCAGCTTCTAAGAAAGTCCAAATGATGCTTGGTGAATTATATGAAAAACAGCTTTGAATGGTTCCATTTGGAGATTACCCATATGTCTGAAGACCTTTAAAATCAGTTGGGAAACTAAATATCTTGCTACTTTGCATTACAAGTAGATGAAGCAAAAAATATAGTTAAATATGCTCATTCAATTACATATGAATGACATGTTAGCAAAATTGGTGGTAGGGAAGATTTGTTACTTTGCAAGCCTATTCATTGCAATGCCACATCAAAAGAATTTTATTTCATTTTATTTTTTTTTTCACAAAAAATTGATATGTAGGAAAATTTACTTCAGCCTGTCATGGAGCTCAGTGGCTTCCAGGAGGAAATACCGAACTCCAAGTATTAATTTAAAATGTGGTTTCCTTATGCAATTTGGACACAGTTCATATTTTATAACCACCTGTAATATGAGAAATATGAAGGTGGAGCTAACTACAGTTTTTCAAGTTGTTACTAATCACCTTCATGCTAGTCGATTAAAAAGATGGTTTTCTTTGCAAAATTCCATGACAACATAGGTGCAGAGCATAGGGTAATTCTGTATTATGGAAAAGCACACCAGTTTCTTATGTAAAAGTACTTGGGTTTACTTTGATATTGCCATTTTTCTTACTAGTAGCAATAAATATTAAGCAGAGTCATTCAGATAACAAAATATGTCCTGAAACTTGAGTGGCTATTTTTTTTTAAAACCAAGTACTCTAGGGGTAGCTAGGTGGTGCAGTGGATGGAGCACCAGCCCTGAAGTCGGGAGGACCTGAGTTCAAATGTGGCCTCAGACCAAACACTTGACACATACTAGCTGTGTGACCTTGGGCAAGTCACTTAACCCTGATTGCCTCACCAAAAAAAACCCCCAAAAACAAAAAAACAAGTACTCTAAATCAATCATAAGATCTTCACATTCATACTGTGATCGAAAAAAATAAGGTAACTACATTTATGAAGAAGTTATAGCTATAGATAATCAATTTACAATTTGATGTTTCCCAGTGTAAAAAATACCTGCTCTGCAAATTATATGTAAGAAAGTAAAAAACCTACTTATTTATCACTTCATCAGTCTATAGAATCAAATCTTATTTTAAAGACCTAGATATGTATAAATATAAATAAATAAGAAACTCATTTTCCATGGATGAATATACGTTTAGTTTTCTTCCATCTGAACAAGAACATTTAAAAGACTTGTTTTATGATAGTTTGTTGAAACAAGCTTTTGAACCTTCTTATATTTTAACTATGACGATGAAAGAATTTCCTGGTTTATTATAATAATGCAAATTATTAGTGGTTGAAAAACATTTACAAATAACAATATCATCTATGTGATAAAAAACAGGCCCACTCATTGCATTACTGTGATAATAATTATTTTTGTTATAAGTATGAACTTTAAAGGATTTTTAATGAATTTAAGTAAGTAATTGTATGCTTAAGATGATTCTGTTTTATAAAATTGTTAAAAATTATTAATTTTATTAAAATACTAGTAAGAAAATCATTTGTGCAGATCATTTTATGGAAAAAAAAAGCTTCTTGTTTAGAGATAAGAAGAGAGATTACTGCATAAAGTTTGGAAACTACTGGCCTAAGGAATGGGTGGTGATTTGAGCCAACCTCTTTCCTACTGTAGCATTCTTAGTCTCTTTTATTTGGAGGATGATTTCAAATTCCCTATCTTTTGCCTTTTCTAGTTATGGGATCTATTTCTGTTACAGAAAATGAACCAAATAATTCTTTCATTTAGACTTTTACAGTTTGTCTTATTAAAGTGAACCTTGTGCATGGAAGTAATTGTAATGCATATTGGTATGTTACAGGGATGTGGAAGACCCAGAATATAAACCAGCTCCAGCTATGTTTAAAGATGACATAGAGGTATGTTTTATATCATATTTAAAATCCTCTATTACAGCTGTCTTGATTTCCATTCAGTTTATGGTTTATTTTCACATGTAACTCTATAGTTTCAATTTATATAACACTTTTGTTTCAAGATAGATAACTAAGCAAGGTCATTTTAGCAAGTATTTGCTTAAGTTGGAGTTGAGGCACATTAGTCATTGATGGTTACAAATATAAATAGTATAAAAGCAGCTTCACATTTATTTTTTGTCATAGTCACTTTTACATAGTAATATGTGACTGTCATGTGTGACTAGTATCAAAGATTTAAGCTTATCATTATAAACAAGTTATAATAATTATTCCTTTTCATATTAATACTTGAAGTTTCTGAAATTTCTTTAGTGTGGGTACTGAATCTACAAATGCAATCCTACTCTGTGCCTTACTAGATTATCTTTGGGAGTTGCTGTGGGTAAAAAAAAATTCATCAAGTTGTAGCCTTCCTATTAATGAGACTCTTCTAACTTCATTAAGCTGGTATACAGGTGACAGACAAATATTCTGTCACTGGATCCATACTGATAACTTTTCAGCTTTGTCAGACCTGACAGAGCTTATATTCTACTGGTGTAGATTTTGAGATCCCAGAGTCACTTCTGCACTGTTTTCAGGAATCACTAGATTTCCTTTTCATATAACTTTCAAATTTCAATTTTGACCAATAGTTAAAGAAACTATGATTAACAAATGTTTTAAAGTTAGTCTTCATTATTCATTGACTTTTATCTCTATTAAAATACATATTTAAAGCCCCTCAGGATTTCTTTTTTTTTCCTTTTTTGTCTTGGAAAGTTCCAACTTAATGAATGTGATTTTTGTTAGGTACCTGATGAGTTTAGTTTTGGATGTGCTGAATTTAAGTTAATGGTATCATATTCAAATAGAAATATCTTATGGAAGATTGAAATACAGACATAAAACACAGGCATAACTTTCAGGCCCTGAGGAAAAGGATTCAGGAGTAATCTGAATTTACGTAATGAAAGTATGTGGAAGTACATGAACTCACCCAGTAAGTTTAGAGATAATAGAATGGGGGAAGGGGTGAGGTCAGGTCTTTGGGAAAACTTTCAATTGGGGGCCAAAGAAAAAAAAAAGAGCCAGCAGAAATGACAAGAAAAGAAAAAAACAGTGCATAAGAGAAAAAAAAATTTCAGTAGTGGATGTCTCAGGGAGGCCAGTTAGAAGGAAGAGAAAGAAAAGGAAAATGAAATCAGCAAAAAGGAGATAACAAAAGTAAAATTTTGTCATTTCTAAGTTAAAGCAAAGAAGAGCCTCTGTTGTTAAAATTACAATATTTTCTTTCTTGATTTGTACTTCATTGTTCTGACTTGCTTATAATTTATGACCATATGATAACCCTAACTCAAAAAATTTTGATTTATTTTTAAAGGATGATGTTTCATCACCAGGAGATCTTGTAATAGCAGATGGAGGTAAAATACATTTATTTCTTTAATGATTTTTTGTGAATTTCCAATATCATGTTGCTATTTAACTGATAAACTATTGTTAGAAACACGCTTGAGAAATAGTGAATGTCAAAGCAGCAAAATTTATTACAGGAGGGTCTGAAGGAAGCCTTTACGTTTCTGGCCTGAAGCAGGCTGCACTCTTGTTCAGGGAGGAGTGAGCACTGAGTACAGAAGCGAGAGAAGCTTTATTTAGGTGCAAGCCCTCCCATCAGAAAGCTGGTTGGCCCACTTTCTTCCAGGTCACAATCTTCCTCATACACACCTCATATATTTGCTCCCTGATGTATTTAAACATGTTACCATGCATCCAATGATCTGTCAGTGAGGCTCTAATTTTATGTGGGATGTGTCAGTTAATGTTTTATTAGCTAATTAAGCATGCGCAGTAGCAAGTTTGAGCTGACCAGTCATTGACCCCAATTGATTTGAGCCGGATTGGCCCTTATCCTAAACTTACATTTTTCTTGAACCTACCAGCTTACTTCTTATTGGCTAAGCCCACCTGCAGTGCAGTTGTTTCTTTCTATTGAAACAATTTGGTTATTTTGTACTCTCAGCACTATTCTATCTTTGTGGAAACTTAACCCTTACCTGACTCTCATACTATGATAAGATTGTAATTGTAGAACTAGTTGATCTCCAAGGTCCCTCCCAGCCCTAAACTTCTATGCACCTTTATCAGTATTTTGAGAGGCACAAGTCAGGCTGGAGGGGAGTTTTATTTAGATTGGTTACATTCATTGATGAAATAATAGTCTTTGCGACTCTTTATCTCTTTAGCCTTATTCACTTTTCCTGGTCAGAACATATTTGTTGTACTTAGTTCAGTTCCAGCTACCATATTTTAAGAAGAATATAGTAAACTGGAGAGTTACAAGGGTGGATGATTGGATAAGTAACTCGGAGCGTTTCACATGGACAAAACATTTGTGGGGAGCAGTTTGAAGGAGAGACAGATGGTGCAAGATAGTTGTCTTCTAAACATTTAAGGGATTGTCATAGAGAAGACAAGTTACATTTGTTCTTGTCCTCTTAGGGAAGGAATAGTAGCATTTTGTATAGTAAGAGAAGGGAATGAACATTTATATAGTGCCTACTATGTGCTAGGCACTGTGCTAAGCAGTTTACAAATATTACTTCAGTTGAGCCTCTTGTTAAGTTATGGGTCAAACTAGATGGATTCTAAGGTCCCTTCTGATTCAGAAATCCTATGATTCTTTAATTCTGGGACTTTTTTATGTTCCATATCCTCTACTGAATGTAGAGATCTTATTGGCAGATTAATGGAATTTTAAATTTGCTATTGATTACTGGATCAAAGATTTTCATAGAATTAAGAGTTTAATTTTTTCAATTTTTTTAATCAAACTAATGTTTTGAGGTTTTATAGTTTAAAGCACACTTTGGTTGTTCTTTTAACACCAAATTAATTTTGTTCTCTGTTCTTAACATGAAGTTCCATGCTCTATCACCCAGTTACCTTTTTGGGTCATGGCTGTGACCTAACTTCCTGCTGCAAAGAATGGGGAATAGGAAATGAAATCTGCAGAAAACTGGCCAGAAAGGAATCTCTTCATGTAAACCTACTTCTTGAATCACAGTTTCCCATCATTTGCCTAGTGGCTGATTAATAATCAGAGCCTCAGCCCCCATTCACCTAGATAGGTTAGCTGTGCCAGTATTCTCCTTCATTGCCTTGTGTGATTACATCTTGATTTACAATGTTTTGCTCTTGGACAGTAAGTTGTCATATTTTTAATGTATATTTGGAAATTTAAAGTTTATAATTAAGTACTTTAGTGAATCTGAGATCTAAATGATATGAGTATTTCTCTTCCATGATAAAGATTGCAACCTATCAGTGCCTACATATCCTGTATGTCCTTTGTCCATGTCCTCCCATTGTCTTCCAAAGGGTGCTCTTGAAAGACTCCTTCTAAATATCTTGATATTGCACAGATAAAGCTGAAGCACACAAGTTGTACTTTATTTGTTCCTCATTCATGCAACATGATTGGCCCTTCATTTTATTGTCAAACATTTCTTTGACCTATGACGCCAGAGTTATAGCATTATCACATTGTGGTCCCTGAAGCAAATCTTTTTTAAAACTAAAGGCTTCTGAGTTGTAGGAACACATTGTCATTAATTAGCAGAAATGACATTACAGCTGGTTCCTGGTTTAATTTATTGAGATAAAACTGTAACAGACGTCTTTAATCTAATGTGATCCAGTTTCTCATGGGGTTTTGATTTGGTTTTTGATTTGTTTAAATTGGAAATAGAAAAATAATAAGGAAAGATATTATATATCTAAGAGCTAAAGTTATAGAAGCAGCTAGGTGTGAATAGAATGTTGGACCTAGAGGCAGGAAGACCTGAATTTGAATCTAACCTGCCTCAGACATTTTCTATCTGTATAACCCTGGGCCTCAGTTTCCTCAATCCATAAAAAGGGACTCATAGCACCTCCTTCACAATGTCGTTGTAAGGACCAAATGAAATAGCATGTTAAATGCTTTTAAGATCTTAAAGTTCTGTCTTAACTGTTTTTTCCCTCCGTGAGTCACAGACTATTAGAATAGGGATATTTCAGTCTAGAAGAAGTATGGCATAGTGGATAAAGGGGATGGCTATGTTTAAAGTTGCTAAGACTTGGGTTTATGTCCTGCCACTGACACAAACTTAGCTTTGTGACCATGGGCAAATCACCTAATCTCTGAGAGTACCCACGCAACTAAGAGACTAGAAGTTGCAGACAGGTTGCTGATCTACATCAGTGGAAAGAGTTTCCACACTAAGTATTCCCTACATTGATGAAATTACATCCAAATAAAGAAAGAAATATGTTTATATATCTTTACATATTTACATATTTTATATAAAAAGTCCCAAACTAGCCTGTTGCATACTTATACTTTGAATATATTCAAATACTTGAATTCTAAAGTGACAAAATAATTTTGATACCTTATTGAATTTCATTGTAATAAATCTAGTTCTGTATTTACCAAATGGAATTTGTCATGATATGAAAATTAGATATTTGAACTTGATTAATATGACACAATTGCTTTTTGTTTGAAACATTGGTTAAAGTTTAGTAAAATGTTGTTGCCTTATATTCTAGTATTACATTATTTATTTACATCAGTTAATGTATGTCTTTTCTTTATTATTCAGATGGCCAAATGATGGAAGGAGACAGGATTTATTGGCCTACCCAGTCTGCGTTAACCACACGCTTGCGCCGCCTTATAACTGCATATCAGCGGACTAGTAAAAATCGACAAGCCCTGCAGATCCAGCCAGCATTCTCAGTACAGGCCAACGTGATGCAGCCTCCTTATGAAGAAGCTGCTCTTAACCCTAAAATAGCTGCCAAAATTGAAAAACAGCAGAGGTATGATGAAAGTACCTGTGTTAATATTTAGTATGGCAGTATGGAAATTTGTTTTTGAAGGTGCTAAGATAGGATTGCATCTTGATTGTTGCTTCTTAGCAAAAAGAAAATTATTTAAAGAACTCTGAAAGAAAAAGAACTTCTGGGCAAATTAATCAAGTGTATGTAACAAAAGTTGTGTCACTAGCTAAACTTAAAATATAGGTATTTGAAACCTGCAGTGCCAGTTTTTCTCTTGTCATGCAAATGACCACAGAACTGGTAATCTCAATGAAATTGAAATCAGCTTGTAAAGAAAAAAATTTAATGAAAACTGAAATGTGAACCTCAACAAAAGTACTACTACACATCTGAAGGATAAATGATGCTATTTGCCATCAGATGAATGTGACTATTCACGTATTTCTGGCTTCCTTCTGTTACCAAATACTCAAACTGTGATTTACAGACCCGCTTATTTTCATTTCTTTATCATCAATTCACTTGGACTTTGTTACAGTCTACTCCTGTCCTCACCATTATACTGAAACTTTATTCTTAAAAGTACCGATAATTTTTTCTTAGTCCTTGTTCTCTTTGCTCCAAACCCCATCTTGGCTCCCCACCCTAATTTTCCTGTTTCTTTCTCTTTTTCATCATTCAGTCACCAAGTCTCGAAACTTAATAATAATCTTGACCTTTGTTTTGACTATCATGTCTTACGATTCACCAAATCCTATCAGTTCTGAATGTTGTCATTCACATCCATTCTTTTCATTCTCATTGCCTTCTATTTTAGACCTTTATTATCTCACAACTGATTTATTACAGTAGCTTCCTAACAAAACTCCCTGTTTGTAGTCTTCTCATTTTTTTTGTGAGGCCTGAAGCTGAAAATTCAAAAGCAGGATATGGGATTTGAGATCTAATATTCCTGAACCTCATTCATACTGTATACTAAAATCAAGCTTTGTAAAACTGATTGTTTTCTATCTTAGCAAATATTTTAGCTTCTGCATAAAATTGAGAAAGGTAGTAAATTAGGAAAGTTGAATATATATGTAGTCCATCTGGAATAACCAAATAAACTTTTCAAAAAATAACTTACCATAATTACAACATCCAAGTATGTAAGTAATCCACAAAGGGTACAGGAATTTTTAGCTCTACAAAACATCGGGATTTGAATTGAAGATAACCTGATGTTACATTATAAGCACAAAATACAAACTAATTCCTCTCTCAGTCTCTGGTTACCATACAATTAACTTTCTCTACCTATTTCCCTCCAACCCCACAAAGTTGTGAAAGCAGTGACTAGCAGTGTAGAAAGATGCCAAATGAAAGGAATAAACCATTATTTGAATTGTAATATGAAAGGCTGGTTTCTTCTTCATCCAGACAGTTTTAGCCACTAGAAAGGAAAGAGAACACAAAGAAAGAGAGGCAAAGTTTAGCAATGATCTACTTATGACATCTGGTTAAGAGGAAATGAATTCCTTTCCTATAGCTTTATTTGCTTCACAGAAGCTATTAGACTTAATGGAATTTTTTCTTAAGATTCCAGAATCCCAGTAATTATTTTCAGATATTACAGCTTCTGTTGCTATTCCTTCAATCTGTCCACCATACCACATGCAAATTAATCTTCCTCATCTCTGGTTGGAGGCTTTCAGGGACTCCTTATGACCCAAAAAATATAAAAGTCCAAGATAATTAGGTCTGTCTTCAGAAACCTTTACAATCCTGTACCAGCATGATTTCTCAACATTATCTCCTACTTTCCCCAAACATATGCCCCCCGTTCCAACTATTTCAGAGCCTGTACTTTGCTCATGTTGTTCCCACCATCTGAGATGTCCTCCATCCTACTCTTTATCTAGCAAAATTTTAACCATCCTTCAGTGTTCAGTTCATATTCACATCATGCATGAAAACTCCCAAACAACTCCAGACTATAGTAATCTTTACCTCTTCTGAACTCTTACTGTGGTATTTCTTCTCTGTGCTAATTCGGCACTTAATGTACTGCCCTGCAGTAGTTTAATTTTTCATGTTTATATGTCTCTTTTCACAACTAGGTTAAAATTCATTGAAGAAGGAAACATTTTTATACTTTTTAGTTTCCCATAGTGTCTGGCAATGATGTATTCCCACTACTATCACCCACAGTCAAGTCTTGACTACCTGATATAGACTTATTATAGATGCTTTAACTAACAACCCTGCTTCTATATTCTTCCCCACTCCCCCCCAGTTATTTCAACTCTTGCTCAAAAAAAAGTACTATGGTTCCCCATTTACTACAAAATAAATCTGTATTTCTCAGCCTAGCATTCAAGACCCTCTGCAATCTAGCTCCAGGTTATCTTTCTAGCCTTTTCTTCTGCTATTCAGCTTGCAGGAGCCAATCTGGAGTACTCATCATTCACCCAGCGTGAATGATACCTTCTTGTTTTTAGGCTTATATGCATGCTATTTTTTCTTCTACCCCTAACCACCAATTTTCCTATGTTAAAATCTTACTGTCCTCTAACACTCAACTTATATGCCATCTGTTCCATTATACCTTCTCTGATAACCCAGCTAAAAGAAATTTCCTCAGTCATCTGAACTCTATATTATTTATGGTGTAGAACTCATTTGGTATATATTTCATACTGCTTTTGTCAATATCATAGCCATTACCATATTGCAAGCCTCTTGAGGCTAACGACTATTACTTTTATAGTTTTGTATCATTCACAAAGCTTGGCACATTACTTTGTACATAGTAGGTACTCAAATATTTATTGACTGATTCAAAAGTAGACAACTTAGTGAATATTTGAATAAATGAATGAATGAACCAGTTATTTATATATGTATGTGTGTGTATACATATATATATATATATATAAAATGCTATTACCATGAGTTTAATCACTGAGTTTTTTAAATTCATTTGACTAAATTCTGATTAGTATGATCTAAATACAGTTCAGACAAATTTGTTTGTGCTAGTTACTTAAATATGTGGTGTTCTTTCTTTCAACTTGATAAAAAATAGATGGACAAGAAGAGAGGAAGCTGACTTTTATAGAGTTGTGTCTACTTTTGGAGTGGTATTTGATCCTGACAGAGGACAATTTGACTGGACAAAATTTAGAGCCATGGCTAGGCTTCACAAGAAAACTGATGATAGCTTGGAGAAGTACTTATATGCTTTTATGTCCATGTGCAGGAGAGTTTGCCATCTTCCTTCCAAAGAAGGTTCGTAAAATCTGTCTCTGCATGCCTAAAATGATTTAAAAATCTTGTGTAATGACACATTTTTATCCCAAATCACAAAAGCATTTATACTTTAATTACATTTGTAATATTCAGTTCTGATTATTTGTTTTAATACTACTTTTAAAAAATCTGTACCTTCTTATTTAAAACATTTGTTAGGGAGAAAAAATGGCAAGACTAATAATAGGACTTAATTGAGGAGATGTAGAATTAACTTATACTTGTTTAGAGTGCTGCAAAATACTTTTATGGCTGTTACCTCATTTGATTTTCACAACAACCCGATGAGAATAGATAAAGAAGATATCCTTTTTCTAAAGATGAAGAAATTAAGACTCAGGAAGGCATATTGCAATTTCATTTTGGTTTGTAATCAGTTACTTGTTTTTAGTGTATAATGCCCTATTTTGAAGTGTTTGATTTCTTTTCATGTAGAATTGGTGGACCCAAGTATTTTTATCCAACCCATCACAGAAGAGCGTGCTTCTAGGACTTTGTATCGAATTGAGCTTCTGAGGAAAGTACGAGAACAGGCTCTCCGACATCCACAACTATTTGAACGCTTAAAACTTTGCCTGCCAAATCCAGATTTGCCAGTCTGGTGGGAGTGTGGCACTCATGATAGAGATTTGCTTATTGGAGCTGCTAAGCACGGCGTTAGCAGGACAGACTATCACATTCTTCGTGATCCTGAACTTTCATTTATGGCAGCTCAGAGGAACTACAGTCAGAGTAAAGTGACTCATTCAAGGACTTCTACTCCACTTACACAACAGTATCAAATGGCGCTGTCTGCTTCCCCTCTGGCTTCTCAACCAAGGTTACTGGATACTAAAGGGAATGCTCTTGAGGATACAAAAGTTAAAAGTGAAAGCCTTAAAGAGGAGCCTCAGTCTTCTGGAGAGGAATCTGTTTCTTCTGAAGAAATCGGAACAGGAATAAAATCTGAACCTTTAAGTCCAAAGAATGGTATTTTGCCACAAACTACTGGAGATCCGAAGTCTGCTGGAAAGATTGAAACAGATAGGCGCATGGTTGCAGCCAGGACAGAGCCTCTAACCCCAAACCCAGCTTCCAAGAAACAGCGACTGCCCAAAAGGGGGTCCGAGTCCAGTTCTGATTCAGATTCTGATTCTGACAGATCATCTTGTTCTTCCAGATCATCTTCTTCCTCCTCTTCTTCTTCTTCCTCTTGTTCTCATTCTCGGTCAGGATCTAGTTCTTCATCATCTTCATCTTGTTCTTCAGCATCTTCTTCATCCTCCTCTTCCTCTTCCTCTTCCTCCTCTTCTTCATCCTCATCAGAAGAAAGTGATAGTGAAGAGGAAGCACAAAAGCGAGGTAGGAGCATATATTATTATTGCTATTTTAGACGTCCAGAAAATGGTAAATGTGTTCATTTACTGAAAACAGTTATGTTTAAAATGTCCACCAAATTGAATTTTATGTAGTAATGTTTTATTTTAAAAGTACTAATGAATAGCAAACTAGAATCTCTGATAATAGCCAGGTGGTATGGTATAACTGAAAAAGAATTGGCTGTGGAAATGCAGGATGCGTGTGCTCCTCTCCAGGCTCTGCCAATTACTAATATTGTGACCTTGGGCAAGTTCCTTTACTGTTTCTGTAAAATAATGGAGTTGAACTAAATGATTTTTAAGGCCCCTTCCAACTCTTAAAGACAATGTTAAAACCAATGAGTCTACACAGTAATGATACATTCTCTGTCCAATGGAATTTGAAAGCACTAAAAAAACCATATTCTCGGCATTCAGTAGCAGAAAAGGAATATTGCTGCTTATTGGTACTGCTTATTTGGCTACTACTTCATAGTCTTTTTCTAAGAATATCTTAAATTAATTATTGTAATCATTCCAGAAATAGGAGTAACCAGTGGAATGCATGTGGAAAATATTCTCTAACAACTTAAATACTGCTTACCAATTTCAAAGATTAAAAAAAAAAGGAGTTATTCTTAACAGACCATATCACAAGTAATTTCCTAGGGGAAATACCATTTTTAAAAACCATGCATTAGGTTTTCCCGTTGAATTTTGTTTTTCTTTTCAAATAATTCTTACAAGTGACAAGTAAAACTTAAATACAAACCTGATTATAAAGTACCTAATTCAATTCCACAATTGTTTATTAAACACCTACAATGTATGCTTAAGCATTCAGGTAGATAATGCTAATTGTTATTTTTAGCAGAAGGCACCACTCACATGAAATCATATGATGAGGAAAGTGTTGCATCGCTAAGCACTATACAAGATGAGACCCAGGATAGTTTCCAGATGAACAACGGAACTCCAAATTCTGCTTACATCTTACAAGGTGGATATATGCTGGCTGCTTCTTATTGGCCAAAGGTAATTTAATAAATGAAATCTTCATTTTTCTGGATTTTTATTTGAAATTCTAATATTAGATTTTTTTTGTTTTGTCTTGTGTAATAAGGCAACACCTGAAAACTTGACAGATATTTTGAGGGTAACGAGGAACATAGAAATCATGCAAAATCACTCCCTCCCAAGTTATTGTTAAAAAGATGTATATTATACATACAAATGATTTGTATAGACAGTCTTCAAATTATGAATATGTAGCATTTCAAAAGTTAATCTGTAAATTGGTTATTGGAACTTAGAACACATTTTATTAGAACATTTATTATTATTTTCCAACAGGAGTAATGCTATTTATACTTGGTAGTTAGGCTCCTCAGGCCAGCTCACAAAAGCCAACTTAACTTAAAATGTACCTGAAGGTACCTTACAAATAGTACTCCAGAACCCAACCACCATATATACTAGTGATTCTATGTTTCTCTTTAAAATTGCATAAAAATTTGGAACTTTAGAAACCAAGAACATCTTTTCCTCCATCATTGAATTGAAAGCAAGGATTCAGTTCCCTAGCTCCGTGACACTAATAGTGACTCTATAATCAGGGGCTTTAGCTCTGTCAGTGAGGGCATTAACAGTAAGGAGTTAGGACAGTCTTACAAACAGCATTGAGCAACTCATATGGGGGCTCAGAAGTAAAGAAAAATAATGGTGGGGCTACCCACCAAGCGTAAATGCTAATGGACACTTCTGAAGCCTGGGTTGGTTCCCTATTCACACCCTTTCTTCTAGATATATAATATATAATATTATATATGTATTAATATATATATAATATATAATGGATTGGCCTATCTTCTTCCTTTTTCATTATTAAACATACCACATTAAAAAGCTCTCATGCAGTGTTTCCTCACCTTCCCCAATTTATCCTCTATACACACACACACACACACACACACACACACACACACACACACACACACACACACACACACACACACACACACACACACACACACCCCCATACCCCCATACCCATACCCCTGCCTTCTCTTTATTCATTTAGACACTAAGGAAAAGCAAGTGTTAATGGGGATCTTTGGATCCACAAAGGATTAAAGATTTAGCAATACTTTAGAGCATTTTATCATAGGTCCTACACATTTTATTATGGAAGCTCTGAGGTGATGAGGTCTAATAAATAAGGCTTGAAAAAAATGAAAGAGATGAGAATGTACAGAGGGGTCAATGCTTAAAAAATAATTGTGGTTCTAAATGGGCAGCAATGTGGAGAGGTAAAGATAGATCAGGGCCAGGTGAGAAGGAAATAGGGGGCAGGGCAGGGAATTTCTACAGAGAACAAGGCTCCCTGACCCTTCCTAAATGAAGGCACTTCAATAAATTGAGATGGGCATATACATATATAAATCAAAATTTGTATGCTTTTCCAGAAACAAATGTGTTTCACAAGACTTGTGTTTAGGGGGAAATGTGCTATATCTAGCTGTTACCAGACAAGTTACTTGCTCACTTTAGTAATTGATGTTAGATGACTTGACAGAAAGTGACTACTTAGGTGAGTTACATCACACAGAGACTCTATACATATTTATATGTAAAAGTTAAAGGTGTGGTTTTTTTTAATACAACATGTTCCAAAAGTTCTTCTGTAGCAGAGATTCCAGTGATCTTTCTTGCTGTTTCTAATTGAAGAATTTGATAATTCTCCAATCAGAAAAATTGGATTCTCACATTGCATAGTCTTCCATAGCACAATATTCATAATAAAACTGGTTAACTTTTTACTCCCATCCTGGGTTTTTATAACTGAAGGACTTAATTTTAACTATCAGTAACATGATTCTGCTGCTGGCACAGAGTCCTACAAAAGCAATAATAGTTCAGTAAGTAGAAAAGACATGTGGAACTAAAGATGAATTTATCCATTTAATAACCCTACTGAACTCATTTATACAATATGCCCCTTTTTGGACAACAATTAAAAATGCAAATTGAAGGAAATTTTCAAAGAAAAAATTCCTTGAAAAATACTTTCAAGAAATTATATTTTATTTTTCCTCTTGTGTTTATATTATATAAACTACTTTAGTCTTACTGAATTGCTTGAAGTTGGAGGTTTAATTCATTTAAAATTTTCTCTCTGGTTCCAATTCCAAGTAATCAAAAGTCAACCTCTTTTGTTCACTTGATATTTTATATCTCTATGAAATGCATCCTGAAGCTCTGAACATTTCTTCACACATTTGTAATGTGTACACAGTTGTGCTAAATTAAATCCAGTAATGGGTCTTTGAAAGTTTATCACTAAAGGTCTGTTCTGATCCTTAAATTGCTCATGTGTGACACAGGATCGGGTAATGATCAATCGGTTAGACAGCATTTGTCAAACGGTCCTGAAAGGAAAGTGGCCATCAGCCCGGAGAGGTTATGAGGGCAGCGCAGTGGCATCTTTCTACACAACCAAGCTTCTGGACAGTCCCGGTGCTGCTGCTGACACTGGCGAGCCCCGAGTGCCGACTCCCCCAAATGCAGGGGTGAGAGAAGAGCGTGACCAGTCCACACAGATGTCAAAGGTGAAGAAGCATGTACGAGAAAAGGAGTTTACAGTGAAAATCAATGACGTATGTTTATTTTTATTGCCCTAGGACCTGATTGCGATTGCCGTGTGCAGCATGTTTTTTTCCTGCAAGTGGCTGCCTGCTCTCACTCTTACTTCTTTGCACACTAGTTTTCGGTATTTGGATTGGGTTTCTGTTACACATTCAGAATGTTGAACTTGGGTGTGCTACTAAAAAGATTATCCTGCTGATTGAGATGCTTTCTTAAGTTAGTGTGGTGCATTTTCTGAGCATCTGGTACATTTTTGACACATGGATACACATAAAGGAAGTATGCTGTAGTGGATAGAGTACCGAATTTGAAGTCAAAAAGACCTGGGTTCAAATCCTTACTCTGGCCTCTTAGTAGCAAGGTGACCTGCAAAGTCATTCAACTTCGCTGAAGCTCAGACAACTCTTTTGTACCTACTAAGATAGAGCTCAGGTTTTGACCTGTTTGAATGGGAACAATTCCTTTCCTTTTTGACCTGTTTGAATGGGAACAATTTCCTGACAAAAGTACATATCTTTGATATATTGATGCATACAATATTTTTTCTCAATACATTTGACTACTTTGAACATTTAGTATATCCTGCCATAAGCAGTACTTAAAATTTTTATGTACTTTTTAAACTGTCCATGACTAAATTGATTACTTGGTATGTGAAGTGATAAAATCCTCTAAAAATAGCCTGTGTTAATGGATGAAGATAAAGTGGTGTGGCAATCATATGAGAAATAATTTTTGGTTGGAAAACTATATATGGTACTTGTATATTTCATTTAAGCTAGAAAATTTAATATGTCTAGCACAAACTTTTATTCAAAAAAATTCAAAAATTGGCTTAAATTAGGAAAGGCATAATTTCGTAATTAATTTTCATTATTTCTTCCAATATCCCTCAGATCTTCTGTAGTAGAATTTTTCTTTAAAATCCTTTATCTTGAAGGAGATGTTACCTTTTTGCAAGTTTTTATCTTAATGCTCACATTTATTTAACAGGAAGGTGGTTTGAAGTTGACTTTTCAAAAGCAAGGACTTTCTCAGAAAAGACCATTTGAAAATGAAGATGGTTCACTTGGACAGCAACAATATCTGGCACGGCTTCGGGAACTCCAGAATGCTTCAGAGACCAGCCTAGTCAATTTTCCAAAGTCCATGCCAGTATCAGGTAAATAAATCACATGTAAAAGTGTGAACTACCTCATAATAATAAAACTTTCTCATCATTTCAGAATTCTGCTCATGATATATTGCATGAAAAATTTTGTCAGTCCTTTTATACTTTTTATTTCTCTTAAATATTAATAAAAATAGTAACAGAACTCAGGACTTGGACTTAGGCCTCAGAGTCAGTTTCTGCTCTTTTACTCAGTGGTTGTGTGACAACTCACCTCACCGTACCTCTCTGGGCTTTATATTCCTCATTTATTAAAGAAGGGTTTGAACTGAATTATAGTTCATAATTACATAGTACTTTAAGGTTGACAACATACTTTCGTCACAACAATACTATGAAGTAGATAGTAGGTAAATATATAAAGGATCTATGATACCATCAATATTAGGTAGCTTCCTTTGTGGGAACTGATTCCATCCATGGGTATTGCAGCTCATCTGTGATTTGGTATAAACCGAAGGAATTGCTTGAGGAACACAGAAATCAATTGACTTGCCCAGGATCATGAAGCTAATAAGTGTCAGGCATAAGATTCAAACACAGGTCTTCCTGGTTCCAGTTAGCCAATAATAATTTATTAAGCCCTTACTATGTACCAAGCACTATGCTAAGTGCTAGGAATGAAAAAAGGCAAAAACAACCACTGCTCCCAAGGAGTTCATAGTCTAAAGAAGGAAACAACATGCAAATAACTGTGTACAAACAAGCTATATACAGGACTAATTGGAAATAATCAACAGAGGGAAGGTACTAGCATTAAGAGTGATGGGGGGGCGGGGCCACGATGGTGGAGGGAAAGCAGTGACTTGCTTGAGCTCTCCCTCAAACCCCTCCAAATATAAAAAATGACTCTAAACAAATTCTAAAGCAGCAGAACCCACAAAAAGACAGAGTGAAACAAATTTCCAGCCCAAGACAACCTGGATGGTTGATCAGAAAGGTGTATCGCACCAGGTGGGGAGAAGGACACAGTTTCAGCGTGGGCACGCAAGCCACAGTGATCCTGAAGCAGGCCTCAGAGGACTAAATTGCGGGGAGCTGTGGTGGTTTCCACACTTCTCAACCCATGAACACCAAAGACAATTTGGAAAGTCAATGGGAAAAGTCTGTGACTGTGGTGAGAGAAAGAAGCTAGGTCTCAGCTGCCTCCTGAGCTTCTGGCCCACAGACTGAGGGGGAATAAAGTGGCTGATCAGAGGGGGATTGCAGGGATCTCTTGCTTTGCCCGTGCTTGGATCTGGGTCACAGTTCTGAGGGGCAGTCCTGGTGTGGTGGAGCTTGTTGTGGTGGTGGAGAGGAAACACCTCTCCCCTTATCATACCACCTTGGAAGAATTGAAAATTTACAGGTCCCTAGAAATATCTCTGGAAACAGCTGTACAAACCACTGAAGCTTGGGACAGTGCATTCTCCACATCGGAAGCAGACTCTTACCTTAACAAAGAGTTTAAAACTCAAGTAATTGACTGGGATTATGAGCAAACCTCGTAAAAAGAGTCAGACTATATTATCTTACTTTGGTGACAAAGAAGATCAAGACATACAACCAGAAGAAAACAACAAAGTCAAAGCTCCTACATCCAAAGCCTCCAAGAAAAATATGAATCAGTCTTAGGCCTTGGAAGAGCTCAAAAGGGATTTTGAAAAGGAAGTAAGAGAAGTAGAGGGAAAACTGGAAAGAGAAATGAGAGTGATGCAAGAAAATCATGAAAAACAAGTCAACACCTTGCTTATGGAGACCCAAAAAATATGAAGAAAATAACACCTTAAAAAATAGTCTAATCCAAATGGCAAAAGAGGTCCAAAAAGCCAATGAGGAGAAGAATGCTCTAAAAAGCAAAATTGGCTAAATGGAAAAGGAAGTCCAAAAGATTACTGAAGAAAATATTTCCTTAAAAATTAGAATAGAGCAATTGGAAGCTAGTGGCTTTATGAGAAATCAAGACACTGTAAAACAAATCCAAAAGAATGAAAAATTAGAAAACAATGTGGAATATCTCATTGGAAAAACAACTGACCTGGAAAATAGATCCAGGAGAGAGAATTTAAAAGTTACTGGACTATCTGAAAGCCATGATCAAAAAAAGAGCCTAGACATCATCTTTCAAGAAATTATCAAGGAAAACAGCCCTGGTATTATAGAACCAGAGGGTAAAATAGAAATTGAAAGAATCCACCAATCTCCTCCTGAAAGAAATCCCCAAAGGAAAACCCCTAGGAATATTGTAGCCAAATTCCAGAGTTCCCAGGTCAAGGAGAAAATATTACAAGCAGCCAGAAAGAAACAATTCAAGTATTGTGGAAATACAATCAGGATAACACAAGATTTAGCAGCTTCTACATTAAGGGACCGCAGGGCATGGAATATAATATTCCGGAGGGCAAAGGAGATGGGATTACAACCAAGAATCACCTACCCAGCAAAATTGAGTATAATCCTTCAGGGGAAAAAAATGGCCATTCAGTAAAATAGAGGACTTTCAAGCATTCTTATGAAAAGACCAGAGCTGAATAGAAAATTTGACTTTCAAATATAAGACTCAAGTGTAACATGAAGAGGTAAACAGGAAAGAGAAATCATGAGAGACTTATTAAGGTTGAACTGTCTACATTCCTACATGGAAAGATGATATTTATAACTCATGAGACCTTTGTCAGTATTAGGGTAGTTGGAGAGAAAAAAATATAGTAGATAGATAGATAGAGGACACAGGGTGAGTTGAAGATGAAGGGGTCATATCTGGAGAATAAAATTAAGGGGTGAGAGAGGATTGTATTAGGAAAAGGAGAAAGGGAGAGGTGGAACGGGGTAAATTATCTCACAAAAAAAAACCCAGCTCTTACAGTGGAGGGGAAACGGGGGAAGGTGAGAGGGAATGAGTGAATCTTATTCTCATAGGATTTGACTTAAGGAGGGAAAAACATACACACTCAATTGGGTGTGGAAATCTGTCTTACCCTACAGGAAAGTAGGGGGGGAAGAGGACAAGAGAGTAGGGGGATGATAGAGAGGAGGACAGATTGGGAAAGGGGGTAATCAGAAGCAAACACTTCTGAGGAGGGACAGGGTCAAAAGAAAGAATAGAATAAATGGGGGGGGCGGGATAGGATTAAGGGAAGTAGACTTAGTTTTTCACAGCATGTCTACTATGGAAGTGTTTTGCATAACTGCACATGTATAACCTTTATTGAGTTGCTTGCCTTTTCAATGAGGGTGGGTGGGGAGGGTGGAAGGGAGAAAATTTGGAACCCAAAGTTTTAAAAACACATGTTTAAAAAAAAGTGTTTTCACATGCAACTGGGAAATAAGAAATACAGGAAATGGGGTACAGAAATCTATACTGCCCTACAGGAAAATAGAAAGGGAAGGGAATAAGAGAAGGGGGGGAGATAGAAGGGAAGGCAGATTAGGGGAAGGGGTATTCAGAATGCATGCCATCTTGGGGTAGGGGGAAGGCAAGATGGGGTGAAAATTTGGAACTCAAAATCTCGTGGAAGTAAATGTTGAAAACTAAAAATAAATAAATTTATTAATATAAAAAACAAACAAACAAACAAAAAGGGATCAGGGAAGGCTTCTTATAAAGGTTGGATTTTAATTGGGACTTCAGGGAAGTCAGGAGGCAGAGGGGGGAAATTACAGGCGTGTAGGGCAGCCAGTGAAAACTGCCTGGAGTCAGGAGATAGGAGTGTCTTGTTTGAGGAACAGCAAGGGAACCAATGTCACTGGATCACAGAGTACATGAGGGGGCAGGAAGGTTCAAGATGTAAGAAGACTGGAAAAATGGGGGCATAGGGGGAGGCAGGTTATGAAGGGCTTTAAATGTCAAATAGGATTTTATTTTTTGATCCTAGAGGTGATAGGGAGTCATTGGAGTTTATTGAGTAAGGAGGTGACATGATCAGACTTCAGGAAGATTTTAGGTTTAGGAAGATCAATTTGAGAGCTGAGTGGAGAATGGACTCAAGTGAGGAGAGACTTGTGGCAGGGAGACAGACAGGTTTTATTTATTGTAATTTTACTTTGAAACAAAATTGATTTTCCTTCCCTTCCCTTACTAAATAAAAAAAAATTCACTGCATTAATTGCTGAAGCTTGATGCTTTGAAATATTCTTAAATGCTGGTTCTTGTAATGTTAGACCCATTTCACAAAGAAACTGAAGAGCAAAATGGCTGTGTGACTTGTTCTAGATCACATAGCTAGTAAATGTGATCTCTAAGTTCTCCTTCTAGTGCTGCTATTTTTTGTTTTTATTATTCAAATCAAATTGTATAAAGTTTCCTAGTCTGGAAAATAATTTCATCTGAGAGTTAGTAAATATTTTTTGGAAAAATTCATTTAGAAAAGCCATATACTGCTAAAGTCTCAAAAAGAACATTAATTAAAAATTTCTAATCGACAGAATCATACTCATTAGTACAGGTTAGAACAGAGGGTCTTACCTTTGTTGTTGTTGTGTATCCCTATCTAATGAAGTCTGTGGAACCATTCTCAAAAGTCTTTTTGAAAAATTCACAATTGAAGGAAATGCCAAATTTCAATGATAGGTTAGTGAAAATAATTTTCTTATCCAAGTATAAGGATACCACAAAACTTTTCTGCAAACCCTTTTGAGGTCTTTGGAACCCAAGTTAAAAACCTCTGGGAATCATAGGAGAGTCATGAGAGACCTCAAAGATCGTCTAGTCTAAGATTCCACTCAGTGCAGAGATTCCTTTTGCAGCATCCCTGATAAATTATCATCTAGCTTCTGCATGAACACTTATGATGATAGAAAATTCACTGCTTTACAGGGTAGTTTCACTGTTCTCTAGTTGTCTAAGAGGCAATCTAAGGCCTTTCCTTTGATTAAAGTTCTTTGCTTTATTTTTTTTCCCCTTTTAAACCCCATTTCAGGATTAGGAAGTTTATTTGCTTGAAGCTCTTGCCTCCCTAGTATTATCTTTCCTCTTAATTCCTCTTCCTTATCTCTAATCTTTTTCCTGTTGAGCTTGATGTATTTCTATGCCAAACTGTGTGTTAACCCTCCTCTGTTTCATGTGAATGAGGTGCAGCTAATGTCTGCTCCCCACTCCTTCCTCCATATTTATATATTCCTCTTTTCTTGTAGTACAATTATGAAAAATAGCAAGTTCCACCTTCTTCCTTTCTACACTAGTGTATTTCTTCTTTTACTCACCCATCTCTTTCTCCTCCTGAGATTTTCATGGCAGATCCATTCCACCTCCAAGACCTCTTAATTTCTGTTTTAACTCCTTCAATACCCTATGAAGATTTTAAAGTTCTGAAGGAACATGTGTTTCTTCTCCCTTTTTCAGAGTGTTAGCATTCAAAAAATTTCCTATTCTGGATTTCTCTGGACTCGTGTTTGTATTTCAAAGTTCTTACTTAACTCTAGTCTTTTCATCAGAAATGCTTCGAAGTCCACTATTACCTAAGGCATCTAGGTGGTTCAGTGGATAGAGCAATGGGTCTCAGATCAAGAAGACCTCAATTAAAATCCAGCCTTGGACCTTTACTAACTGTGTGATCTTGGGCAAGTTACTCACCCATGTCTGCCTCAGTTTCCTCAACTGGAAAATGAGTATAATAATAGGACCTAATTCGCAGAGTTGTTGTGAGGAACAAATGAGATAATATTTGTAAAGCACTTAATACAGTATCTAGCATATTATATGCTATTAGCACATAAATGCTAGTTGTTGTTGTTGTTATTATTATTATTATACAATGAGGCTAGATTTTGGAGACCCTTAAATTCTAGTCTTGAATTTTATCTTTAGGCAGTGAGGAACCATTAGAGATTTTTTAACATGATAAAATCAGATTTTTTTTAGTAAGATTAACCATACATTCCAACTAATATTTTACTATACTGAATATGTTGTCAAAACAATCTTAATAATACTTTGTAATGAAATTCACTCCTATCAATAATTCAGCAGAACTTAGTTTTTATTCAGCCTTATATATTGTCATGTAACTTCACATACTCAGAAATGTTTTTCATCCAGTCTTATTATTCCTTATCATATAATCTAGAATCAGTTTGTGAAACTGTGATAGAGGTTCCTAAGATTGTGCAATCAACTCAAGGACAATACCTGAGTCAGTGCAGAATATTAGGTAGGATGTTAATGCTTGCCAATTGAAAATGCAGCTGTGATCACAAGTCTGCCTTATCCACCTTCCACAGAGTTTGTTCTAAGAAAAATAAATGAAATTAGGCTGTGTGCCCACATTTTAATTTCTTCCACAAGCTGGTGACATGCATTGCATAGGAATTACAGTCCAGGACTGGCTCAGTTTGGAGGTTGGGGTACAGTTATATGCCCTTAGAAGAGTAGTTGTTCTCCAAGGAGTGCCAATCAGCTCTGGTTGGTCAGCACATTGGGAGCTGGGCTATGTTAAAACAAGGGTCTTGAGTAAGTGATTTAAGTCTCTTAATCCTGGTTAAAGAGACATCAATTACCATATCACCTGCCTTGACAATAGGGAAGAATTAACATTTTCCCCTGGCTGTCTGGGCAATGCAATGAGCAGGAATAGAGTCATTAGATTAGATAAAGGGGGATAGGGAAAGCTCTGAGTCTCCAAGATAATGGTTACTAAGAAAAATCATTTTTCACAGCCTTTATAGCAAAGAAACTCCTTAATAAACTGTTACATTTACCAAGCCATTATAATGTAATGTAAGAGGTACTATTAGATTTGAGAAGCACTGTCAAAGTGAATCAAGAATACCCCTAACCAGCCAGGAAGACCAGTCAGTAAACACTTTCTAAGCACCTACTGTGTACCAGACATTGTGATAAGTGCTGGGAACACAAACAAATAAAAAACAAAGACTTCTTCTCCAGGAGCTTACAGTCTAGTGGAGGAAGACAGTCACAAACGTAAATTGAAAAACGGGAGAGGGGAAGAATTAAGTCTGGAACACAGCAGGGTAATGGGGATGATGAAAATGTCCACAGAAATCCAAAAGCAGTGCAGCTGGTAAGAAATGGGGAGAAAAACTGGATTGAGACCCCTTTTTAAATAAATCCCCTGGAGCTCATGACCCTGCCCTCTAGTCAAAGAGTCCAGTCACAGGGGCAGAGGGTACTGAGGAGATACGAGGACCAGGTCGATTCAATCATGCAGCATAATGATGTTTCCCAATGATGAGTTTCCTGGGGAAGGAAGACATGATGGAGAGGTCCAAAGAAGAACAAAAGCAATGAAGCTGGTGAGAAAATGGGAAGGTATAATTAACTGTTTTCTTATTTTTAAGATGGGAACATTTGTATTAGCTACTTTACAAGGCTGCTTCAAGGAAAATACTTGTTAAATTGTAAAGTACTATATAAATGTTCGGTTTTTTTATTAGGAAAGAAGTACTCAGTTGTAAATTTCTTCAGTGCAAAAATTGTGTTTTATTCACTTTTGTACTTTGCACAACACCTCAGACAGTGCCTTGTAGATGATAAGTGACCAGTAATCTTTTTTTGAGAGAATAAATGAAAGTACTATTTGCTAAGAACTTCTGCTGGGGTAAGATTTGCCATCTAAGTGGCTCAAGAGATAGATCATTGGACCTAGTCAGAAAGACCAAAATTCAAATCCAGCTTCAGATACTTACTAGCTTTGTGACCCTAGGCAAATCATTTGATGTCTCCCTGCCTCAGTTTTCTCATCTCTAAAATGGGGATGATAATAATAGTTGCTATCTTGAAGGTTGTTGTGAGGATAAAGTTAGATAATATTTGTAAAGCACTTTGCAAACCTTAAAGTACTACATAAATGTTACTGTTATCATTAAGAAAGCTTCTAATCCAAAGATTACTTAAAGACATGCAAGATGAAAATGAAACAATTTTTAAAGAATGTTTTGATTTTAAATTGTAAAATGAGACCTAAGTTACTTAATTTTTATTATTGTGTTTTGCATTCTCAATTTGCTCAGGTACTTCTAGTCAGTCAGCAGTTGGTGCCAATGGAGTGATATTCGATAACCAGCCCATAGTCAAAAAAAGGAGGGGAAGAAGGAAGAATGTGGAAGATGTTGACATTCTCCTATTAAATAGAAATAAACCACCTAATCATGTAAGTAACAGCCAGATTAAAACTGTTTTGCCCTGATTCTTGACTCAGAATCTGTAATCACAAACTACTTTTATGATTGCAAAAGTACATTTGCTATTTTGTGAGTACTTGATAAAATAAAGATCTGTGAATTAATAAGCTATAATATGCTTTTAGATTCTTATACAAAATGACTAATATGGAAATGCTTTACATATTGCACATTTATAACCTATATGTGATTGCTTACTCTCTGGGCGGAGGGTGGGGAAGGAGAGAGGAAGGGATAAAATTTGGAACTCAAAACTTGAAAAAAAAGTTTACAAATTGTTTTAACATGTCATTGGGGAAAAATAAAATACTAAATAAGAAAAAATATGTATTATATACACATATATAATACATATTTTTTCTGTTTTAGTATTTAGTATTTTTATTTAGTATATATATATATACACGCATATATATACTACATATTTTTTTTAGATTTTGTGATCCAGCATACATAATATATAAACAGTTTAAGCAAATATGAAAAAATTGACAGGTCTTTAAATGACCTTTTACATTCCTCTTTTACTATTTTCAAAATCTTCCCTAGTGTCAGTATAAAAGTTGTTAATGAATTTGACATGCAGTCTTTATCTGGTCTTTTTCTAAAGGTTACAGTAGGCATTACCACCTCACAAATTACTCCAGGGATAAATCCAGCACTGTCTTATACTCAGTCTCAAGGGATACTTGACATAGAAAATCCAGTTCCAGTTATTAATCTGAAAGATGGAACAAGACTTGCAGGTGATGATGCACCCAAAAGGAAGGATTTAGAAAAATGGCTTAAGGAGCACCCAGGTTATGTGGAAGATTTAGGAGCCTTTATTCCTGTAAGTAATTTAAAAAACAGATTCATTTAAATGTATTTCTATTATTTTTATTGATCAGAAACATAGCAATCTAAGATTATTGTGAGGCATTCATTATGTACTTAGCCACACTCTTAGTAACTAAACAAAGGATTATACTACATTGCCATCTTCTCAGAGTCATAATGATTTAAAAATAAACAGAAATATCTTTCTATTAAAAATCACAGTACTTTTTAATGTCTTTTTTGGGATTATAATTGTAGTTTAAAAATAAATATTACAACGAACAAGTCATTTGACATCTGTGCATATAAAGAAAGTGTTTATAATGGTGTTCTTTCCTCAAGGGTCTAGTTGGATGTGGAAGAAGTTAAACCAAAAATGTGTCCATCCATACTTGATGTACTGTCAGTTCCAGTTTTGGATTGTATATCTATAGCTTATGCCACTTTTTTACTAAGATGCATGAAAATTTTAAGCAAATTTGAAAGCTGTTACAAATTTTAAAATGAGAGACCTGGATATCCATAGATAACATTGCTACTAGGTTCTCACCATCACCCACAGGTACTCCAATTCATTGTTTAAAAAATTCAAAAAACCCTTTATTAGATCATAAGTACATATCATTTCAGCAATTCATTTGCCTTACTCCTCCAAAACCTATCCTTTATCCTCATTGGAACCTCTGGTCCCTCTATTTTCTCTCAGACTAGTCACCCATGCTTTGACCTCACTTTCCTCCTTTCCCTCCTCACCACCATCCTTCTAGGCACTCAGGTTCAAAACCCTGACTCTTAACTTTACCTTACCACACACAACCAATTAATTGTCAAATCTTGTAATTTCTTTATTCATAGTCTCTCTCTTATCCATCCCCTTCTTTTTATTCATGTGGCCACCATCCTGGTCAGGCCATCATACTTCCCACCTGGACTATTGTAAAACTGTCTCAATCTGTCGTCCTGCCCCTAGTCTTTCTACAATCCATCCTACATACAATTACCAAACTGATTTCCCAGAAGTGCAGATAAGACCATGTTATTCCTCTATTCCATAACTTCCAGAGGTTCTCTCTTGCCCCCAGGATCAAATAGAAGCCCCTTTTTTTTGACTTTCAAAGCCTTTCATAACCTCACCCAAACATATCTTCCCTGTATCATTATTCATTACACCCCTTCCCTCCTTCTGTGATCCATCCATGTTGGCCTTCTTGTTGTTCCTCACCCACTACCCTCCATCTCTTATTTCTGAGACTTTACACTGACTGGAATGTGTATTCCCTCTTCACCTCTGCCTCTTGGAATTCCCCTTATTTCCTTCAAAACTTTACTCAGGAGCCACCTTCTACTCTTGCTCCTGAATCCCTTGCCCACTGTCCAGTCAACACTCATGCCTTGCTGAGACCCCAGAACTCAGTTATTCCAACCAAACATGAAGCTTTTCAAGGGCCTTCCCCCCTAAAAAAATTTACCTTTATTTTGTACATGTATATATGTTGTCTTCCTCTGTAAAATATCAGCTCCTTTAGGGCAGGAATTGTTTCATTTTTGTCATACCTAGCACAGTACTTGGCACATACATAGCAAGCATTTATTAAATGCTTATTGATTAATTTTCCTAAGGGCAGTAGAGTACCCCATTTACTAAAGATGGCCTTTATCTATAACAGAATTCAGACAGTACTTTCTGTAAAACTAATTTAATAAAAAGCTTCTTGAATTGAAATGAATTTATTTGAATGGAAGACTTTCTGATGGAAAAGTTCAGTACCAAAGAACTAATGATGTTGTTAGTATTGCTTCTTATAATCTCATATTCGAAGCCCCAGAATTTTTTTTCCTACACTGGTAGGTGCTGATAATTCAGTAGTATCAGCAGTGCATTTCCTACTTGAATAATTCATTATTTCAAAAGATCTATAATATACTCAGTGTGAGTACTCCTTTGACTGATACAGATATCAATCCCTCTGTACCCTGGTTACCTTAGCTGCTTTTTTGTTTCGTTTTGCTTTAGAAAAACTGTGAGGGGAAAAGGTGGGGAGGAGCCAGTCTTGAGATTCCATTAATGTAAGAAATTTCCTGTGAGGAAACACCGTCCACCATTACAGATTTGTGTAACTTGACTGGACCTGGCCGAGCTTGCATTCTGCTATTATAGACATTGGAAGTCTAGAACTCACTCCTATGCCACAATGAGATCTCTATTTAAATTGGACTTTAGTAAAAGTATTTTACAACGGGTTAATTTCATTCTCCTGGTTAAATTCTAATTTTTGCATTATGCCTCATTCAGCCTAGCCCTTCACCTGACTCAGGAATGCTATCTCAACTTGCAGATGCAAGAAGATAATGGAAAGTTGACTTCGTTCCTGATAATAAAACTGTTCTCATCCTAGTATTTTCAAAATACTCTTGAATATTAAGTTTTAGAATATTTCTGAATTTTGTTTCTCTTGAATTGTTCAAAAGAGCCACATTCAGAGTGTTTGGATATTTTTTTCTTTAGAAGTTTGGACAAGCTATTCTACTGTATTAACTTTAGAGCTATCCCAAGAGGAAACAGACAGTCTCAGGAGGTAGTGAATTCCACTTCAGTGAAGGTCTTCAGCAGAGGCTGAATGATCATTTGCTAGGAATGTTACGAGAAGACTACAGTTAGGTTAGCGTTGGCATAGATGATTTTGTGACATTTAAAAAGGTTTGAGGGACATAGTTTCTGGGTAATTTAATCATTTTATTAATAAGGCCAGCACATTTGTTAATAAAAGGATGGTCCTTTGACTGTCGGTTCACAGTATATTTAACCTTCGAAGAGGAGGTGTTCCTAAGGGGTGGCAATCAACTCTGGTTAACAATGAGAACATGAATATTACAATGAGAAACTGGGCTATATTACAATGACATCTTGGGGTATGTGACTTGAATCACCCAAATCTTGATCAAAGAGCCATCAATTTCGTATCACCTATCTGACAAAAGGGAGAATCCACATTTTCCTAGACCTATCTAAGCAAACATAATGAGCAGAAAAGTACCCATTAGCCTAAACTTAGAATTTCTTTTACTGTCCGATTAGATCTTGGCCTGGGTAAATCTCTGCCTAAGATTTCCCACACTGGTTGGTTTCTGGATCAGGAAGTAGAAAAGGGGAAAACCTTGGTCCTAATACAATAATTAGTTATTAATGCCAGAGAGAAATAATCATTTCTCCCAACCTTGGGACCAGATAACAAGAAGTGCTTTCTAATTCTGAGATTCTCTGATTCTATGGAAAAGATGACAATGTAGTCTTGCCCTCTTCAGGTTGTTTACACCTAAACACTCATTACTAAGCACTTTGCAATGTTCCTTAATGCTGAAGTTCTTCAGATATGTGGTACTGCTGCTTCGGTGCCTTAGTCTGTTCATGCCAAATTCATATTAAGGAAAGATATAGAGGAGGTAGCATGTTACAGCATCACTGAAGAGAGTTAGCCTAGAAATCTTGAATCCAAGCCACACTCTGACCCTAGTTGTTTGACCCTGGATAAGTCACTTAAATTCTCAGCTACCGGGCAGTTCTCTAATAATATTCACTGCAGAGAAGTTGCAGATTTGCATTGGTAAAGGGAGTTTCCTCACCAGAGAGCTTCCTACACAGATGAAATCATAGTCTGGACAAAGGAGGAGAGTCTGAAAAGCGTTTTGTTATCCTTTGAATTCTGAAATGAATTGTCAGAGTACCTCATCTCTTGTTCCTCATTGAAGAATTTTAACATATTGTACTTTAGAGAATGCAGCTTCATGATGGAAGACCTAAGCAAAAAAGACATCGCTGCAGAAACCCCAACAAACTAGATGTTAATAGTCTCACTGGAGAAGAACGTGTTCAGTTGATTAACAGAAGAAACGCCAGAAAGGTATGTATAATTTCAGTGTACATTACCTGCAAGTGATATCATAGCATGGTGGCTAGAATACTGCACTTGGAAACAGGAAAACCTGGATTTGAATCCTGACAGAGACTTAGTACTCTGTGATCATGGCAAATCACTTAATTCCTCTGGGTCTCCATTTCCTTATCTGTACAACTAAGACAATGATAGCATCTACCTCACAGGACTTTTGTGGTTAGGATCAAATGAAGAGTGAATGAATGTGTGTGTGTGTGTGTGTGTGTGTGTACACACATACACACATACCATCATTTTAATGACTCTAGGTCTCAGTCCTCCCTCTGTGGCTAAGTTGTTGAATGAGGTAGGAAAGTTACTTAAATATTTATGTCCCTAAGTCTTTTCACCAGTAGAATTTTCAGTTTAAAAAAAGTACCGTATTAGCCTGAGATGTATGAATCTAGGTTATTTTATTGTTTTTACAAAGTCTGTTTCCTGATCCTCTGTAGTTGAACTATCTCCAGTCTGCTTAAGTTCATCTGTTTATTCATGCTGAAATTGTAGTGTGAAACTGTGGTCCCCTTTTTCTCGCAGAGGAAACATTGGAAGACATTTATCACATCCCTTTCTAAAGCATTAGCTCTCCAAGCTGTCCTGTGTTCAGATAAGGAAGCAATAGGGAGAAGCAGAGTAAGAAGGAAAAAAAATTAGCTTGAAAGTTAGGTAATACATATTTGGCCTTTCTGATTGTGTTACTCAGTGTAAGTCACATAACCTGGATGGTTTGGTTTCTCCTTCCTATAGGTGCTTCAGTTGCTAGAATAAAGGATAATATCTTCAAACTCATTTTCTTGGAGGAAGAGAATTCAAACATAGAATTGTTTGAATTATCGTTCTGCATAATTCCTTTAACTTTTGTGTTGCACCAACATCAAGTTTGACAAACATCTGGTTTTTATATCTATAAAGTTAGATTCTTTCCTGTAGAAGGATAATTCAAGACTGTTATTGATTTCTGACCTTATGCTTTGATCTTAGAGAAGGAAAACGTCTCTGTGCCTCACCTCATCTCTTAAATGAAGTGTTGGTCTAAATGACCCTCAAGGGCAAGGTCTCTTCCTAGCAAGAAACTTAAAGCCACCATTCTAGTTGTAGTTGCATATGTACATACACACATAAACACACACTCATGTACATGTACATATGCATAGAATTTTTCATTGATGTCTTGTTTCATACATCATCATTGGTATCCCCAATATCCTTTTCCTCCCCCTCCCAGAAAGCCATCTCTTCTAACAAACAGTATTTTTTAAAGAGGAAAAAAAATCAGCACAACTGATGGATACATAGAAAAAGCCCAAAACTATGTAGTTGTTCTTTTATCTAGTTCTGGGTTGTTGATTTCTGTAACATAAGCTGGGTTTTCAGACGATTGTGGAAAACTAAAATGACTATTTTGGGTTAATTTATCTTAGCTGGTTGAAACCAAATGGGGGAATTTTGAGGGGGTAAATATGTTATCAGGTTTAATTATGTTTGACTTGACAATAAACACTCCAAATAATTAAATACATAACTGCATGAAGTTTGCACTCAGAATCCTTCTAAAAAGTTGCTTTCCCCTATTGCTGCTCATACCTTCTTAAACCCCAACACAGATTACTCCCACAATCTGCCCTACTCCTCTCCTCCCACATATTGCTGAATAGTACTGGAGACAGTCATACAGCCATGCTGACTGGGTCCATGACAAATTTATGTTATTGTATCCCAAATGGACCTTCACCCCAGCAAAGCAGTCCTTCTACTCTTCAGTTTGAAGAACAGCTGTATGGTGCAGTAGAATAAACGCTGGCCCTGAAGTCAGCACCTGTGTTCAGGTAAATCTCCATAACTTACTACCGTGTGACCTTGGATAAGTCACTTAGCTTCTCTGGGCCTCTTTTCTCATCTGTAAAATGATGGACTACATCCAGGGTGTCAAATGCATGGCCCACCACACTCCCCAAGTGCGGCCTGAATCAGATGAAAGTATAATTGCAAAATATTTAACAAAATAAATAACTATTCAATAAAACATAAATAATACTGTATTTTTAAACTAAGTCAATGTGCAGCCAATAGGTATCCTTACGTATTTCGATTTGAGCTTGATACCACTGGACTAGATAGCATCCAAATTCCCTTCCAGCTCTAGTTCCTTTGATCCTGCACCTTTATGATCCATGTCTCTCCATCTCATTCCCTACATGGGATGTTCTGAATCTTTTCTTCTGTCATCACATTTCCTAAAACACCCTGTGACCCTTCCATCTTAGCAGAGTATCTCATATTACATTTTACTGAGAAAATAGAGGCTGTTAACTGTGAGCTCCCCTTTCTCACTCTTACCTAGCTCTCTCAAGATTCCTTGACAACATCCTTCATTCTGTCCCTCCTCTGCTCCAGTCTCTGATGAAGAGGTGATACTAGACCAACTTCGTGATGCCATCTCCTACCAACCTCTGTTAAATTGTTGCGTCAATCATCTTCCCTTTTTTTATTTTTTATTTTTCCCTATCTGTTGGCTCCCTGCAGGCTGCCTACAAACAGTCCATTATTTACCTCATCCTTAAAAAAATACTAATTTGTACTCTTCCATCTCCTCCAAGTTATCATTCTTTATCTCTTCTCCATTTCACAGTGACTCTATGTGAGTGCAGAAAAAGTTGTCAGCACACTCATTGCCTCCACTAACTCCTCTCACTTCTCAGCCTTTTTTAGTATGATTTCTGACTTCATTTTTCTTCTAAATATGCTTATTAACAACTACTTTTTAATTACCAAATTCAGTTTCTCAGTTTTCATTGTTCTTGACCTCTTTGCAGAATTTGATACTGTTGAATATCTCCCTCCTCCTAGATACACTCACCTGGATACACTCATCCTCCTCCTGGTTATGCTCTGTTTTTGTGATACTTCTTTCTCATTTCTCCTACCTTTCTGGCTACTGCTTAGTCTTCTTTTTCTGAGTTATCAGTGTCCCACCCCCTAATTAGGGATGTATCCCAAAAGCTCTGACCTAGGCCCTCTGCTGTTTATTCTGTACACTTTCTTGCTAATTTTATCAGCTTCCATGGATTCAGTTAACACCTCTATGCAGATGACTCCCAGATGTATATATCCAGCTTTGGTTTCCTGAGCTCCATTCCCACCAACTACCTATTGGAAATTTCTCTTTGTATGTCCCATAGGCATCTCAAAACTTAACATGTCCAAAACAGTCTTTATTACCTTTCTCCACTTTTCTTCCTGACCTCTCCATTTCTGTAAGTTGTAGAATCATTAATAACTGGGATGTATGCTTCAGTTCAGATTATTAATAAAAAGTATTACCTGCTGTTTCCACTAAGGCATATAAGCATATACAGACCTGAGAGCCTAGTAGTTACCTCATGAAAGGGGCCATGGAATGATCACAGCTCAATGTGAAGAGCATTTTAAGATTTCCAAAGTGCTTTCCACACAACAGTCCTGGGCAGTATTATTAATCTCCATGTTACAAATGAGGAAACTGAGGCTCAGTGAGATTAAATGACTCACCTGTAGGCGCACAGTTAGTAAATAAATGGCAGAATCAGAACTTAACAGTCTTAAGTCTTTTGACTCCTAAATTGAGAAACATGACACAAACTGGCAAGAGACTTCATAGAGAACTGAAAGACAAAAGAGTAGAAGAAAACCAGCATCACATACTATAGAACCCTTAACAAGTAACTTAAGAATTTCCACCTTATGCCCAGTCTATATAATATTGGACAATAGTATGTACAGATGTAGAAAATTTTGAAAGAAGTCAATCATAAGATCATAAATTTAGAACCTGAAATGGGCCTTAGAGATCATCTAGTCCAGTAGTATCAAACTCAAATGGAAACAGAGCCACTAAACCATACATAAGAATCCCTGTCTGCCAAATATTGATTTAGAAAACCACATGTTAACATTTTCTATATTCTATTGAATTTTTATTTATTAAGTATTTCCAAATTATATTTTAATCTGATTTGGGCCACATGTGATCCATGGGCTGAGTATTTGACATCTCTGTTCTGGTCCAGCTCTTTCCTTTCCCTTTTTTTTTTAAACAGAAGTAACTGAGTTCCGACGAGTTTAAGTGATTTGCTCTCAAAACATGTAGGTAGTTAATAATAATAAAGCTGGAATTTTAACATAGGTCCTCTGACTCCAAATACAGTAGCCTTTCTATCATACCACACTGGCCAAATCTCTCGGACCAAAGATAAATCTGATTTTTTAAATCTCACTTGGAAATACTGCCTTTGTTAAATGCTTTATAATAAATTCTACACTAAACCTTATTTTAATATAGTTTGAGCATACTATGAGCAGCTTCATCTTTGTATGTGAAGGAGATAGTTTTGAATGTGTTTTTTATTTTGATCCAAAATCATCATACTTTAATGGATATACGACATCATAGACATGAATATTCTTACCGCTAGGGTAGATCACAGTTAATCTATATGCTGTCTTCCTTTGCAATTCTTCTCCATGCTCTCTGTGGAGGATTCACCCAACATACTGGAGTTCATACCTTCGGTTCCTTTAATATGTAATTGATAAAAATGGAGCCTATAGGGCATAATATGTTTTTGTCTCAGGGTTTGGGACTATTAGATACTATAATAATAATGTGGTTGGAAACTGACTCAAATTTTATATGCATTTTAATAAAATAAGTGAAATATAGAGATCATAGAAGGAAAGAAACTTTTTTCAATATTTAACAAGATTGTAATTATCTAACATTTTGTTTTTCAATTACAGGTAGGAGGAGCATTTGCTCCTCCTTTGAAAGATTTATGTAGATTTTTGAAAGAAAATTCTGAATATGGAGTCGCTCCTGAATGGGGAGATGTTGTTAAACAGTCTGTGAGTGTTAAACATTCATTTAAGCTTAAATTTCATATAATTTTATCTTTATTTGCCAAAACTATGGGCAGAAGGAATTTGCAAAATAAATTATTATTGCTGTCTTTGCTTTTTAATTACCTGCATTTCCTGCTGTATCCCTCACTTTGTTTCCTCCCAGAGAACTCTTCCTTATCTTTTACAAAGAACAAAAATGGGAGGAAAAATCACACAAAAATAACCAACATATCAACTCTGCAAAGAAATTGAGGAGGTATCTTTTCTGTGAGCCATGGTAAAATTGAAAGGGGTCCCAGGATTTGTTCTATTTGTCAAAGGCTGCTCTGTTGCTCCCCAGACTTTAGCTATTGTCACTAATTCCCAAGAGAGATGATTTTACCTCATTTCGCTTCTTTTTAAGTACCATCAGCTTTAATGGATATATAATATGTTCCTTTATGCATGCGCGTGTGCTCATGCAAACACATAGACACAGACACACACACACACACACACACACACACCTGAATGCATGCACTTGCCTCAACTCTAATCCCTCAGTCCTAAAATGTCTGAAAGCATTTAAGTCTCACTTCAACCATCCCTTTCCCTTCTTCCCTTCAAAAGTAGAACAAAAGCATATTGCATTAATCTTCTTCTCTGAGACCATAGTGATATAGAACTGGAGACATAGAAGTCTTTGTGAAAACATTTTATTTCAACATTTCATCTACTTAGTATGAGAGAAAGCCACAGTCTTCTAATGGTCTCTAGGCCCAAAGTCTCCCCGGATTCTCTTTGATTCTAGAGATGCAAGGATTTCTACATGGAGAAGGGCTCTATCTATACAAGTTATTATATTTACTTCAGTGGAAAACATTCCTGTGAATGTTTAGTCTTTACTTCTTGATAAATATTTAGTTTGGTAAGTGAAATAGCTATTACTTCCATTGTCAGAATGTGATTATATGGATGCATTATTATTGAATAAGAATTTATTTTTCAGGGATTTCTTCCTGAAAGCATGCATGACCGTATTCTTACTGGTCCTGTTGTACGTGAAGAAGTAAGCAGACGGGGGAGACGGCCTAAAAGTGAGATTGCCAAGGCAACAGCAGTGGCAGCAGCTGCAACAGCAGCAAATGTGTCTGGCAGTCCTTTGCTAGCCAATGGATTGCTCCCAGGTGTGGATCTGACAACTCTTCAGGCCTTACAACAAAACCTGCAAAACCTTCAGTCACTACAAGTAACTGCAGGGTTGATGGGGATGCCTGCCAGCCTGTCTGGTGGAGAAGTTAATAAAAACATGGCTGCTATGTTCCCAATGCTTTTGTCAGGGATGACAGGATTGCCAAATTTACTAGGCATGGGAGGACTCCTGACAAAACCTTCAGAATCTGTGGCAGAAGAGAAAAAGGGCAGTGACTCCAAGGAGCCAGATGGAAGAAAAGAAAGGACAGAAAGCCAAAACTCTGACATTGTCGGGGAAAACTCTGTATCGAGTTCTCTTTCAACATCCTCTTCTGCTGCATTAAATACTGCTGCAGCTGCCAGCCCCTTAGCTCTTAACCCATTACTATTGTCCAATATACTTTATCCAGGGATGCTTCTCACTCCAGGCCTTAATCTTCATATCCCAGCTTTGTCCCAGTCCAATATTTTTGATGTACAGAACAACAAAAACAATGACCTAGACTCAACCAAGCCTGTAGAGGAAAAGGAGGAAGATTCCAGGGTTAGAGATCAGGAAGAAAAAGGGGAAACTGAACCAAGTTCTCTCAATGAAAACAGCACAGATGAGGGTTCAGAAAAAGCAGATGCTTCATCTGGATCTGAGAGTACATCATCATCATCTGAGGAGTCAGATTCTAGTAATGAAGACTGACCCCAGACTCTGCACTTAAATTATGAACTGATTTTGAATTTATTCTTTAATTCTTCATTGTAAATATCCCAGTGTTGAGTGCATTGATAACTTACTGACCGAACATTTCAGTATTTGTTTAGAAGTGCAAACTGCTTTCAGAGACATTTTGCATGTAATATTTCTTGAAATTCTTAAGTTTTTGAACTTGTATGTACTATCAAATACACAATGGTGTAAAATTACAACAAAAGGCATTATAATTTTGTTGGGGGGTTAATTTTATGGAAATTATGCTCAATGAGAGCTGTATATTTAATATATTTGCAATGAACACAGAATACTTTATGCACATTATTGATTTAATTTGAATATAGTTTTACAGCCTCCTTGACACCTATAATTTACAGATCAAAACTCAGCAATAATTTGGGCAGCTAATGAATGTCATGAAAGCTGTAGAATCTACATCATCATCCATTGCTTTAATTACATGAAAATGCTCTAGTGTTGTGATGCACTGCTGATGTTTCCAATTCAGGTACAAGTGTGTTTAAAAGAAGAGATAAGATTCCCAATCAGCCAGTTATACTGGCTACCTGTTACCTCAGCTGAGTTAGTTTAGGAAGTTTACATTCATTTCTAATTCTATACTTGTTTTCAGGGTTTTTTTTAAAAGAGGAAAAAAAAAAACACACATCCTGTATATCATGTTAATCTGGCAAAAGAAGTGACTCGTTTTGCTTAGTCAAAACTCTGATCCCAGTGAAGGCAAGTCAGCATAAAAATAATTCTATGTCATGTGACTTTGGGCACCCTATAGACCTACTTAGTTTGAACATTGCGGACTTTGGGCCTCCAGAAATAATCATGTTGAGGTGCAGTAGTGTCTCTCTAGGGGTCAGAAAAAGCAAATTTCATGAAGTGCCACTGACAAGAACTTTCAACACTGCATACTTCATGTAAAAGAAATTGTTTGTTTGCTCTGTTTGTGTAGATTTCTATTTGTGTTTTATGTCATTGAACGCTTAAGAAATTACCAGATAATATTGGTTAAGAAAATGCAGATAGCCTAAATTTATTTTGAGTTTCTAGGTTTAATCAGACTAAACGTTGCCCAGAATCAGTGTTGGGTTATCAGTTCATATAAAATATGCTGAGTTGCCCAGTTTGAAAATGCACTTTGAATAGTAACAAAAAGAAATACAAGTAATACCTATAAAACACAAAAAAGAAGCCCAAGGCTTCTATTTAATAGTCCTTAAAACCCTTTTCTCTAAAAAAAAAAATCTGTCCAGTGTTTCACATGTGATATGACTCTTTTCTGCTTAAGCTGCTATTACTCTTGACATGGTAGTGGTCCATGTTCATACTGAAATCCATTTGAACTTAAAATTGAGTTTAGAATCTTATTTGAGGCCCAACAAGAGTAAATGTTAAAAAACAACAACAACACATAGGTACTAGTGTAAGTCAATGATAACATTTGCAAAGAATTAAATTTTGGGGGTAACAAATCACTCCCAGACACTTCTCACATTAAATGAACCCTTTTATATTTTGATAAGAGTTCTGTTGTTTTGTCACAAAGTAAACTTTTATATTGGGTTTTACTAAGACCTTTACCAGGAAATTATAACTTTATATGTAAAATAATTATCCCCATTATTATAGGAGCAGTATTACATGTAATTACAAAATTGTATAAGTTGTATTGGGATTGTATTGATTACTGTATTTTCCCACTATTTTATTTTGATTCGATGACCCTTTATGCAATGTCTTAGCAATAGTGAATAACATACCCGTCCAAGAGAAGTGGGTAGCAATTCTTCATCATGAAAAGGATATATTACATATTTAATATTTTCCCTTTGCAGTATTGCACTTTTGTTTTACTAGAATACACCTATAAAATAGCCAAAGTTTTCAAAAAGTTATTCAACTTAGTTTGCCGATGGAGTATTTCAATGCCATCAGTTCTTCCTCTTCCCTTCATGTTCCCTTTATTCCCTTTACTCATCTTCTCTACCCCACCCCCCAAAAAAAGCCCTAAATCTTGTCACTAAAACCTAATTTATATCAAATTTATGAGATAAAGTATTTTCCTAATTATGGTCGAGTAAGTTTGGTTAACATCCTAGTGATTCTCTTTCTATGTAATAAGGCAATTACAGATTTCAAAGCATTAAGGCTAATACTGACTTTGAAAGTATTCTTTTGGGTTTGAAGGCATTTTAAATTGGTATCAATTGGGGAAAAGTTGTCTAGCTATCAGCCAAACAACATGCAAATATGGTTGTATCAAGTTAAGGGTCTAAGGAAAATTCAATAGAATTACACTAATACTGAAGTTCCAGTTGAAAGGATATCCAAGTGTGTGTTGGTAGTTACGAAAAGAATTATAGCTGTTATTGCCTTGTGTTTATATCCCTTGTTTCAGGCTTCATGATCCAAGTCTTAGTCCAGTTTTTCTTTTGGACATTTCAAATATTTGCCAGTTGTGTTCTGTGTAGTCTGAATTTGCTTTCTGTAGTTGAAAAATGTCTTAAAAAAAGTCATTTGTAATTTATTGAATTACTTTCTATGATGTTCTATAGAGCAAATGGAAGTTTAATTATTTTTTATTAAACATATTCTTTGACTACCCATGATGTCAGCCTTTATAAATGACAGTAATTATTTTAATTGCATTTGTAATAAAAACAGTTTAGTCACTAAAAGACAACTACAGATATCTATCTTGAGAACATTGAGATAGCTTTAAAAAGCAAGGACAAAGTTGTACCCATACATACATACATACACATACATACCCACAATTATTCCCTTTTGAGAAATGCCAAATGTATGCTTAGTTTTTTTAAGTTAAATCATTAAAACTTCATTATTATAAAATATTTTCTTTTGAAGAGCCTTAAGCATCTGACTGAATTTTTAGGGTCCTCAATTCCCTTGTCATAATGTATCTTTCTGATTTCTTAGGGCACCTCAACCAGGAGTGCTCAAAGGTCTATGAAAGATTAGAAGAAGAGTGGAAACAGTACTGGAGTTGAAGTCAGTAGAAAAATCCAAATCCAAAGCTACTTCTTTGGATAGCTAGCCTGTTGTCAAGCTATGGTAGACTGTGGTCAAACCTGTTGAAGCCTCTTTTTGCTTCTCTGTAAAATGAGGTTAGAGTAGTTGGTCCCTGTGGTTTCTTTTAATTCCGACAGTCTTTTTTTCTCATATAGTCTCTCACCCTGTGCAATATTCCACTTTGGAGGTTCAATGGATTTTCCTCTACCTAATGTTAAAGAGTTTAGCCAGTCACTGCTTTCTTTGGTAACGATTCCCATAAACAGTTATTACCCATAAGGATTCTTACACCTTGGTTTGAAGATTTATAATTACAACGGACATATAGTGTTTTAAAGTTTTCAAAGTGCTTTACACACATTTCATTTGAACCTTGTAATAACCCTGTGAAGTAGATATTTACAAGTATTGTACTCATTTTACAGATGAGAAAAGTGTTGGAGAGGTTAATTGATTTCTGCAAAGTTACATAGCTGGTAAGTGTCAGAAGTAGGATTTGTACCCAGGTCCTCCATATTCCTGAGTCTAGCATTTTGATTCACTATACCACATTGTCTCACATGTACTTTAAATATTTGGATGTTTATTTTTCTGATAACTTTCAATAAAAGTTTGTGTGTTGTATGACTAGGACAGAGAGAAGATAATTGTTCTTGCCCAGAGTGAAGCATTACTTTGGTCTAGCCAACTCATCTGCTTAGCACTTTTTTGTAGCATGTGTTTTCAACACCACTCACCGAGCCTTCCTCCCCACCCCCAAACAAGTTTGAATTCTTCAACAGAGACTTCTGTCATAATACCATATATAAGTGTTGCCATCATGAAGTATAATGAAACTATAATCTTCTTCTTTTGACTCCTGTGATAACTACAGATATGAAAGTTATTCAAGAAGATGAAATATTTCCAAGCCAAGAAACATACTATAACCTGAAAACACAAAGATAATTATGCTCTGATGTTTTTTAAATAGAATAAAGAAATTTTTATTTATTTTGTAAGTCTTGAAGCGAAATAGGAATGTGAGTTGATTAGTGCTTTTGATACTTGAACTACTATAAAATGTTCTAAGTGGTACAGATTAATGAAACGAGAGCTAAACAAATTCAGTTTCCTTTAACAGATCAAAAATTACATGTATTATGAAGCTCTGTTTACAAGTGTGAAAGGAAATTTCTTAGCATATATAACTTTGAAGAGTCTTGTGTAGCTTAAATGAATATTACAAAATATATACACTAAAGCTCATGTACTTTATTCATAGGAGAGACCCCTCAGGTCTTTGCTTAGAGCTTGTTAATACTTCTCTTAGACATGATTCTGTCAAACTTAGTGATCTGGTTTCCTAATCCACAGAAGACTGGAAGCAAATTGGAAGGAGCTAGAGAGTCTAGCATCCTGATAGTAATGAGATGTAATAGTTTTTTCTTTTGTCTTTCATTCCAGTCGGCAGATACAAGGTTATAAAATTACTGTAGCAGTCAGGTGCGTTTAGTGTAGGACCAAATAAATAGCCTCAAAACCCCTCAATAGATCTCGAAGGCATCACTTTTATAGCACAATACAATCACTGATGTTCATAATTATTATGAGCCATCATGCAAAGGTAGTTGTGTTTAATATATGTATATAATTTAGAAAGATTTTTCATCAAAAGATGATTTGACTATAAAAGTTTAGATTCTTAAAGACATGAGTCATTTACTATTTTAACAGGTAATGAGAATAATTATTCAAAGGTTCCATATACCATACCCTAAATTTCATAGCATGCCAGTTTAATTGGCTGGTTAATTTATGGGCTTGCTGTTTATACTTGATAATATGATTTGAATAACAAAAGAAATTCCAGTGTGGCAGATTTCACTTCAGTAAATATGGTAGAGTCCATTTAAGAGTTGAAACACCTAGGGGACAGCTAAGTGGTGCAGTGGATAGAGTCAGGAGAACCTGGGTTCAAATCTGACCTCAGACACTTAGTAGCTAGCTCTGTGACCCTAGGCAAGGCACTTAACAGACATTGCCTCCAAAATTAAAAAAAAAAAAGAATTGAGGCACCTGTTGTAAGGATAGTGAGTTCCTTTTTTTTTTTTTTTTTTCCTCTTAAAGCATCCAAGCAGATACTAGACGACCATGTCAGGTACATTATAGAGGGAATTCCTGCTTTGAGTAGAAGGTTGGGCTAGCTGACCTCTTACATCCATTCCAACTCCAAGATTCTTTTAATCAAAGGTTTGCTAAGATTTACCATGGGAGAGTGCAGTGGAAAGAGCATTGACCTTGAAGTCAGAGGATTCAGTTTCCAGTCATTCCTGCTTTACCACTTGCCAGCTTTGTGACCTTGGGTAAGTTATAACTCTCTGATTTTGTTTCCTCTAATGGAGAGAATAATATTTTCCTTACCCACCTCACAAGATTGTGAAGATTAAATGAGGCAAAGTTTATGTAACATTCCCTAAGCCTGTAAGCATCCCTGTAAATGAAAGCTATTCCTCTTCTTATCAACATATCCTATGCATCTAACTGTAGTTTGTTACAGTTCAGTGTAAACATTATTTTGACTTCTAAGGCAAATCTTCAAGTTTGTCATATTTTTTCTCATTACATAAAGACAGGTAGCTGCTCTCTGAAAGATTTATGAAAACACTTGGACAAAGATATGGATAGGTTTCAATCTATACAAGTGGGGGAAAAGAACCCACATCATTGATGTCCTGTACCCAAAGACATTTTTCCTTTCAGCAGTACCATTTAGGAACTCCAACATAATTCAGTGTGCACAATTTGATAGTGCCCTGTAATGCCCATTACATGGTTTTCACATAAATATATATGATTTCAAGTAAACTTTATCAAATTTACACAAAAAATAGGGTGGAGGGAATCATGATTCACTTTACAAAAGTAGCAGCAGGACAATTCCTCCATCTAATTGGATAGTTTAATTTTTGATAACTTTTCAGGAACAACAGTGACTGCATAAATGAACCATAATATACATTTCAAAACTAGTAGTTTCCTATAAATGTGAGAGCCACATTACTAACTACTCTATCAGCAGCTCCCACTCATTGACAATAGTGATCCAAGTTGTGGCTTAATATCATTTTAAGAAACATTGGTTTTGGATTCAAAGGGATTGATTTCTCAACTCTTGTTTTGATGTCATTGAGATCAGAAGTTCATCAAACCCAACAACCATTGATCAAGATTAATTTTTCCAATAGATAAATGTTTTTTCTTGTGATATAATAGCTAAATACCTAGTACTAAATAAATATTTGATTGAAATTAATAGATAATGGATTTTTTATGTAATTCACTTATGAGAATATAGCATTGGCTGAAAAAAATAATAGTTAAAAACAAATTACTCAAAAATGGGTTAAAGGTCACCTTACCAAAAAAGTTTTTAAAGTTTTTTCATCTTAATCAGTATTGAAGTAAGACAGCATTCATTGACATCCTAATTTTTTTTTTAGCTTAACAATTAAATTCCAAAATACATAGTTGAGTAGTGGTATCATTTTAAATAATCCATTACTATTTAGCATGTATACACTCCACATAATAATGAATTAGTAGAGAGCTGGCCTTAAATGAGATTTTTTTTAATTAAGGGAATGCCATTCCCCCTAATAAAACTGACAACCAAGTAAATTAGCAAGAAAAGTAGAAAATCCTGAAACTGACACAAGCTCAATCAAGCATTAAGTGACTATACTAGGAGAAAGATGCAGGTAACCAAAGTACAAAGAAACATTCCCTATTCACAAGGAACATATATTCTAATGAGGAAGTCAACAATACGTGTATAATATATACATATATATAGCATAAGAATATAGTAAATAAATAAAACTTTTAAAAAGTTAAATTTTAACACAAAATAGTTAAATACAAAGTAGTTTGGAAGAGAAAGCAATAACTTTTGGGGGGATAAGGAAAGACAAGCAGGTCTTCAGCTGCATCTTAAAGGAAGAGAAAGAAAGGAATACAGTGAAGCCCATGGGCCCTGACCAGAGCAAAGGCCTAGAGAATAGAGATGGAGTGTCATGTCAGCAACAGAAGGCCAGTGTGGCTGGATCACAGTGTGGAAACGTGGGTGGGGGCCTGTTTATACAGGGCTTTCAAAGATAAAAAGAGAAGTTTATAGTTTTTCCTAGAGGAAACAGGGAGGCACTGGATTTAATTGAAATGGGGAGTCACATGGTACTTAGAGAAAATTACTTTGGTAGAGTGGGTATAAAGAACTGGAGCAGTGAGAGTCATGAGGCAAGAAGACAGATTAGGAGACTGTTAAAATAATCTAGACAAGAAGTGATAAGGGTCTGAACAAAAGTGTTGACTGTGTGAATGCAGGGAAATGGTCAGACGTGAGATTGTGAAGATTGAAACAGTAAGACTTGACAAGTTATTGTATATACAGTATGAGGGAAAGTGAAGAGTCCAGGATAATGTCAAGGTTTTAAAACTGGGAGACTATGAGGATGGTTGGTGTCTTTGACAGAAATAGGAAAGAAGAAATAGAAACAAGAAAGAAAAGAAGGATGATGCGTTCAGTTTTAGACA